CACGTCGCCAGCCAATCAGGTTGTCGGATTGACTCTGGCGTTTGTCTCTGACGTCAAGCGCGTCCTCCTTTGTTTAGTAGATGACACGCTCACGGCTTTTGCATCTCTTCATAGTTGCCGTCCAACGTCGACCAGAGCGTACGCTCGCAAACTGCATATCCCTGTGGCCTAAATTGTGCCGGACGCGTCCACCAGTTCGTCTCTTGAACTAGGTGGTCAACGCGTCCGAGCTTCTGTACTTCACACGCGTATTCCACGCATGCGCGATAGAAGCTCAATTAGTGTCCGCGGAGATTGAACTGGTAGATCTCGACATTGCTATCTACACGAAGAAGCAGCTTATGGTACAACTAGTGCGGAGAAGCACGGCGCTGCCGTAGCTGATAATATACGTGGAAGGCACGATACCGCAGGTGCCTGTATAAGGGCTTCGACTTCCGCTCCAGTCTTGCATATACCCCTTCTACCCTTCTATCGCTATTCCTCGCTTGTTGCGCTGAGCCATGAAGATCAATGATATCGAAGCCTTTGTCACCACTGGAGGAGTCCCCCATGAAGAGTTACTTTACCGCGATGGGTCTGACGAGAAGACTAAGGTCGCTTTCATTGAGTCGCAAGCCGGCCAGGTACGTCAGCTCGAGGAGCCTAGAGGTCTACCCCTTACTGAACGAGGTCTCAGTCGTTTGGTATCACAATCGCTGACACTCTCCCCCACGCATATCGTCACAAAGGCATATGGGCGAAGATTTTTGCTGACGGGAAGCTGTTGAGGAGTGTTGGGATGTTGCACGGAGAGACCCTCCGCGTGAGTACCGCGAAAGATAGGAATGGTGACCGGAGGCTTCTCACGTTCACAGAGCCTCGCTTTATCGGCACGTGTATTCTCTACATATTGCCATTCATATCAGATTCTGACTGTTCTTTGTCAGACGGAGCAGTTGAACCCGAGGACGTACTGAACAAGATTGGGCTTCTGGAGATCATTGTCTACATAGTGATCAAGAAGACTTCGACGTCGAAGAAGGAAACCCAAACTTCTGGTCCCGCCACGGATACTGCCAGTATAGTCTTCTCGGGCAGCGAGGCGCCAGCGCTCACGAGGCATTCAAACAAACAAGGCCACCACGTCGTAGGGTGCGCGACACCTTTTCATTTCTCCCGATGCGACTCTGACCGACAGTGCCTTGGACGCTTAGTTTGGGAGATCGCGTGATCCAATGCCCCGCCTCGTCCTGTGCGAGCGCTGGTTCTGACGAGGATATCCTTCACGTCCATAAGGATAAACTCGATGACGAGTCGTATCTGAGACATGGCACGTCATATCTGTCGCAAGAAGTGTCTCCGGACGAGTACCACGCCCGCTTCAAATTCTTTCACAAATCTCGAGGTACAGTCTGTCTGCATGGTTCACAACATCTTCGCTCACATACTCTTCATAGATCAGCTGGTCTCTGACGGTATTGTATCGTCGGTGAGCGCATGCCCTCGTGACGTGCGCGGAGAATGCTCATTAACGTTCGCCACTCTAGAATGCAATCCAGCTCTCCAAGAGCCGCGACATGACCAAGGCCATCAAAGCTGAACAACTTGATGAAGATGTTCACGTATGTCGCGTGGCGCGGACATGGAATGAAGTACATAACTCACATTCGTAATAGATGACTACCGCCGGAAGCTCCTCACCGAGCGGTGCGCGCGGCGCCCTCACGGACTTGCCGGTACGGATCGTCACGTATTTCAATCAGCGTGAGACTCACTATATTCGTTTTTGAAGGCCCCTACAGCTCATGCTGCGACCGCCTCATCTACTCCGCTGCCCACCCATAGTGTCGCTACCGAGATGGCTCGCATTTCTGACCTCCTCGCCGAAGCTCAGCGCATAAGAGCATCATTTCCCAAGATACTCCCACCTCAGGTCACTCTCTTGCCGTCTGGCGAACCTGATCCCGATCTGCCTCAACATCACGAACTCTTGAGAGTCAGGGAGTACCTACGTGCTGTCATGACCGGCATCAACGCTTCAAACGCTCTCGTCTACGATCAAGACGATACCCTTCGAAACCACAGGAACACTTCCATCCGCACCGTCGACGAGATATTAGACATCCTCAGGCGGTGGATTGACACCACGGCTAACCCATCGAAACCCACCACCAATGATAACGAGCCTCCGTCCAATGCGTCAGGCGCGTGGCGAACCAGTTCAAAACGGTCGTGCGACGAGATGATGGTACATATCCTTCTTCATCGCCTGGCCCCATGGTTCCTCAATTCACGCTTCGTAGGGGTTATACAGGGACGTTCATACGTTGAACAACGCCAATCCGTCGAACACTCAGCCCCTGCCTGCACATGAGGGCGGCGGCGCCATCGAAGCCGAGCCCGCCGTTGGACCGCCGAACGATCAGGTTCAGCCTAAGCAGGAAGACGAGGAGAACGGTGCCGTCATCGCGAATGGCGTCCAGCCCATGCAGGAGGACGGTGCCGCTGTCGAATTCGACGTCAAGCCCGACGTCAAGCCTAACATTAAGCCCGATCCCGACGCTCCCGCACGCGTGAACAGAGGTCCGAGCCTGAAGGTCAGTCCGTTTAGTACATGCTATAGAGTACACAAACTGAATCTGGATCTTCGAAATCAGATGCAAATCTTACAGGCCAGGAAGGAACTTTGCAAGGCTGTGACTGAGGAGCGCCGAGCTGATCTCGAATATCTGGTGGGGGAACAAGCCGAACAGGCGAAACGCCGTAAGATAGGCATAAGGAATGCGATCGATCTCACGCAAGATTAGCCTAATTTCATTATCTTTGTCAACACTATGTGAAGACTCTTCGGATGTCTAGTGCACTGTCATGGCGCTGCCGGAATACACCTCATTCATGCTAGTTGATCCTCGGTCTATAACTGATGTGCTTTCGCGTTCGCTCGCTATGCATGAAGCATGGAGATATCAGTACCCTGAAAGCGTTAAGTACTCGGGTACATGATTGCGCGAGATAGATGAACAGTACGCGCATTCCAGGCTGTGCGACGTATGTAGGCGTTAGTAGCGCTTCGAGCACACAGGACATAGAAGTTGCCTCAAACCGCGATGACGCGCCCTCCAACCTCCGCGCGCGTTCTCATACCCACCACTGCCCGTTCTTTGAAACGCAGCGCTCGCGCCCTACACCTTTGCGAACCTTCTCGCGCGCTTGACGCATCGGCCAGCGCACCGTTGTCGACAGTCAACGCGTCTGAGATTGCACACTTCTCACGTCTATCTGCGCAATGGTGGGACGAGCGCGGCGAGTTTGGATTGTTGCACCGGATGAACCCGCATCGTGTGCGTTTCGTGCGGGATAAGATACTGGAAATTGGACGCGAAGAGAATGGGGAGGCTTGGGCTGAGGGACGCGGTGCCCGTGCGTTGGAAGGGATGGACGTATTGGATGTAGGGTGTGGCGGAGGGATACTCTCTGAGGTTTGTATCTCACGTATACACGCGCCGTATACCGTCTCTGATGCTGTTGGCAGACTTTGGCACGATTAGGCGCACGAACACTCGCGATTGACGCGTCGGAGAAGAATATAGCTATAGCATCACTGCATTCGGCTGCAGACCCGGCTTTGGCGTTGCCTGCGGATCCTTCGCGCGGTTCTCTCACATATAGGCATACTGCTGCAGAAACTTTGGTCAAGGAGCAGAAGCGCTTCGACGTCGTATGCTTAATGGAGGTGGTTGAGCATGTCGATAATCCAGCCGACTTCTTACGCTCTTGTGCTGAACTCGTCAAGGTACGATATGTCCGCACATTTAGCCTTCTCGACCCTGCACTGACATCGCACTATCACTCTCACGTAGCCCGGAGGCCATCTATTTCTCTCAACAATATCTCGCACACCCCTTTCCTACTTCCTAACCATCTTCGCAGCAGAGAAACTCCTACGTCTAGTCGAGCCCGGCACACACACCTGGTCCAAATACGTCAACCCGTCTGAGCTCATTGAGTTCTTCCAGACGGGCCTGGATAAGCCTTGGATCAACAGGACGTATGAGTTCGGTATGCCGACGAGGACAGAGGCGGAGGTGCGCGGGATTGTGTATGAGCCATGGAAGGGCGATTGGACTGTGCTCGGACGGAATGCCAGTCCGTGGGGGACGGGGTGTAATTACTTGTTCTGGGTACGGAAACCGAAGGCGTAATATGAACTTTGACTGCTTCCGGTGATCCTTGCAGTGAGATCTTAGGTGATAGCTTTGTTATCGGCGCGTCCAGGAGACGAATTCATTCGTCTTCCAGGCGATTGACTACCGGAGAGCTCGAAAGCCAAGCAAAAGGGTTCACACATGAGGAAGAGAGAGCGTGACACATCAAGTACATTTCGTGCGCCATAAGCTATTAGTATAGTACAGAATACATCTGCTACATTTGATTGATCGACCCCAAGGAAAACCCAACAAAAGCGATCCGGAGAGAGCAGAACCCAATAAAAAAGACCCAATAGCGAGTTGTATGCCAATAAACATTTACGAGTAGCGAAGCGATCCGGACTGGTAGGACGTTTAGCACGTCTTGACCTTCGTCCAGACACCAGCGGCACCGCCGGGAACATCGTCGTAGGTCCAGTATGCGGCCTGCCAGAGAGCGCCGTTGTAGGTGACCTGCTGACCGCCGGTGTATGCAACGTTGTTTGCCCATGCGGCGACGCCGGTGCAAGAGCCGCTGGCGGGCGTCGTGGTAGTGGCGGGTGCGGTGGTGCTGGTGGTCGTCGCCTTGGTGGTGGTAGTGGTTGCGGCCTTGGTCGTGGTTGTGGGCGTGGAGCCGCCGGAGAGAGGGAAGGTCGAGCCGCGGACGGTCTGAATCCATGCGGCGGTCGCGTCGGGGAACTCCCAGACCTGGTGAGTGAAGGTAAGTTTGGGCACTTGGGCATAAGAGTGTGGAGGTGAGCGTACCATGACACCACCGCTCCAGCCCTTGCCAGCAGCAGTAGCAACGCAGGTAGCGAGCGTCGACGCGGGCATGTATCCACCGCTGGGAGCGTCACCAGTAAGAGCAGGCTTGCCGATGACGAGCTTGTTAAGATCGACACCGTTCGCGTTGATCTCGAAGAGCGAAGAGCCGGGGTACTGGCCGCCAGACGCGGTAAGGAGACCGGTGCAGTCGGTGTACTGGGAAGCGCCCTGGTTGTAGAACTGGATGTTGTACCAGTCAATCATGGAGCCGACGGCGCTGTGCACGGCGAGGTAGCCTCCTCCGGAGTAGCCCTTCTCGAACCAGGGGGCGACGGGTGCGTGGGTGATGATGTACTGGCTGGCGGGGAGCTGAGCACGGAGTTGCTTGGTGAAGGCGATGAGCCAGTCGACGGCGGCCGTGGTTCCACCGTTGAAGGCGCCGAAGTCCTCGTAGTCGACCTACATAGGCGTGAGATCGATAAAAGTCAAAAGAAGCGCGTGAAGGTTGCTTACATCGACACCGTCAAGGTTGTACTGCTTCACCCATGCAGCGATGCTGTTAGCGGTCCCTACAGCATCTGCGCCGTTGCTCGTGGGATAGTCGGTTGAGCCGAACGCGCTGGTGGAGGTTCAGCATTGAGGAACAACAGACGTGAATCGATGACGTACCTAACCAGCATCTTGATGCCAGCCGCGGCGTAAGCCGCCTTGGTTGTCGCACGCTGGTCGGCCGTGATGAGCGTCCACTCGAGAGCCTGATCGGCGACACCAGTAGTGAGCCAGAAGCCCATGATGTAGGCGTTGTATCCCTAGCAAGTGTAACATGAGCCGCAAGTTCTGCCGTATAAGGATGAAGGCCGCTGTACCTTCAACTGGGACACATCCGGAGGACCAGTCTCGCCAGAGATCCACGCATCAGTGTAAACGACGAAGTGCGGCGCGTCCTGAACAGCAGCAGCCGCATTGGTCTTGCGCTCGACGAGGTCCGCCGCACCAGCAGGCGCGGCGCTCGCGCTGCCAAAGAGGCAGGCGGCAGCGACGAGAGCGGCGTAAGCCTGAGCGATGAAAGAGACCATGACCGTGGAGAGGCCTGTAGACCAGTAAGAGGAAGAACCGGTTAAGCTTGGGAAGCCCGAGCTGGAGAACAGGATTAGCACGATAAGCCCATTATATACCGCGTCGCGCAGATCCAGCATCGGTTGGACCGCCAGGGCTGAGCGAGGTAGAGTACGGAAGCCCATGCGGGAGTCAACAATGTCCCGCGTGTCCACCGTACGCGGCGGGTCATCGTCACTCGAGGGCAGTATGCTGGGCGGAGGTAGAGCGGCGAGTTGATGTTTTGTTGGGTGTATACGCTGTCATTGCTCAGGTCGCGCAGCCGATGGAGGAAGGGTGTGCAGGAACGTCTTGAGGAAGCACGCGTGCGGTCCTGATGGTGAAGGCATGTGGAAACGTGAGCTGGCCAGGGCGAGGATCAGTCCGAGGACGTTGCGACGAGCTCTGCTGATACGCACCCTCGTGGCGTCGAGTGGCGACAGAGCCGAAGAGCGCCGACGTATGTGGATTTGAATCGAGTTTGGGGAGAGACAAGCTTCATCGGTGCCGATAGCTGGAGGGATACGTGAAGGTATCACGCGTGCTGATGCCAATGCATTGTTCGACCTCTTGGCCCTACGGTACGTTCACAGAACTGCCGGGGCGGGTGCTGTCCAGACGCTGTACCAGGACTTGAAGGAAGTGCGTTCGCTATGTATAGGCGAGCCCAGGCTTGAAGGTCTTCGCAAACGCTCATAACGAAGCACGCGGCTCGCAAACTCGAATAAGCTTTCCTCGTTTATCGAGATAAAGGCCAGCCCCCACAGGTCCACGCAAACACGAAGTCGAGACAAACAGCTCATCCAGGGACGCGAAGCATGCTGTTGGAAAGCTCGAGCAGCTGATCCATATTGATTTCCGGAGGATAACCCGTCAAGTTTCCCCAACGGTGCAGTTGGGTGCAGTACGCGAGCGACGTGCTTGTCTTTCGATAACGAGAAGTTCGTGGTGGGGAAGGCGAACGTGCGGGACGAGCACATCGTCACCAGAATGGTATGCGGAAGCCTTTCCGAGCAATTCCTGATCAACAACCTACAGCAGCGTGGTCAACGAGCGCGAGGCTCACAGAGGTACGGCATTGGGTAAAGCACCCGGACCGAGGGAGACCAGAGTCTGGATTTTGCGGCAGTCAAAAGCGGTAGGCGTCAGTGTGAAGTCATATGGCACAATGCATGAGGAGAAGAAGTAGCATTTGCATATGGGGATATACGAATATGACAGGATGTCGAGCTACGAAACGACACCCATCTTGATGCCACGCGGCAACATTACCCGCGGAAAAGTCCGGGAAGAGACGTTCGGCAAACGCCGATGTGCGTGACCTCCCTGGGAAACTAGCAACCCGGCAGATCACGCACGCACGATCGAATATATCGCCTTTTCCGCTCGCCGTCCCGCTCGACCCCTTCAAGACATCACCATGGTACGCCGAAATGCTGCTTGAATATTGTTTGGACGTATGATCTGACTGAATATTCAGACAAAACGCACGCGCAAGGTCGGTGTTACCGGAAAGTACGGCACGGCAAGTATTGTTTTCAGGATGGTGCGGCGTGCGGGCAATTAATGGTCATTGTAGCGTTACGGTGCGTCCCTGCGCAAGCAGGTCAAAAAGGTGCGTTACAATTATCAGAAATAAGAATACTATATTGACCTTGTCTATAGATGGAGATCACCCAGCACGCACGCTACACCTGCCCCTTCTGCGGCAAGGTCGGTTGGACTATATTGGGAAATGGAGGACAAATGCTGAGATATATTGCAGGACGCCGTGAAGCGCAAGGCTGTTGGCATCTGGAACTGCAACTCGTGCCGCAAGTCGATTGCAGGTGGCGCATGGACGCTCACCACCACCGCTGCCGCGACGGTTCGCAGGTGTGTTGATGTTATATTATCCTGATAATATATGTACTGATGGGCCATCAGCACCGTTCGCCGTCTGCGCGACATCACGGAGGCATAGATTCTTTTCGTCTTGTACTGCCGTCTTTGCATGCTCTCCCTCGCTGTTCTTATTCTCTAAGCCCGACCCAATGCCCATATGCCCGCCATGCCTCAGCGAGCCCGTGTACAATATCAAGTCACGCGTGATTGGATCATCTCTGGAAAGTCCGGGTGTACGTTGCATCTGTGAAATGGCTCGAGCGCCATGCAACGCATGCGCCTCTGAAAGCTGACACGTCGCGTGCCGGGGTGTCCATGAGACTGGGCAACTCTGCACTCTTATGCATGTCATGCGCCCAATGATGGAATACGACCATTCGGCGGCAATCAAATCTGTGGATTGCAGAGCCGCTTTGAGCCAGGTTTTGCTTGAATTCAACTTTCGCTCTGAATGGCAGAGTTGTCTCTTAGTCAATACAACACAGCACCGACATTTGAGAAGAAGACTGATTTATACACATACAAAACTACGAGAACGGAAGACTGAGTGTCCAGCGGAGACGCCGATGCCATGCGGTGAACGTTCGTACTAATGTGACACACAAAACAAGCGCTAAACGCTCAGCACGGTCCGTACTGCATGGGTGGTCAGTATGCGACCGAACGTAGGCGGGTAAAAGACAGACCTTGGCGGCTGACACGAAGCAGGCCAGACCACTCGACGTTGCTTCTGGCGAGAAGACAGATCCACCTTGGTCAGGCGCATACCACACCGAACCGACATCGTTGGCAGCGTTCTTGCCGTAGTGAAGCGCCGCCGAGGATTGAGAGCCGAGGAAGGAAGCGTACTTTGCCGTGCGTGAAGCGGAGTTAGCTTGGTCGAGGTAGTATTGGAGGTGTTTCGTCCAGATACCCTTAAAGATTTGCTAGGCGCCCTTGTCAGTATAGCAAGGGATATGCATGAAAGTGGTAAACGAACTTGATCGTGATTACACTGGGCTCCACCGGACGCGGCGTCGTCACAAGATTCCTTGAGGATGTTGTTGGTCGTAAGATGCGCGATCGTAGCATCGAGGGTGACTGTATCAACATGAGATCCGGTGCCACAACTCCTTTGCGCACATGTACGCACTTTCAGCCTGATCGAGGAGAGTGGCATTGCCAGTTGCGGTGTACAACGCGCCCAGGCCGGACGCGATAACACCCTGGTTGTAGGTCCACGTCGTCTGGCCGTTGTTGGCGCAGGTGGAGGTGACGAGCCCGTCGTTGAACAGACCTTGCGAGTTGCGCATGCCGGAGCCCTCCACTGTAAGGGGTTTCAGTACAGCATCAGCCCATATTGGAACGGCACGTACGCCACGCCCAAGTCTGCGGGAGGCTATTAGATTGTGGCGCCACGCGGGAAAAGAAGCACGCACCTTCTTCGCGTTTGTGAGGTAGTCCGCGTTGCCTGTCCTGAGGTAGCCGGACGCCGAAGTGAGCAGAAAGAGCTCATTCGTGACCGCGTTCTTGTAGTCGCGCGCGCTGGACCACCAGACTACAAGAGAGCCTCAGGTTCGAGGTTGGATCAGCAATCACGGCATGACGTACCTCCTCCTCCGCAAGTTGTATCCCACTGGGCCGCGACGAGGTTGTAGAGTTGACTAGCGGCATTCATGTAGGGCGTTATATCTTGTCCATGCGCACTGCGATAGTCCTGGGCGGTTCATGCATGAGTAGCGAAGAACACGAGACATTCGAAGAGGATACGCACGGCGATCTTCCACAGAGCTGGGAAGAGACATCATCAAGCATTAGTACATCCATGACCGTCTTCGATGAAGCGAGCGGGGTGCGCACCCAAGATGATCCACTACATCACCATGTCAAAGCGTCAGTTCGTTGTTGCAGGCGGAGCACCATCCCTACTGACCTGGCTATCGTCCCAACTACCCGCGACGATGCTGCTCCAGTCTGTACCCGAGTTGAGCGCCGCCTTACCGATGCGCGAAGTTTCGCCGACACTCCCCCACGTCGTGGTGCCCGCGGCGAGCCTGTCCAACGAGGCCGATGAGCGCTAATCATGACGCACGAACAGGGAGAGAAGGCGAACATCAGGTTGTGAAGGTCTTCGACGGCGTTCTGTCGGATGAGATCAGCGCTTGAGCGGCAATAGCGGCGCTTCTTCACTCACCGAGTCCGTCCAAAGCTCTCCATCGTTGTAGTTCCCAGTGCTGGCGTCGTAACGCGTCTGGAGCTGGTTCGCCACGGTCTATCGGGTAGGATGATCAGTCAAAGTTCTGCCCATCGCAAGTCTGTCTCTCATACAGTTGCGAGACTCAGAGTAGAGGCGCATTGAGCGCGACGGTCGAGAGTCGCCGCGCGTGCAGACCCGAGGAGGGCTGCAAGAAGAAGTCGACTGCTGCGCATTCTGGACCAAGAGGACTCGGAGTGACTGAAGTGCAAACCCAGAAGGCCAATACGCCTCAAACGGTGACGTCCTTTATATACCTTTGACAGGAGAAGCCCGCTATGATGCAAGACTAAGAACGGTACGAGGAAGCATCAGTATGACCAGTCTTCAAAGCACATGGTCTATGCGCCGCATGTATACATGGGGAAGGATAACGTCGATGGCAACTTGACCGCGTCAGATGTCCGAGCTTGAGGTCATGCCGAGGAGGTCAGGGTATTCAATCAGGGTATGCGAGGGCTGTGTAGCGGCGTCGTCAGTCCAGCATCTATCCCACCAAAGATCGATATCGACCGGGATAGAAGCCGGAGAAGACGTAGCGAACGTGCACGTTTTGAAGGCACCAGGGGCCATTGGGTATATGTATGCTGTCAATGATACCTACCGGCGGCCAAAGCGTATGGACCGTATCCTGGTGGAAGCGCTGAAGTGTGGTTGAGACCACGTTTTAGCCCGGACCGAGGGTCAACGGCGGGGAAGTAGAGGTATGCTAGACCAGGATCGAGACGACCGCCTGACGCATTGAGCACCTGTATATCGTGGGCAACATCACAGTCCAACACATGCTTGTATTCCCAACAGGGATGGCGTTGGGGTGATCATTCGGATGGCGGTGGTAGAGCGGACAGAGAGATCCCGGAATAAACCGCCGATATTCCCGTAACCACGCGGCTCGCCCACGCTTCGAAGACGCCTCGAATACTGGCTTACGGTATTAGGTGTGACAACTGGAGCTGCAAGTACTGTTTCTAGACAAGTCAAATGAAGCCTAGCATATCGATTACAACTTGTGCAATTAGTACAGACACATCTGTTATATGCGGTCGACCAGAGGAAAGCCCAGGCAAAACGATAGACTAAACGGAACCCAATGAGGAACCCCAAGAGTGAATGTAAGTTTACAAGCAAAGTGGTATGACTTTGAGGAACAGCGCTCAGGAAGCTACGCCGAGAGGCCTAGCAAGTCTTGACCTTGGTCCATACGCCAGCCGCGCCGCCGGGGATATCGTCGTAGGTCCAGTACGCGGCCTGCCAGAGCGCGCCGTTGTATGTGACCTGCTGGCCACCGGTATACGCGACGTTGTTAGCCCACGCGGCAACGCCGGAGCAAGATCCGCTAGCGGCTGTGGTCGTGGTAGCAGGAGCGGTGACGGTAGATGTCGTCGCCTTGGTCGTGGTGGTGGTCGTTCCGTCAGAGCATTGGCCGTACTAAGGATATATTGAGCGATGTCCCATTATGGAAGACAGCAGCAGACTGACCTTGGCATCCGACACGAAGCAAGCCAGACCACTCGTTGACGCCTCAGGCGAGAAGACAGATCCGCCCTGGTCAGGAGCATACCACACAGAGCCGACGTCGTTAGCGGCGTTCTTGCCATAGTGGAGCGCCGCAGAAGCTTGGGAGTCGAGGAAGGAAGCATACTTCGCCGAACGGGTGGCAGAGTTGGCCTGGTCGAGGTAGTACTGAACGTGCTTCGTCCAGATGCCCTTGAACATTTGCTGCGAACGAACGTCAGTCACAGTGGATTGACCAGACGTCTGAACTGATCACTTACCTGGTCATGGTTGCACTGTGCTCCCCCAGCGACAGCATTGTCGCACGACTCCTTGAGAATGTTGTTTGTCGTAAGGTGCGCAATAGTCGCATCGAGAGTGACTGGTGCGGAAGATCAGATGCGTCCCATCAAGAGACATAGACTGCCAGACATACTTTCAGCTTGGTCGAGCAGAGTGGCGTTGCCGGTCGCAGCATACAACGCGCCCAAGCCGGATGCGATGACACCTTGATTGTACGTCCAAGTCGTCTGGCCGTTGTTGGCACAGGTGGAGGTAGTGAGACCGTCGTTGAAGAGTCCCTGCGCATTGCGCATGCCGGAGCCCTCCACTGTACACGCGTTTAGTACAGACTTTACCGACGCTAGGATTGTCACGCACACCACGCCCACGTCTACGGGAGCTCGTCAGGTAACATAGATATGCAGAGAGAAAGGTGCGTACCTTCTTTGCATTGGTCAGGTAGTCCGCGTTCTTCGTCCTGAGATAGCCAGATGCAGAGGTGAGCAAGAAGAGCTCGTTGGTAATGGCGTTTTTGTAGTCGCGGGCGCTTGACCACCAAACTAGAAGGGCGTCAGACAGAGGCAAACTATGGATGATCATGGAACAGACCTCCACCACCGCAGGTGCTGTCCCACTGGGCCGCGACAAGGTTGTAGAGTGTACTAGCGGCGTTCATGTACGGCGTGATGTCTTGGCCATGGGCACCACGATAGTCCTGTCGCGCACATGAGTCGATGTCCGCCAACGTGAGAAACAAGGATACGCACGGCGATCTTCCACAGGGCTGGAAGCGAGGTCAAGTATCAGCACAATCACGACTGTATCTGCGAGGTAGCAAGCGGGGATGTACCTAGAATGATCCACTACATAACAGTATCCAAATGTCAGCTCGGTGTTGGAACGAGAAGATGCGTCGACCCTGACCTGACTGTCGTCCCAACTGCCCGCGACGATGCTGCTCCAGTCCGTTCCGGAGTTGAGCGCCGCCCTACCAATACGCGAAGTTTCACCGACACTGCCCCAGGTTGTTGTGCCCGCGGCCAACCTGTCCACCGATGAGCGCCTGAGCGCCACGCGTTGTCAATAGTGGGGAAGGCGTACATCAGGTTGTGCAAGTCTTCGACGGCATTCTGTCGGGCAGATCAGCGCTTGCCTGCTGTGAGTGGTTCGGTACTCACCGCGTCTGTCCACAGCTCGCCATCATTGTAGTTGCCGGTACTGGCATCGTAACGCGTCTGGAGCTGGTTCGCTACAGTCTGCGTGAAATGGGCGAATCAGCCCATGCACACTTCGTCCGACGATGAATCATTCGCGTACCGTTGCTGTACTGAGAGTGGAAGCACACTGAGCGCGACGGTTGAGGGTCGCCGCGTGTGCAGTCCCAAGGAAAGCTGCGAGGAGAAGCTTGCTGCCGCGCATCCTAGTGTTCGAGGCGACGTGATAGGAGGATAAGCCCAAGGGGAGAATATCTCAAGAGGGTATGTGCCTCATATATACCCGTCAAGAGAACAGAGCGGTAGTGGGAAGCCAGACCTGGAGCACATGGTCTGTGCATCGCATGCATACAGAGCAGATCCACGAGAGAGGCATCGATGGTAACTCGACCGCGTCAGATGTGCAAGCTCGAGCTTAGGCCGAGGAGGTCAGACCATGCACCCATGGTGTACTTCAGACCGTAAACCATCATCTCAACCTAGCAGAATCCCACCGCGGATCCATATCGACGGCGTAGAAGCCGGGGAAGCCATACAGGAAGCGCGCGTTCCAAAGGTACCAGGGGGTGATTAGGTGGCTGTATGCTGGCATGATCGCTGAGCGCACATGGAACGTATAGTGGCTAGAGGGCGCTTTGGACTGTCTCTCGGTACCGGCGGAAGGTGTGGCAAGTATGGCGGATACGCTTATATTGTACTGGACCAGGTTCACGACGACCGCCTGACTGACTGGCCACCTGTATATCGTGGGCAATATCGCATTTCGACACATGGCCGTCTTCCGTATGCAGCTCGAGTTGTGGGGATCATGCCGCAGGTCTCCGGATGGTGGTGGTAAGGCGGACACAGCGTCCAACAGTAAAGCACATATATTCACGAACCACGTGGGTATCCCACGCTCCGAATCTGCCTCGAACAATGGCTGGATTCAGTTGACGCTTGACTTCCACCTTACGATAACCACTATGGCCCCGCAACGCCCTTCCAATTGGGACCCTATAATGCTCATATCTCAGGTACTTGGGATCATACAGGTGGATTTTTCGTGGACCTGCTCAGCTTGGAACAGATAGTAGCCATGCAATCATTACACTACCTTACGCTCGCAACTCTCGCACCACCACTGCTCGCCATCTTTGCCGCGCCGGAAGCCCTGGCTTATGAAGGAGGAGCAGCCAGCGTAGGGATGGTTATGGACTGGCGGGAAATTGCGGGCCGGCCCACGTTTCGATTGCTACATGGAGAGGAACGTTGGAACGCGTTCGCGGGGGCATGGAGTGGAGGGAAGAAGTTGACAGAGGGCGGTACGCAGCCAGGCGTGGACCCGTTGAGAGGATGGGTTCTGGGCGTGGCTTGGGTGCTTGCGTCGACTGTAGAGTGCGCGGCCATACATTATGTTTCCAATGTCTATGTATCTCATAATCGCAGTGCATATTACCTCTTCGCGATCGTGCGCCGGCCACGGCTCATCCTCGATTTCGCACTCACTTTACTCTTTAATCATCTCGTCATTACGACGTACTATGCTGCCGCGGTACCGACATCTCTGTTCTTCTGGGCTGTCGTCCTCGCGGGTGCGGCGCTGACAGTCATTCTCGGCGAACAGCTGTGTGTCAAGCGCGAGATGACCGAGGGCCTCGCGGTTGTCAGAGGGTCGGATGGTGAAAATGTGGAGATGGAAGGGCTTATGCAGCGGCGAGATTAGACGGCTGTCAGGCTACCTTATCGTCCATTCAATGGTGTGGCACCTGAATACTTGATTAGTCGCCCTCAATGCCTTGCAATCGAGATCTATAGAAGCGTCGAAGCTTCCGGCCGGCCACAGCTGTAGCTCCTTTGCATCTGCACGATTTGTGACGCATGGCCCTCCCGCCGGCTGCCCTACACATCATCAAGCGCAGCTTTCGGTTGCCGCATCGTTGCAAAGGTCCAGGTCGTGTTGACATCCGTCATATAGCCTGAACCCTGACAAGTAGCCGAGAACGTTTTGAACGCCGAACTCGTCAAGATCCACGTGCATCAAATTGACCGCCGTTGTTCGTGTCCGAAGAATGGCAAGGACATGAATCTACCCGGCTCGAGCTCAGATCTGCTTGTCTCTCTACCTTCCTATTTCGGCGTCTCCGATGAACGATTCGATGCACGCAGGTCTATGATTGCCTGCGTGATGCTGTAGGGTGGCAATGGCGCAGCCTCTCTCGCCGCTAGTACCCAACGACCTTCTGTGATGTGTCGTTTATGAGCCGCTGTCGACCGTTGTGGCGCACCTCGTTGCGCATCCAGATCGACGCTGGCCGGCCGAACTGCCCGAGCATATGGTTTCTGCAGATCCCGCTCTCGGTCAGATCAAGGGGCTTACGCATCTCGGAAGAGAGACAAAAGTGGTTGGCTGGCGGGGCTCAAAAGCTCTACAATCGAGTCTCTCGGGCGAAGCCTGTGAACTTCCTCGTGGGTTTACCCTGTAGTCGTGTTGCAAACGTGTGCCTAATCATTACACGACATGAAGTCCGACAGATCAAGTGCGTTGTCTATCGATGTAAGCGTGCTCGTAGACGAGGGTCGGAAGCGCGTGGGAGAGGACTACAGTTCACCCTGCACAGTCTTGGCTATGGAAGGTGAGGAGGTCGTCTCGTCAGGTGTTATCGAGGAAGTCGGCTGAAGGTCTACGCACTTCCTCATTGTCAACCATGGTATGCGAATTGCATGTGTGGACACCTCGTTCTCATCGATACGCTACCGCCGAGCCAGAACCTGTGCGATTCCAGTTCATGTGTACGCGCCTTGCGTTCGCGCGTAGTCGCACTACTCACCACAGTGTTCTGCGATTGGGTGATATGCTACGGCCATGACCAGCCGGGGCTCATTCATCTGCGCTTACACCGAGTCTTGTGAGACTGTCATGCGCAGTTGGCCCATTGTCGCCACAGAACTCCCTACGCCGCAAGTGCATCGAAAGCTACCGAATAACTCCCGTGTACAGCTCGCGCACTCAGGAGCAGACGAGCGTGGAGTGCATCTTCCTACTGGAGATCTCGCCCAGCAAGAGCATAGATAGATGACTAGACTGCGGGCAGTACAAAGGCCAATAGGTTCGGAAGAGAGATCCGCGTACCCGAGTCATAGTGCGTCTATGAGCGGTACAGCTGGGAAGCGACTTTACATCCGGAGGTGTAGTGTTGTATAGATAGGTACCGGGTTGTATCGATCCACCAGATTGTCGTACTGTATCGACTGCACCAGAGCAAGGGCGCGCTGAAGGGTTGCGTCGGTGAATCGGGACGATGATCGGGCCATAGTCGCACGTGGCTTGGCGAGGTGGCCTCGTCGCGACGCGACGCTTGCCTTTGGTCTTTCACGCACCGCCATGACCTGCGGGCTTTCAGTCTATCCTTCTATCAGAACCATTCTTGTTGCGTTTCGAACGACCTGTAGAAATACAGGGGGAGATCAATGCGTACGGGTCATGGACAACAGAGTTCTCGGGCGCTTGTGGCGACATGGAAGTGCATCGCCTGAATCTGGCACTAGGCGGGTAGCACTACGGGTGGCCTGGCGTCCTGGCGCAGATCTCCTCAGGCATTACGCATGCATTCACCATGTTCCCGGACTCTGAACACCGCCTGTGTCGGTATTTCAATCGTGGACACGAGGCGCCGCCACCACCCGCCCCGTTGCCTATATAAGCTCGGTACCCTAACCATCGGGATCGCCTGTTGTTTTCCCTCACCCTCCACCGTCCGTGCGCGCGTGACGCCACCATGAATACGCTCAAGAGCTTCATTGGCCCACTGGCCGAATCCGTAAATGCGAATTCTCTGCAAGATACGATGGTGCGAGGACTCGCGTACTTGGGAATTCGCCACAACTAAGCTGAGCCACCGCAGAAACTGGTAGTGATAGGTGGGACTATGGAAACTGCGCGAAGGCTCTCTGTCTCTGCATGGAACGGATTCGTAGACTGTGCGTCGTAGCCGGTGCAACCCAACACCGGCGAACAGCTGACAGTGGACTGTAGCCTTCTTCCTCACGGCCACCTTCAACTCTGGGGATATCACCTTCGACTGGTGCGTGGACTTTAAGCTATGATAGCTCTATTGCTCATGAGCCTCAAATAGGATAATGCATTGGCTTTCGAAGGTCAGTCGGGCTCACACGCGCTCAAGGAGCGCCGCCACTGAATTTCGTCACAGCAACCGGCGTGGGGACGCAGCCGCGAATTCGAGATCACCACGCGGTCCGTGAAACGCAATGGTCTCGAGCAAGCCACCACAGGAGACGTCGAGGAACCTGAGGATGAGGTCGAGGAGTATGACGATGATATCGGCCGCCGCAAGCGTAAGATCGCCTTCCTGCCCAGCGTCGGTGTGTGCAAATTCTGCCCCTTTCGAAAGCTGGGACTGATTGGCGCGTGCAACCCTACAGACACTACGCATACGATCTATTTCCGGGGGCATCTGCTGCGGGTGAGAGGGTCGCAGATCTGCCGCTCGCTTTGGATACTGACACTGATGGCCAGATTACGCGCTCGAAAGGCTTCCAAGACTACGGACATTACTCGTCTCTCAAGATCAGGTTTGCCTGTTCGTCGCCATCTTACGTGTTCATCTTGTGGCTCACGCTCTATGAAGTGTCGTCGCACGCAATAACGACATCTTGAAGGCAAGTACATGTCCGCAATAGACCTATCGGGCCGTGATCCTGACCTCTTCTTCAGCGCCTCGTTCTGGACGCGAAACGCGAATACGAGAAAGGCATGTCTCACTCACTCGCCCTTATCTCTTCGCCCTCGCTTGAGACGCGTGCCGACGACTCTCGCTAACCCGCTTGCCCTGAATAGATGCAGAACACAGAGTACACATCTTTATGGCCGACACGTGCGTCGTTTCTCCCGAACCCATCAAGTACCGGGACCAATACTGACGTCTTCTTTCCTGAAGGACCTACACATGCTGGCGCTGGAACGGCGCACGGCAGAAGAGGCCGATGAGCTCCATCGTTCTCGAGCCAGCCGTCAAGGAGATGATCCTGACCGACTGTAAAGATTTCTTGCGGTCCGAAGAGTGGTACGTTTTGCTCCACCATCATTTGTTCGACTCTACTTGACATGGGTGTAGGTATGCGGAACGAGGTAATGCGCTTCTCCGCCGCCACAGCAAGCGCCCGAAAGCTTATACCTTCTGTTAGGAATTCCATTCCGTCGGGGGTACTTGCTTTACGGTGTACCTGGGAGGTCTGTTCGTTCATTATACATCGTTAATATCTCGGTCGGTGTTGACGTCACACTTCGTAGCGGGAAGACCTCCTTGATTCACTCTCTGGCCGGCGAGCTCAATCTGGACATCTACGTTGTCAGCTTATCGTCGAAAGGGTGTGTCTGCCTGCGCTTTACTCGCCTGTCAACCTCTCTGACGTATGACAGAATGAGCGACAATACGTTAACGACTCTCATGGGTTCGGTGCCACAACGGTGAGGATAGACGATCAGGCACGTTCCGTACGTGAGAAAGCTCACGCCTCGTTCGCGCAGGTGTATCTTACTTCTCGAGGACCTCGACGCTGCGTTCACGCGCTCCTTGACTCGCGATGACACCTCGACCGGTACACCCACGGTCGCCACCAAGCAAGCTTCCGATGCATCTGACGGCTCGACGCTCAGCTTGAGTGGCCTCCTGAACAGCCTGGACGGTAGGACATTCACTACATGCGGCCGTGCTCATACTGATCGTAGTCGTTCGTCCCAGGCGTGACTGCCGCTGAAGGCCGTCTTCTCTTCGCGTCAGTACTCTTCGCATCCGTACCGTGTACTGTAACTGATGGAAACGCTGAAGTACGACCAACCATATCGATCGCTTGGATAGCGCACTCAGCCGCCCCGGTCGCTTGGATGTATGGTGAGTCCAGACGTCGATTCATGCGTTCCCAACTCAGCGTCTCATGTCCTCCGAAGGGTCAACTTCACGAACGCGACGCGCTGGCAGGCGGAGGGTATCTTCAAGAACTTCTTCCCGAGCAAGGGTAAGAAACCGGCCGCGTCCGCGTTACCGGAACCCGCGCAAGAAGAGCCGTCGAAGGGCAAGGGAAAGCAGAAGGAGAGCGCGCCTGCCGCTATCAAGACGATCTCTGCGGCCAAGAGCAAGCATGCCGTGCCTTCGCTCGAGGAGGAGGAGATCGCCGAGCTCGCGAAACGCTTCGGCGAGGCGATTCCCGAAGATGAGCTGAGCGTGGCGAGCTTACAGGGGTACTTGCTCAAGAACAAGACGAGGCCCCGCGAGTGCGTGGATGAGGTGGCCGCATGGGTACAGAGCGAGCGCGAGACGCGGGAGAAGCTGAAGAAAGAGAAGGAACAGGTACGTCTCGTGTCCCCACCGGCGCTTTCCCTCTACTCACCCCCTGATCCTAGCGCGAAGCCGAAGAGAAGAAACAGGTAAGACAGTCCATCTTCATCGCGTGTTCAGGCATTGATTGATATGTTCTCAAGGCCGAAGAGATCGCGCGTAAAGAGGTGGGCGTAGTCATCACCGTGCCATGTCTTGTCCGTTTCACTGACCATCATCCGGCAGAAGGAAGAGGCAGAAGCCAAGGAGAAGACGGAGCGCGAGGCGAAGAAGAAACTCGAACGCAAGATGCGCAAGGCCGCAAAGGCGCAGGCTCAGGGCCAGGCGCCGACCCAGTCCGTAGTCTACGTACCCGTTCCGGCCATGCCGCCCGGCATGATTGCCACGGGCCCGCTCACTCCTCCGCCGAGCGGTGTACCAACTCCGATCGCGTCCGGCGCCGCCAGCGGCTACGAGTCGGACGGCTCGTCAGACTCGGAGTCCGATACTCAGAGCCTTGCCACCGCGAACGATGCTGAATCGGACAACGAAGCGGCTCAGCCCAGGGAGAAGTGGGTGGAGGTCAGGACCACTGCTTCTCCCACGCCTGCGCCACAACACGCTGTTCCCGCTGCTGCCGCTCCCGCTGTCTGAAACGACGCTCTCTTGCTCTGAGGTGCTTCCCGGGATAGTGGACGCGCTAGCTCATCTTTCTCCGTGATTATTGTAGTCTAGTCTTGCTTTGGGATCTCTCCGGTTGCTGGCTCTGTCTACGCGCCAGAATGCTGTCTTATTGCTGCGCTTATTTGTGTATCCTACTCATATTCTCGTATTGTATCTCTATGTACACACGAACCCGAACGGAATGTATCACCCTACTCTATACCTTTCTTGTCCGCGGCCCGATGGTTCTTTTGGAGGGTCGGTTATGTCTCCCGCCAAGTCGGCGATTATCCTTCACTGGTCACTACGCATTGTCCGCTTGCTAGAGGGCGAATGATAGTCCACCCTCGCGCCATTCCTGTACGGTTCCGCCCTATCCATACACTTCTCATTCCCTTGTCGGCAAGTTTTTGAGCTCCTCTCTGTGGATAGTCTGCCTATGAAGCTCGTGCAATGACAAATGCGCGTCTTCCTTAGTGCGTTGAGTTTGGATTGACGATCGTCCCCCCATCGGCGTCCAGAGTCTGTCCACTCGACGAAGGCGGCTCAACAGGACGCTCGTATAGCCTTTGATAGAGTCGGCATCGAACTGTATCTCAGCCAGCGCTCAAGGCTACGCACCTCCACTATCCCAGAGAATCATATGCAAGCGATAACAGCCCCAGGACCAAGTGCCTGTGGAGTGTTGGCATGGACGCTCGCAACCAAAAGCCCTCCTTGGTTATGGGGGAGCTGCGGTACCTAGCGAAGAAGCATATGCTCGGTTGATGTCAAGGCGTGGAGTGGGATAAGGGAGCTGTGGCACTACTCGGATCGGGGCCGAGGAGTGGTAAACGTGACGGAGAGAGCCACGTAGGGCGTCACAGTGGGGATGAACCGTAGATGTGCCAACCCGAGTTGTTGTTTGTAGCATGTGTATGCGCACGGTTGAGCACATTGTCGCTGGCGATACTGGCGGGGTTTCAAGCGAATGGTTGTGCATGTGCTTGCGTACGGTCTGTGAGATGCGCAACCGCGTTCGGCCAGTGCAGATGCGTTCCGGTCTCCCGCGACGTAGGATCATCCAACAATGGTTGCGTAGACCATGGAACACCATGCTGACGGTGAAGTCATCGACTCAATCGATCACTACACAGTGGGACCGGCGCCGGTAGAAAGAGAACACGAACTGTGATCGTGAAGGAGGGGGACATCCGAGGTGGCCCGCGGTGACGTAGTTTGTTTGACGGAGCTCTTCATCTCATCCTCCCGCTGTCCGGCGAGTGCTGATGCTGTACTCGTGAGCGAGGATGCGTGAGCTCTGAGGGAGTACTCAGACGCGTTGTATCGTTTGATCGGAAGGACGAGGAAAGCGACGCCACATCTCGTACGCTCCACACGACCACATCGTGCTCGAGCGAATGGTAAGGGTCCCACCGTCTGAAGAGACCCTACCGTGACGACGCAGCATACGTGAAGTTCCTCCGAGTGGTCGACAACAAGTAGAGATCGACGCTGAGTGAGGTGCCACAATGGCCCGCGGGGGACACTCGTGTGAGGACGAAGCAGCGCAGCTGTATCACTAAGAAGTCGACAACACGGCATGCGCCGTAAGTCGGACGCACGACTAAGCACCTATACATCATGTTAGCGTAGAGTTTGAGCGAGGAGGGGAAGAGGGCCGGTGACCTAAACGTAGAAGACAAGAGAAGAGAAGAGTCGTAGAGATTGCGAGGGACGACGGGACGTGCGAGGTTTGGAAGTTCTGGTGTGTTTGTTGACTATGACGTCCGAGCGTTGTCGTGAGTGTATGCAGAAGAGATAAAGGACGGCCTGAGAGATCGAGATGTGGGCTTGCTGTGCGCGGACGAGCGAACGGCACGTACCGTAAGACCCCTGTGGACCTCCTCGTCGGACAAAGCAACGCCGCCACAGCTCACTCAGCCCGTCCACACCGCGCGACGTCAGCGGAAAGCACACTTCCCAATGCGCACAATATGCGCAGTCTAGACAAAGCAAGAGGTCACAAAGGGCTCGAGTTAGCAAGTGTATAGCTGAGACTAACACTAAGCTGAGAACCGCGACATCGACGGCTCTAGAGTCCGCCCACACAAAGCAACGCTCCTTCTTAGCCTCCCCGCGCTCATCGCCGTTCGTCCCTGCATGCACCCTCCTTGACCGGTGACCTGTGTGTGGACAAGAGGCCGATAAGACCAGTGCCACAAACGCCGCGCGAACTTCGCCATTGGTCGCGCGCGACAGGGGTGGGCTTGGAATCTGGGATGCCGGCGGTAGTTCGGCAGCGGCGCGGCGGCGCGGCTATCGCGGGGGGCGTCGGTGTCGTGGGCATTGTCTGTAGTCTACAACGTTCCTGTCAAGCCGCTGTTCGAGGTGGAGTAGCGCAGGACGTCAAGCTTCAAGACGGATATGGCTTGGGGCGGCTTGAACGTCGAATGTACGTCGTACGCTGCAGATCGCGGCGGGCTGTCGGACGTGAAGGCTGGTAAGCGCAGTCTGAGTTCGAACTTGAGAACGCTGGAAGGCCACAATCGAAGGTTTATGCCATACCGCAGATGAAAGAAGCCGGGAGGCGCGCGGGATGGCGACTTGAGGCTTCTGTTCGAGGTTTGAACGCGAACTTTGGGTTCGGGATGTAGATTGATGGTGATGCGTGATGGGTGATGTGTGGCGTTCGGAGTCTGGAGATTGTACAATGTGCTTTGTACGGTGTGAAGCGCGCAGGAGGGCGTGGCCGAGGACGTCGGGAGGCGAGCGATATGTAGTCTGTATGCATGTAGGAAGGTCCTACAGCTACAGGCTACGCGTCGCACGGACAGACACATACAGCAGTAGGAACGACATCGTGGAAAGACATACATACGATACGAAGCCGCGAAGCGAACGTTCCATCGCGTACAATGGGTTCCAAATCAGACCTTGCGAAGTGAGCAGCGGCGGTTCAAGATAGGATTCGTCGAGTGTGTAAGTAGTGGTGGGATTCAGATGGATGACGACGCCGCGCATCTGTTCCCAGCCTGCAGCGCGCGAGACGTGCGCGACGGGATGCGTAAAAACGCGGGCACGAGGCGGGGACGACACGGGGCGGGGTGCTCATCTTCGCATCTCGCAGCTTCATCGCAATCATCATGTAGTATATAGAGCTTCCAAGCCCGCAACGCACCCACACACTGGCAACGCGCGATGATAGATGCAACTGACAAGCGAAGGTGTGTATAGCAGAAGGCGCCCACGGCTACTTCGAAGCACGTTGGCCTGATGGGCGCATCTCGAGCGGTTCGCACAGCGGGGAAGGAAGGAGAAAGGAACGATACGGAACGGCCGCAGGACGGGAAGCTCGGGACGCGGACACGCCCATGCATGCAAGAGTTGAGTTTGAGCTTGTAGGGCCGTGCCAGCTCTCGGGGCGGCGTGACCGCCGGAGATGAGCTAGGCCGGGATGGGATATGGAGGCGCCCCAGCCGAGCTCGGAGGGCAGCGGGAGAGCAAAGAGATCACAATTGGAAGTCGAGGATCGCCGGGCGCTGAATGTATGCGCTCTGTGGCAGGTGGACAGTCGCTTTTGTATTGTGTGAAATGGTTCAACGGGCTGGGGGAAGGTTGATGGACGTGGGCTCGCAATGGTCAACGAGCGTCGCCCTGGGCGACGAGGAGCTCCAAGCATCCATCGGCAACGCGATGGATTCGGATAAAGTAGCAGGATGGCTGATAGTACTATATTTGTGGGTAGCTCCAGTGGCTAACGCAGTGCATGAAAGCCGTGACACGGGAGTTGAGCTGTGCCTGAGCATGGGTTTTGCGGCACGTGCGAAAGCTCATATATAGTCAAATCGGGCCTCTGCTTGAATCGCCCACCAGCCAACCCCCGCCTCTGCTACCTCTCGTGTCCTGAGTGGACGCTTCGCGCGCCATGCCTCTGAGCAATCCAACCAAACCGTGTCTCAAGAACCATGGCGGCGTGCCATCCATCAGCGAGCGCTCGTCGGTGCCGCCGCTCGCGATGCCCGGGAGGAGAGAGGCGCCGCGAGTGACGTTCCCGCCTTCGCCCAAGCTGACAAGAACGTTCGCCGCACACCCCGCCGCCATCTACGACCGCTCCCCCATCACCGTCCTACCCAACGCCTGCGCCCTCCCCGCCCGCGGATGCCCGGGCCGCACATACCACCCATCGTCGAGCCCGTCCCGCAAGTCGGGCAAGCTCTGCCACCCATCCCGCTTCTCCCAACAATATCCCCCCTCGGCCAATGCCGTACCTGGCCTCGTCCACGATACAACGTCTGAATCGGACGAGAGCGACGGCATCAGCAGTCCTCCCCCGCCCGCCCACGCCCCTGGGCCCCTCCCAGAGCTCTCCCTCTCGTTCCTCCCCCACGCCCACGCGTCAATCTCGACGCTCTATCGCGCCCCCGCACGTGATGACGACGATGGCATCCCCGACTACGACGAGTACGACAAGGGCGACAAGGATCGCCATCGCCGTGGCCGTCGCGATCGTCCGCGCCAGGACCGCCGCAGCTCCGTTGCCCGCGGCCGCCAGCCCCGCTCACGTCCTGGTGACGACATGGAGGAAGAGGACGAGGCGGATGAGCCCGCGGACGACGACGACATACGAAGCGGGAAGGGGTGCTTCAAGTCTTTCTCTGATAGCCTCGCGCTCGAGGGCTGCGGCTTTGACGACGCCGACGAAGGCTGCCTCGGCGGCTTCTGAAGTCGGCTGTTACCAGTCACCGTGAAAAGTATCTACACTTCTTAGTGTTCCGATCGTCGCTCTCGCATCACTATGCTCTTCACCCTCGTCGCTTGCCCGTCAGCCGTTCGCGCGCTTGTGTTATATCCTAGACAGACGTGGTGCACGCTCCCTTCCCTTAACTCTTATGTCTCCTTATGTTCCCCCCGTTCGCAGTTCAGCTTCATGTCGCCTCTCGTACACGTTCACATTCCACGATACGATCCCATCGTAATTCTTTACCCCCAGCATACCCCCATCACAGCACAATACGAATCTCGAGTTCCCTCCAAGCCCAAACAGTCTTATGCCCCGCCCATCCCACTCGCCCGCTACCTCATCGCGGACTTCACGATCCACGCAACAACACCGTCGTTTATTCGCAGTCGTTTATTCGCCGCAATAGATGTAACACCACCTTTGCCTTGTTCTTCGGCGCTTAGCGCCTGCTCTGAGCGCCCCTATCTTTCTTTCAGATGCGCTAGCATCGAGATTTGGGATCCGTCCAGCACAGATGGACGGGCAGCATCGGGTACGAGGACAACAATGACCACCACAACGACCAGCAACGACGAGAATCTGAATCCGGATTCAGTCTCATCCGTCGTTGTCCCCGCACAATTTTTCCTTCCGCCTTTTCGTGCGCAATTTTTGGCTCGTGCGCGGGGGACGCGACGCCGAAAGCCCCTAACGCTGACGCGACGCATCTGAACATCCGATCCCGTCGTCGAAACGATGCAGATCCGCTTCCGTTGCGCGTGCATCCCGGCGCACGCTATTCGTCCGGAGACCGAACTGAGTGCGGTATTTTCGCCGCACGTTGCACGTTCTTTGTGGGCGGTGAGCGCGGACGCCCGTACTGGTATTGTCCGCTCAGTAGCAGCTGGTACTGTTGGGTCAGCGGTTGGTGCATAGGATCTTAGCTGGGTGGCGTAGGTTCGGCAGCTACAGTTATTCCTGGCGAGCGGGAGGAGGCCATGATCAGGGCGGAGCGCCCCGGGCGTCCGAGCCACACGTCGGAATGACCGGTCCGACGCCCGACGCCTCATCTGGCGCATGTTGGGCGCGACGCCCTCGAGGCGCGCCATGCCAGGGCGCGCCCTGGCGCCCCGGTGCAGGTGGAAAGCGGTGCGCGCGCTCATGTTGCGCGGTGCACGGCTTAACAGCGGTATGACCGCAGCCTATGCTTCCCTGCAGGTTGGGCTGTATCGTCTAGCTGATACACTTCATGATGAACATGAACATGGGTCTAAGTGCGAAGTTCCCTTAGAGGCTTGGCCGTGCGTAGCACAGTTGCTGGGCTGTTTCGAGGGCACTGCATGGCCTGCCCGATGGAGGAAGTGGCGTGTGGACTTTGCGCAGATGCTGGATGTACGGTAGGCACGCCCGCCTCGGACGAAGGCGCCGCGCGCACAATAACGCATTATGCACCGTGATGCGGCAGGACTCCTGCCCGACATCTCGCCTGCAGCGCCGGGCAGGCTCGCGCTGACCGCAGCCCTTGCCCTCCGATGATCAGCTTACCATCTCCCTCTGACTGGAAATGCGAATGCGAATGCGAGCTCGGGATTGGGTGGCCGGACGTCGGCGGCGGGGAGGGCCGCCCGTGATGCGACGCGGTAAGGGCGGGACCTGTGGCGGCATTCAGGTTGTGCGTATATGCGCTCATGACGATGCGGACCTGGGTACGTTGCTCCGCGTTGACGACAGCTGCTGTTGCCCGTGCGGCATGACGGGGTTGCTTTGTTCCGTTGCGCTGCGAGCTGCGGAGGTCCGCTGTTGAACGGTGTTGGAGCTTGACTGCATTTGAGCTGGTCATTCTCGTCCTCGGACTTTGCACTATCCATCTCTCGAGCAAGCTCTCAAGACAACTACAGCTACAACACACAGTGAGCGCGATGTACCTTCCGTCTCATGCGGACGACCGCCTTCTCGTCGTTCCATACAGCTCACGAGTGCGCCGCACGCGTGTTGTGTATGCGGAAAAACAGGCTGAGCTTGAAGTCTACGGACCAGTCGGCGAGGTGTACGTGATTTCCGATGAACTGGCATAGCTCGGGGCGAACTGGCACGCGTACGATTCGTAGACGCCGACGAGGTGAAAGCTTCGGATTGCTCGTTCTGCTCCGGAGTGTATGCGCGGCGTGCTGCCAGAAGCTGTTGGAGAAGGCCGCACATCGAGTTCTGCGGGAGATCATCTTGATCTTATGCCTATCTTGTGCTATTCGATGGGCCACCTTACACTCGCGTTCATACTGACTTTGCTTCTACACGCGTCCGCGGCGCACTGCGAGATGCTCCGTTCCACAGCGCTTCAACGTGCTCGCACTCGTAGGCGCGAACTGAACCGGCAGCCTTCCACTCACCCATCCATGATACCTACCGCACTCCCTCGGCGGCTCGCCCACCATATGCCTATCGCTACACCCATGACAAAGGCAGCGTCTCAAGCTGACTACACCCCCATCGCCGCGACCCTACCCGCACCCTATGATTGCCGTACAGAGCAACCCGCGCATCCCATCTACCCGTATGACTGGAAAGCCAAATCCATACCCAGCGCGACAGCAACCCGAAACGGTCACATACAAAGGACGCCCTTTCATCGCCCGCTGCCGTCCTCGCCGATTCCCGAAGCGAAGTTCATCTGAACGTAGAAGACGCCAAGGCCGGAGCATACAGTACAGTACACACAGCGCGGCGCGTTCGCAATCCAATCTCAATGTGGCCCCGCGGACATCGTCCTTCGAAGACTCAGCCCAGAGCGACGCTGACTGTTGCACGGGACGCCGCTTCTCTCGAATTCGGGCTGCAGCGAATCCTGTCGTCCACGGCGGCTTTGGCTTGGGTACTTTCGCAGCGTGCAGGCCAGCCTGGCCACAGTTCAATTGAGTGGACGAGAACTTCTGGATCGTGTTGCTGTTGGACACGCACGACGCCGTGCTTCGCCGGCGTCGTGTACACACCATGCGCTCTGTGGCCTGCTCAGAAGTCTGTGTAGCCCGTTGGAAGATTGTGGCCTGTCAGAAGTCGAACGTGCGCTCATTCGGGGTCGGATTCTCGCAGGTTCGCGGAGGAGTTGCTCGGGCTCTCACGTCGATGTCCGAGTGTCAGTGTACATACAGTGGCCGCTAGCATCTGCGTCAACAGCGACCGGCCCTTCCGCGCGCCTCTTTCAAAGGCTTGAGCCGCAAGGAACGGCGTAACTCTAACAACGAGCGCTCCAAAGCACTGCTTTACTTTCACCGTATGTACCGCTCGCGGTGTATCCTCAGCGTCACTGGGGCTTCTTCCCGGTAGCTATGCCACGTCCTCGCGCTCCGCGGGTTTCGTTGCCCCACCGACGTAAGGATGTAGGCACGGTTGTTCTTGAGGGACATGATGTGAAGATCAGGGGGAGGTTGGAGGCTGGCGTCTATATCCTTCTTTGTGGGCGTAGAGAACACTAACGAAGACGTCATAGTTGTGGCCCGAAATCGCGCGGTCGCGAACGAAAGCGTCGATATTAGATCGGTGTATAGGTCACGGCTTCTACGTTCTTGGTACCGTATTGAGATGCAGCTCATGCCCGATCGCGTTGCGTGACGGCGTCCAAGATCCACGGGCTCACATATCCTCGTGAAAGCAGCGCTTCCCTGCTCAGGACGTGCGCGCCACTGATTTTTCCAAGGCAGTTCTACACGAGTACACTCAGAGACGATTCCAGGTGTGAGAGGAGAGTACGCACCGAAGCTCCGCATCTGCAGTCGAATGGTTGGTCCATCGCCCATTCCGTGCTTGGGTAGAAGAACGTCACTGAGAGGGAGATGCATGAGCGCCTCATTCGCAAAAGCAAAGGCGAGACGCTGCCTACACTGCTCTCCTTCCTTGATGCTCTTAAGCGCGCGCAAGTTCCACTGGCTTCTGTCGGGTGAGGAGAGGTCGAACGCGGTATTTGGATCGCAAGAGTGGTTCACTATGGCGGCTTAGCTTCCCTCATCCCTTCAAGTACGCACGACAAGGGGTCAAACTCACCATACACCAGGTCAGAGTTTAGTTCGATGTGATCGTTCTCTCCCGGACCGCACTGGACCGACGTGTATGCTTTAGGGCCTTTGGTCGTGCCCGACACGGATGCGATAATGGCGCCTGCCGCGAAGTCCTTCACGTATTCACGACCGTCAGATGTACTCAGAGCCCTTTTTATGCTTGATCACCTTCTTCGCGATCAATCCCGAATCAAGTTCGCCGTCGCCGAACTTGACCTCGACGACACCGGGATGGGAGGGTTTGTAACCTTGCGCTTGGGGTTTCATGGCTGCGGACTACCGCCTTATACTGAGTCTCGCCATTTGTTTTAAGTCACCGCGAACGTCTGTCTACTCGTGATTCTTCTCGGTGGCGACATGTTTGCCTTTACTCGGGCCGCCACTGATCGATGTGTTCACGAGGGAGCCGACGTCGCTGCGGGCGAGCTTGGCATTCGAGTCTACCGCGACAGCGGGTGTCTTGACCGTATGCATCAGACCCTCTGAGCGGTCCGAACCGAAAGTCCGAGAGATGATCGCAGATTAGATCGTACAACGCCGCGGAAGAGGCAAGGGAAGAACCGGAACGCGACGCGTCTCAGGAACGACAGTTATCCACGTGCGCGCGTCCACTCGTTTCGCACGCCCGGCAATCGCCGACGCGCAGATCGACGCGAACGTTTGTTTTCCCATCGTGCGCGTCGACCAGTCCACCCACCCACTCCTCGTCAAGACTCCCGAGCACCCCGAGCGCGATGGCCCCCACTAAGAAGTCCAAGTCCGCAAAGTCGACCGAGTCGATCACGGCCCGCCTCGCGCTCGTCGTCAAGTCGGGCAAGTACACCCTCGGCTACAAGAGCGCCCTCAAGCAGATGCGCAACTCCAAGGGTGAGTTTATTGATTATACCCGTCGGGGCTGGAGCTACGGCTGAGAAGGTCCCTAATGCTGACTTTGCCCTTTTCTTCTCCTTTTTCTCCCCATTCCATTATTTCCTGCGCGCGGCGTACTTGCTACGACCTTGAATGTGCGCTCTATAGCCAAGCTCATCCTCATTGCCGGCAACATCCCGCCGCTCCGCAAGAGCGAGATCGAGTACTACGCCATGTTGTCCAAGACGACCGTCCACCACTACGCTGGCACGAACGTCGCTCTCGGCACTGCGGCCGGCAAGCTCTTCCGCGTCGGGTACGTTCATTCTCACCCATGTTATCCGCGAGCAAGATGCTCACGTTTCGTGCAGTGTCATGACCATCACCGACCCGGGAGACTCTGACCTCCTCGCTTTCGCAGAGGCTCAGCAGTAAAAAGCTGGTTGTTTGACTGGCAAGTTCATGGGTTTGTGCTGTTGCTGTATGCTGTATGAGTATGGTACCCGTGATGCATACATGTTTTATGCGCTTTGATCTTGCTTTCGATGCTATCACTTGGTTTTCGAATAAGTCAAAGGATCGATTCATTCTTGAAAGCGGCATGTTGCATGCTGAGCGAATGCGTACGCGTTTGAACATGTAGTATGCAAACTAACTTGAGAGTGATTTTGATCTCGGCCTTCGGAGGAATGCTCGAGATTGACACAAAGTGCTTCTTCGGCTTATGTAAGAAATCCGGACTGAAAGTCGTCGACTCGTCAACGTTGCTTCCAGGCGAAGAGCATTTTCCGGATACGTATCTCAGAGGGGCGAGAGCCTGGATGGATCGGCTTGTGTACATATGTGAATACAGTTGTTCACTAGTGACGACGCGCGACATTGTCCGAGTTGCGAGTGGACCAGCTTGCGACGTGTCCAGTATCTCCGGAAGCTGCATGTGGGAGGGGCGCAGAAAGAAGTATCGAAACACAGGCATCTGCTCAGTTACTGTCAGATATTGTGCGGTATAGACAACCAGTGGACCGGTACCGGTGCATGGAAAGTGAGAACTAGTGAGAAGGGCTCGCAGGCCACGATCGCCTGATACTGTGAGGATGAATTGACCTGGTGACCTGTGCTGAACTCGAAACCAGGATTCAATCCCTTTTCAATATCTCAAGCACTGTACTAGCATAGATGCCACCCTTTTGAGACCCTCTTGAACCTCGTCGTCCGAAGAAAGGTGGTGGAGAGCGGCCAAAGTGATCTGCGCCTCGCGACGCGCCTGCGCCCTTCGCGTAGCTTGGAAACGAACCACCACCTTGAACTTCTTGCCCTCCACTCCACTTGAGAAGAGCCCTCACAGAACAAACTCTCTTGAATGAAACCCCAGCAGTAGAGCCATTGTTCGTCTCTACGTTTCTGCCGCTCTCCGCCGAGCTGTGGCCGTGGGATCTACAGCGTTGAGCGTCAACGACCCTGGCCTCGTTCTCGCGCGTCAGAGCCGCATTCTCAGCCGGCAAGCTCGCGTCCTTGACCCTTTGACCTCCCTCTCCCGTCGCAAGTTTTGCTCTCGATGGTCACTTGACCACGCACGGGAGCCAGCAGAACCAAATATAGATCCCCAGCGGGAGAGGGCATCCGAGAGAGGCATCGCCGCGAATATCGATGGGGATAGTATGGAGTGCTGTACCTCGGACCTGGTACCTTTCGGATGCCTTCATCAATGTCTGAGCGGCAGGTCGACACGCATCGGAGAACCACATTTCAAAAGACCCGAGGCGAACGTTGGCGGCGTGTTCTGTATTAACAAACACCATACGAACGATCACGGCCCGGGCACCAAAATGCTCTGTCGACCAGGATAGCTCCGAGTTGCATCCTGCCGCTGTTCATTCTCTTCATGCATTTTCTTGCCACGATTCGCTGTATTAGCGCAACCGCGAATGTGCAGCTTCATGCAGGGCACACAGCTTTCGCTCTCGCGCATCCGAAGGACTTCTTTCCGCCGGGACAAACGCTTTGGGTTTGAGTGGATAAACCTTCAATCAACGCGTTTCTCACTGCCAACGCTAAAGTTCCGGCACGCCAAGCATGTTCTGAATGGGTAGAGCCGTACTGTACGGGCAGGATGCGGCGATGACGTCGCTGTTGCTGGTCTTCAAGTCAGTGGATGTACTGCCATCGTCTCGATGATATCAGTGAAACTTGGTATTGTTGCACGATTGCGGATTCAGGCTTCTCAATAGCTTATCTGCAAGGTTCAAACTGAAGGCAACCGACAATGCGGTAGCCGTCTCGCCGCCGACTTCACGAAACATCATAGTGTTCTCGCACGACGGTGCGACATCAACCACCACAGAGCCAAGTGCGTGTGCCCTCCCATTCTCGGCTCTGCGCTTCTTTTACCGCGCTGACATCAGCCAAGCAAACTATAGGGAAAAGCCATTGGACAAAGGTCATCAGTGCAGTCGAGGAGTGCACGCTCATTAAGACGGTATTAGTCCGCCATCCGAGCTATGTAGTAGCTTTCAGGTGCACTGAAGTGGTAACACCACCTTTGGACGTTGAGCGGGCGCATCTCACAGAGTATGTGCTCGATCACGCTTTGAAGACCGACCATCTGTGAGGTGAACGGTGGTTAGTACGGCTCTGATGTTCGTACACGATGGGCTCTGTCAGGTGCGCGACGCGCCATCTAAAAATACAAACCGCCCATGGATGTTTGACTAGTACAACTTGGCCTTTGTACAGGGCGCCCGCATCGTCTATGCGAGATTACCATGCGCTCGGTCTCATCCCTGCCTATTCTACAGGTTGCTCTTGATCACTCGTTAGTCACTCGTCAGGAAGAACAGTGACTATGACGCCGTATCTGGTGAGCTTGGTTTTCTACCATATGCTCTCTCTATTGCCTTGACGCGTATTCTTCAGCTGTCGTCAATCCTGGACGAGTCAAAGTAACATTATGCACTTACTCTATCGCATACGCCCTATTGGGAATCTCAATGAGACTGAGATGCTAGTCAAGCTACACAAGACGCGGTTCGTGCCAAAGGACTGAATTGACATCTGCGTCATTGCCGTGGGTACGCCGTACCACCGTCACTCACGGAGCACAGCTCGAGATGCTTCTCCGCTGACATCTCGACCCGGAATCTCCGTCAGTGCCATTTTGTGCTCCGTGCGTATCGTAACGAGACATTGGTAGACGGTAAAGACGCTCTGTGGTCTTTCGCACCGGGGTCATCGATTTACTCCCCGTTTTGACGATCTTGCGTGGGCAACATCATGACAAGCGGCCAATGACGGGTCTCGCCGGATGCCTCGACGGGATTACCGTCGAGAACGACCCCCGTTTTTGGCATGTCATAGGAGGCATGAGGCGGGTTCAGCTCAGTGGTAGGGATGCTCGCGAACGCATGAAGGGCATGCTTCCGAACTCAAGCGTGAATGCAAGCCTGCTCATTGGCCTCCCAGCACGCATCCCTCTCTTGAATCGCCTTTATGTGCGCTGTATGCTCCCTCGGTACCGTCTCACAGTGTACATTCCCCGTGCAAGGTAGCAAGTCGACTGGAGTATAAAGAGCCTTGCCGAGCAGGACGAAGAAAGCCAGGCCTCCTCGGTTCTTCAGCTTCACCCGGTTCTCCTCCTCCAGCAATGGCCTTCACTCAACTCCTTTCCATCGTAGCTCTCGCTACTGCGGCCAGCGGTGAGCTTCATTGGCAGCATAGCTCATGTAGCCTTCATTGACATCTCTCCCTTTAGCCGCAGTCACCAAGCGCGTGACCTGCCCCGGCGGCGGTGTCACTGCCAACGAGGCGTGCTGTGTCCTCTTCCCCATCCTCGAGGACATCCAGGCGAACCTGTTCGAGAACGAGTGCGGTGACAACGCGCACGAGGCGCTCCGCTTGACCTTCCACGACGCGATCGGTATCTCGAAGACCAACTCGTCCTTCGGGTAAGCGCCTCCTCCCCTCCTCCCCCCCTCCCCTGTACTCATCTCTGCAGTGATGGCGCCGACGGCTCCTTTGTGCTGTTTGGCGACATAGAAACGCAGTTTCCCGCAAATGGCGGCACGGACGAGATCGTAGCGCTCGAGAAGCGCTTCATCGCGGCCCACCCGGGTATTTCGACCGCAGACTTCATCCAGTTCGCCGGCGCCGTCGGTATCACCAACTGCCCCGGTGCTCCCAAGCTCGAGTTCCTTCTCGGTCGTAAGGACGGTACGCGCCCGGCTCCCGACGGCACTGTCCCACTGCCGTTCGACCCAATCACCAAGATTCTTGCCCGCATGGATGACGGTGGTAGCTTCACCCCGGCTGAGGTCGTCGCCCTCATCTCCGCACACAGTGTTGGTGCCTCGGACAACGGTAAGATCACCTCAGTACTCATATATGACTCTGCTAAAGTCGTGTTATCTAGTTGACCCCACGATTCCCCGCACGCCCTTCGACTCGACCCCGAACCGCTTCGACACCCAGTTCTTCGTCGAGACTCAACTTCGCGGCACGCTCTTCCCCGGTAGCGGCCCGAACGAGGGTGAGGTTCAGTCGCCTCTCCGTGGCGAGATTCGTCTCCAATCCGACCACGACTTCGCTCGCGACTCGCGCACTGCTTGCTTCTGGCAGGCCAACGCCAACCAGCAAAACCACATGACGAGCACTTTCGCCGCTGCGATGGCCAAGCTCAACATCCTCGGCCAGGACGCGAGCACACTCGTCGACTGCTCCGACGTCATCCCGACCCCGCCATCCTTCACCGCCGCTGCAACTTTCCCTGCTGGTCTCTCGAACGCCGACATCGAGCAAGCTTGCGCGACTTCCGCTTTCCCCACGCTCGGGACGGACCCCGGCCTGGCCACCTCGGTCGCCCCCGTGTACGTCGTTTACTCACTTGGATATATGCCTGAAGCTGACGACTTTGTACAGCCCTGTTGGCTCCATGTAAAGGCCTACTTACAGGAATCTCCGACGCGATGCCTCCACTCCATCCTCCTTTCTTCTCCTTGGGGTTTGCTAGATGCGCCTCTTCCTTGGGTTCATGCTACGTGCCTATTGGGTTTATCTCTGGTCCCTCATATACGGTGTTATGTATAGTAACGATGCGATGTCTTTGGATATTTCATTCAGAAAGCGAGGCTGTGGTCTCCTTGAAGTCGAGTCCCCTCTCAGAAGGTATGTATACCGCTAGAAGTCGACATCCTAGCTTCTCGCCCATCTTATATGAGCACCGCCAGCGAAGCGACATGGGCAGTTGTCATGGTTGTATCTATATGCGCCACAGGCGATCGCCTGACTGCGACGACGAGGTTTGGGGGTCTACGCGTGTACAGGTATCACGCAAGCGTGGCGACCGTAGTCGTCTCCTGACCGCCGGATGAACAACCTGAACAAGAGATGGCGGATGTGGCGAAGCAGGCCGTGTTATCCCGCTAACGACTTGAACCAAGTGGAGTAGGTGAAGCGAGTCGAACCGGTTCGGTACATGCATGTCTCGGTCGCGTCGTACGGTAATGTCGATGGTCCATGTTGATGGCTAACCCGTGTCGCGCTCCGATGCTCATCGCAGGTATTCGGCCGTAGGCCACGCGTCTACTGAATGCGGAAAGGGCTTTCCTGGGCTATGCGGTTCCGACGGATCTGGAGGTTGCGCACCCATTTCTGCTCTCATCTCGACAGCAAAAGACATATAAGGAACTGGCGTTCAAACATGGACAATTCGGACGCGAATTACTCGGAAGGAAACATGGATCGACGGGGGCCGAGTCGCGGTCATGTGGCCTGTTTTGCGATGACGATACGCGTCGCGTGCCTTGTTGTGCACGACGCGACGTAGGTCCACGTTGGACACCGCCCGGGCTGCGACCTCCTGATATCCGTGGCGCACAAGCACGGGTGCCCTCCGAAGGCCGCGGTGGTGAACGTGCGTATGTTGAATTCCAGATGCGCCCACGATCGATGTTCGTACGGGTTTGAAGCTTCGCATGGGCCCCATATAGCACGCGCTTCAACTACACTTCGAGCTTCAATCTCCGCTTCAGCCATCGGGACAGATAACCTGGTCAAACAAGAGCCTATTGTATTCAGACTCCCGTTGTGTGAAAGAAATTGGAGAACAGCCATGCGGTCAGGCGGAAAAGAAAGCTGCGTATGGTCAAGACTGGCCTAGAGCAATACAAACGCCCATCCGGCGCTTCGCGCGTGCACCTCCTGGCGCTCACCTGTTCAGGGCGCTCTTGCCCACGAACCTGTAAGAACCAGAAGCACACGTCTTCTCTGACGTTCTACAGCGACTTTGGAAGTAGGTGTGTGCGCGAGATCTAGATCGAGCGCCGCAAATTGCCAACTCCGGGGTGGCAAGGCAAGTCAGCGCCATGGTAGTTGTCATGCAGACCGTCATGTCATTGTGCTAAAAGCAGACTGGATTACACATGTGAGAGCAAATAGCGAAGCAAAGAAAAGCACGGGAGAAAGAGTATTGGTAATACAGATGATGGGCAGACTACATTGGTGGACGAGTGCATGCAGATCCAGGTGGTGCAATATGGTCGTTCGGGTGGCGTAAGGGTATCGTTGACGTGCAGGTGGATAGCATGACCGACGGTGTTGGAAGAGACTGGAGAGCGTACGAGTATTCCGCATTAGGTAGAAGGGTCGAAGGGTCGTCCGTAGTAGTGTCGGAGGCTGGTCAACAGCTTAGCGACGTGCCGCAGCGGCGGCGGCGGTACGACATTGGAAACAGAATTCATCGACAGTGTCGATGTCTTTTTGTACTTCGGGTCCATAGTGCTACAGGAGACGTCAGTCGTGTGCGGATACATAGCACGAGAGTATGTGGCGCACCTTTACGCAATGAGGATCCCGGCAACCTTTCGGGTGCAGGTAGCTGTTCTCGCACCTTGACGAGTTGCAGTCGACGATAGCAGCGATCATGTGGCGCTGAAAGTGCTACACGAGACTGTAAGATATCAGGGTGGTACTGAGTAGTGCAAGACAGGTACCCCGCAACGTTTCCAGCGCGTACCCTCACTGTACCACCGGTGAGTTTGAGCATGACGAGACTTCGGGAGGACATACGCTATGCGGCGACACATATTCTCGGCTGTGATGTGAAGTCGAAGGAGAAGAGTTCTGTGCGAGAATTTATGGGCCGGAGAGAGAGGTGGGGAGTCATGGTGGGTTGATCAGAGAGCCTTTAAATGCAGGTCCGGGTGACCGTCAGAAACAAAGACGAAGACGCGCGGTTCGAATCGCTCTGATGATTCACACGTGGTTGAGCCGACCCTCTCGCGTCGCCACCCGCCAGTTGTCTCCGTCCTTCATCTTATTGCACTTAACGAGTTCCATAACACTCCAAGGATCGCCAGTCATACATCTCGCGAGATGTCCCGGCGTGGTTGCTGTCGCCGGAACCGCGGTCTCTCGCATCATCAGTCCTCAGGTGGCCGCGGCAGGGCGCCATACGTGAGCTAGCTTATCGTACGAATGGCGTTCGCAACAGTTCTCTTCCGAATACCGACGCTTGCTCGATTCGACTCCCAGCTATTCTCGATATCCATCACACGCATCTCACATCTACTACGGAGGATCTTGCTGTCCGAGTAAGTTACTAGGAGGTAGCTGGATCGGATTGGCCTCGATGCTGCCACCAGTGCGACTAGTATGCACTGCTATCCGGCACTACTATCCGGATCCTGGATACCTCAGTGCCCTAGCTATGCTCACATTGACGCGGCGATTGTGCTACGCCCCATACCCGCTCTACTAGCCTGGCTGGGGATGGTTCGACGAGGGCTGTTATCCTTGGCCCTTTTGTCTTCCTTTTTCTGATTGCTCGCGGGGTCCGGTTTGGTCCACGCTAGCGCTTGCGCCTCGGGTACAGCACGCATGCGGTCAGTTGGGATGTGTACGCGCAGCCGCACGATGCCGGGAGTCCATACGCACATGTGCCACACGGCCTCTGCATACTCCCAGAAGACTTCTCTGCTATCCACCGCCCGCCACCTTATCGGCTCTCTTCTTCTCGTCAGTTTTCTCTGTGGCCGATATAGACACGGTCAGCAAGACGAGCATGAGGCATGTTCTCGTTTTATTGCACTCGATGCACCATTGCGCTAATTTGTGCCGCTCCAGAACAACTTGTTCGCAAAGCACGTAGTGTGTGTGGTGTCTTGTCAATGAGTCCGGATACGTGTCAGAATGGGAATATATTCATTCGTCCGGAGAATGCGCTGCTGAAGTTTTCAGCTGTTCGAACTACTTCGCGGACCGGCTCGAACTGACGTCGATACCTCAAACCGTCTGCCGAGCAAGTGCCTTGCGACCGGAGCATCCGCTGTGGCCGGGACCCGTCCGGAACTCACAACTTCGCCGCCCGCATCATCGCGGTCTGCCTTCTGCGTTATCATAACGAATGCGAAGCTCGATCGACGATCTCTGACGTCGACTTGAACTTTGGGTCAAACTTCCAGGACTTCTCGGACTTCTAGATGATACCTTGAATCTTTGTCGTCTTTCTATACTCTACCTTATGGAACTGCGTTTGATCTACGAAGCTTCATCTTACGAACGAGGGTGCGTCACCTGTCTCAGGACAAATTACTTTCTCTCGTCTCTCATAGGCAACTCACAGTTGGTTTCATGCTGTAGGTTTCTACTCAGCATCTATACATTGACGTCTTCCAATCCATCAACGCGTTAGCGACATGGACGTCCACTCGGGTAAACGCGGAAGGAAGCCCGATGAGCACCCGCGTCCGCTTTGACTCGACAGGCATCCCGTCTTCCCGCCTTCAACAACGATCATCGGCGGTCGGCATATGGGTGCTTCGGGCGTCCGAGTTCTGCTTCTCCAAGAGCCAGATGGGTATACAGCTTTGACGTCTTCAATCGCGTTGCTGGTGTATGTTGATGACTGTGTGAGCAGGCACGTACCAAACAATCGCGCAACGACGATCACCGCGATATCGTCTGTCACCTAGTGCGTAGACGGGTTCGGTTCGCTCGTAATGATTGTTAGTCGTGTCTCGGCTACTTCGAGTTCGCACCTCAGGCTCTACTAATCACTATCGACTCGCACTTGATAACGAGCACTGGTGTTGAATTCGACGGCGTTGAATGTCCAGCAACTTGAAAATCGACGACTACGAGTACAAACTTGAGATTGTACACAACCATGTAGGTCTCGCTGACTTTCGCATCCATCAGGATGTTCAAGAACTGAGCTCACCGAAGCCGTTATCCCACCATCGGCGGACTGGAATGTTACATTGAAACGTTAACATTGTATCTTGGCATGATGACGGCAGTAAAGGCGAAATGCTTATCATCCCCGGCAAAACTGAGTCCGTATAGCCGAAGATGACTGACATCCAGTCCTGGTGGCGGCAGCGGCTTTCCGGGGCATCGTAGAGATAAGGAGCTCGCACGTACAAGAAGAGATGACTCGTGCAGATCGAGATTGTCTCTTCTCACCTCCGTTTAGCAGTATTGGTACGCCATTTGCTTTGAAAGTGCAGTTCCCGCTGATCAAGTTCAGTACGGCAGCACCAAAGGCCCAGGCCTACTATGCGCTTTTAGCAACACTGCTGCTAAGCACCCTCAACGTTACAGACTACGAAATCGAATCCAGACTTTCGCTATATAGACCACTACTGGTAGTCGCTTGACTTTATTCGCTCGGGCGGTGCGTCTGAGCCTGGAAATCGTATGTCCAGCGAGTTTGGCTGAGGGATTGGAAGTGTGGCAAGTAGAGGCTTCTCAGCCATAATATCACCCTGCCGCACCTCTCGGGCAACCCATCTTCAGCAGATCGATGTGTGGCGCAATTTCAATCGTTAGCCTGAATGGGTCAACAAGAGCCATAAACAATGATCAGGCGTCACGGCATTGCGTATACGTTACAGAACATCTTGCAAGACTTCGTGATTGTATCTCCGGGAACGCTCTCACGGAGGTGGCAAAAATCCAACCTTCGCAAACAGTTGCCACGCTTCCTCGTACGCCGCAATCGTGTTCGGTTCCTCCTTCCAACCCGCCTCCCGCAAAGCCTTCGTACTCATGCGCCGGTCCCTCGGCAAGGTCATGACATACAAGAAGTCAAAACCGATGCCCTCAAACACGCCCTTGCGCAGCCCGTGTTTTTCCTCAAGCTCACGCCACTTGCCGGTCTTGCTCTGCGCCCACTCTATCGCGCGTGTCGTAGGAGCAACTGGGTCACCCTCGACTTCAGCACTCGGGTCGGGTGGGGCACCCACGAGACCCCAAGCCTTAGCGAGCGTCGGCCACCGCGCTTCGTAGGTGCTCGGGGAGTCCACGATGTTGAACGACTTGCCTTCGAGAGCCGGATCGGCCTTCAAAGATAGGAAGATGCTAGCGCGCGCGATATCATCCGCAGGGCTCTCGGAGTTAAGTGCCTGCCCGCCTGCGAGCGAGGCAGGAAGTGGGACTGTGGCACCGGAACCGTGCTCGGCGCGGTAGAGGGCGAGGTAAGCGCCGATGGCAAGCGCCTGGTTCATCGCGTTCGTCGTTGGCGCGTAACCGATGATAGGGTCCGGTCTCAGATCATTCCAGGACCACGAAGCGTCTTTAGCATGCTCGGCGATGATCTACGCCCATGCGAGTTAGCGCTGGTATTACACGGATGGATCAAGCAGGGCACATACGTCGAGTTGCTTGTAGTAGAAGATCTTGGAGGCCAACGGCTCTGGACGGCGGGGTTGGCTTTCCTCGAAAGGAGCAGGCGGGATGAGCTCAGGATGCGAGAACAGGTGCTCTACCCCATAGTACTGTGTACGAAGTTCAATGCCCTGCACGATGCGAGTGCTGAATTGGGCGAACCTTGCCGCCGGTCTGCCATATGAAGTGTTGTAACTTCGGCGACGTTTCCTTGAGGGCACGCAGTGTCGTGTCCAAAAGCAGACCGTTGGCGGCGACCAGGTCGCCATCATTTGGTTTGTGTATGTAGGCTATGCTCGTATCAGCATGTTATACTTCAAGCTCTTCTTGGAGGAGCTAAACACGTACCATACCAAAAGACGTTCGTGACCTTAGCAATATCTGGCACCTTCTCTTTCAGTGCCTTGACCACGCTCTTAACGGACTGTGTCAGGTCGACCCCATGCTCATAAGTGAGACGCGGGTCAGATAGCAGAGTGACTGCGGGATCAAGCGGGCGGTTCGAAAGCGCGATGACTTGGGAGAACGTGGTAGGGGTCGGGTAGCGCAAGAGCTCGCGCGTTATCGCCCAGCCCGAGATACCCGAAGCGCCAAGAACAAGAGCGACACGTTCACTTGAAGACATCGTGTCGGCTAGGATGAAGATCAGGCTCGCATGAGTTGACCGACGAGTAGCTTATATAGACTCGCGAGGCCCATGCCAAAGCAACTTACCAATGTACCTACGCACCTCATGACGGCCGAAAGACTTCTAAGAAGACAGAAAGGATCAGTGGGTCATGACCACAGCGGTGTATCGATGCTGAGTAAGGGGAGAAGCCTAGCCTACGGAGGGTAGCGTGCGACCTGCACGCTGCGACTCCAACACAGACCTACTTTGACCTTTGTCGAGGCCAGCACAGGCCTTCGTACTTAGTAGTTACACTCGGCTTGCTGAGGGCGGGTATGACACTGAGCGACAAGGCGAGGAACATGTACTTCATTGGGCGTAGAGGTGGTGGTGGTTGCCCGCCAACTTGCGTCATGCCATCAAAAATGGCGTCCCGTGCGACGGTTGTAATTAGGCCTCTTACAGAGAGATTCAACGCCCAACTTATATTCTCAAGTCGTAGGACGGTGGAAGGAGTAGTGTAAGCAGCCTGAGTCTGATTGTAATGTGTAGTAGAACAGTGCGGAGAATCGATACATGTTCGGAGATAAGAACCCATAAATTCATTATTACTCGGCACAAAGGCCTCTACGCCGCAACCCGATGCTCCCCCTCACCGCCCATACGATCATACCAAGCCTTCCCCTCCGTAGTCTCCGCAATATACCCAGCACGAATAACGAAATCGCCGAACCGCTCGCCGTCGGCCCGCTCCAACGCGTAGCGCTTGATCATGGGTTTGAGAATCGCGAGGATCTCAGGCTCCGTGACGCTCTCGCGGTAGATCTTGTTGAGACGTTGGCCGTGGTATCCACCACCGAGAAGCATGAGGTACGTTCCCGGGGCTTTGCCCACGAAGGCAATCTCGGCGAGGTAGGGTCTTGCGCAGCCGTTCGGGCAACCGGTCATGCGCATGACAATGGAGTCGTTCCGGAGACCGTTCTCCTCGATGATCTTCTCGACCTTGTCGATGAGGACGGGAAGATACTGAGCGAAGCGTGAGCATAGATCATCTTGCGAAGAACTCTAGTCAACGTACCCGCTCAGATTCAGCCATCGCCAAACCGCACGTCGGGAACGCGACGCAAGCTGATGACGATAGCCTCAACCCAGTGAAGTTCAGGTTATCCAACCTGTACTTCGCCAAGATGCTCTTAATCTCCTCCAGATCCTCCGTCGCAACATCCGTGATGATGATATGCTGATTCGCAGTGAGCCTGAACCGGCACTTGTTCAGCAGCGCAATCTCCTTGAACGCCGTCTTGAACTCGCGGCCTGCCTCGTCCTGCACACGTCCGTTCTCGACGAAGCACGTGAAGTGATGCTTGCCGTCCGCGCCCGTCTGCCAGCCATAGTCGTCGATGTTGCGGTCGAACGTGAAGGGACGTGCGGGCTCGAAGGTGAAGCCGAGGAGCTTCTCCACTTCACCCTTGAAGACGTCCAGACCCATACGGTCGATGGTGTACTTCAAGCGCGCGTTCTTGCGGCTGAACGATGACGTCAGCTACGTACAGCAACCAAGAGAGGAAGATCCTTACTCGACGCGGTTGCCGTTATCCCTCTGCACGATCATGATCTTCTCTGCCACAGCGACGCCCTTCTCAGGCGTCACAAAGCCGAGAATGCTGCCCGTGCGCGGGTAGGTCTTCTTGTTTCCGTGCGTAACACCCATACCACCACCAGCGGTAACGTTGAAGCCCGTAAGCTCACCGTCCGCGCCAACGATAGCAATGAAGCCGACGTCGTTTGCGAAGACGTCGACATCGTTCGTGGGAGGGACAGCGATGGCGACCTTGAACTGGACCGGGCATTAGTACGAGCAGCGCCGGCCAACATCTGATCACGAACCTTGCGAGGCAAGTAGAACTCGCCGTAGAGCGGCTCGTGGTCCTGCAGAGCTTCGCCAGCTACAAGCTTCTTGTCAAGCCAGATCTCATGGTAGGCAGATGTGCGGGGCAGTAGATGCTCGCTCGTAGCCTTGGCAAACGCGTACACCTGATCGTGCAGCTTCGAGAGCTTCGGGATGGCGGAGACAAGGACATTACTATAAGGACCTTCAGCCACGGAGCCTACGATGTAGAAGTAAAAGGACTGACCGGTTGACGTCACCGCAAGCAGCAAGCGTGTCCATAAGCGCGCGGTTGATCTCCTGAATAGACGGCTTGAGGTGCCTCTTGATAACCCCATGGAACTGGAACGTCTGGCGCGTCGTGATCTTGAAATGACCAGCACCATGCTCGTCCGCAATCTGGTCCACCGCGAGCCACTGCTCAGGCGTGCAGACGCCGCCGGGCAGGCGCACACGGATCATGAACGAGAACGCGGGCTCGGCGCCTGCGGCTTGCCTCTCGTCGCGGATATCGCGGTCGTCCTGCTGGTAGATACCGTGAAACTTCGTGAGCTGCGTGTCGGACGGTGCGAGCGCGCCGGTGGTGGCGTCCTCGAGACCCTCCGCGATGGTACCGCGCAGCAAGTTTGACGCGGCCTTGATGTGCTCGTTCGTGATGGGCTCCGGCTCGGCCTCGTGCACCTCAATCGCGTCGACACCCAAAGCCTTCCACAACAATGGCTCCCAGATTTTGTATCCTGTCTCCGATCCATCCGCATCCTGATCGTCGCCCAACCCAAAATCAGCGAAGCGCTCGCCGCCGAGCTGCGCCAATCGAGTATCAAGGTCCTTTCCAGGCTTGTTGTAGTACCCCGCGTCCTCCGGACGCGGCCAGTAATGGCTATCACCCATACCAAAGACGGAGTATTTGAGTTCAACGAGGGTCTTCTCGCCCTTCGCAACAGCCGCATTGGCAGCCTTGAAGAACGTGCGCCCGTTCTGTGGCGGCTCGCCCTGGCCAGCGGTAGAGGTGACGAAGACGACGTGCTCGCCCTTCGGCAGACCCTCGGGTCCACCAACGGAGTCGATCGTCCCGACGGTGGTGCTCAGGCCGCGCGCAGTCGCACGCCCTGCGAGCCGCTTCGCCTTCTTCTCCGCCGCACCTCCGTCCGACGCGTACAATATGGTAAGCGGCGGCGCGTCGATGCCCGAGAGGAGCTCCGCGTACGCCTTCGCCGCGCGCTCCTTGCGCGCTGATTGAACCGTCTCGCCGAGGCTGGTGACGATCTCCGCTGCGAGTTGGGGTTTCGAACGCGTGAGCTGCGAAAGGTGATTCTGGCGGTCGAGGAAGGACTGAAGCTCGCGCTTGACGGAGTCGGAGTCGAGATGGAAGGGCTCTTCGCCGCGGGCCTCGCGTGAGGGGTCCCAGCGGTAGAGCGGCCAGTAGCCCGCGTCCACGGCATTCTTAGTCTCCTTGAGCAGCTGGAGAGCCGGAGTCGATTCGGTCTCGTACGGGAGGTACGCGAGCACGATCGAAGGCCCCTTCCACGCGTCAGCCTCCACGAGCGCGCGGAGAACCTGACCGTAGGAAGAGTACACCGCGACGCTGGCAACATAGACGTCGCCGTGGTTCATCGCGTACAGGCCGACATCCTGCTTGCGCCGTGCGTGTTCACGACTGCGCTGCGAATAGGGCACAGTGTCGAGGACGAGGACGTTGACGTTTGTGCCGGAGGCGATGGCGTGGTGCAAACCTGACGCGCCGATATCGTATGACCATGCGTCTGAGCCGATGATCCAGCGTGAGAGTACAGGGAAGTGCGAGCGGAGAGCAAGAACGCGTGATGCGGCGGTGCTTGTGAGACCGGCAGCCTCGAGCGCGGCAATGATCTCGTCGCCGAGGGACTTGCTCTTCGTGGCGTCATCCTTTGCGAGGAGCCAGCGGCTCAAAAGTGAGTGCAGATCCGTCGGGGTCTTCGGGTCCTCCAAAAGGTCTCGCACGGCGGCTATCAACGCCTCGCGCTGCTCCAATTCGCCCTGTACACGACCGAGTCCGTACTCAGGGCTCGTAGCGACATCTCCATGCTCCGGCACAAGCTCGGGTGCGTTCGCGATTTGCACACGGTCCCCGAAGAGATGGGAAAGAATCTGCGTGTACGAAGACTCGTGCTTGGGCACACGCGGTGTTTGCGAGCCGGTGCTTTCCGGCGTGAGCGCGCTTCCCAGGTGCAACCGGGTGGCAGCGGGAGAGGATTGCGACTGGCTGACAAGCTTCGAGATATCAATCTCCGATATGGTTGAAGTATTGCCTAGATAGCCGCTCGTGACCGAGGGCCGGGGATCCGCATCCCGCTGCTGTATCGCGCTCACAATGTCGAGGAAGAGTGGTGTCCATTTCATTGACCAGTGCTCAATCTGCTCAAGGACAACTACGTGGCTGGAGTTGCCGAGAGAAGATAGAAGTGCTGCCGTCGGGAAGGGAGAGAGGAGCGAGACGTCGAGGTAGGCAACCTCAGGTGCAGATGGTAGTGCAGACTCCTGATGGCCGAGTGTGACTATAGTCGTCTCCGCGGACTTCGACCCGCGGCGAATGAAGGGAAGTTGTGGTCGGCGAAGAAGCTTCAACGTCAAGACTGCTGCTGCCTCGTACGCCTTGTATGATGGATCGATAGGCGCTACTTCTGTAGCGGCGCCGTTTGCTGAGCCGTTTGCGTGCCCGTTCGCTACGCCATTTGCATGCCCATTTGCGTGACCATTTGCGTGGCCGTTGGCATATCCGTTTGCGTAACCATTCGCATGGCCGTTTGCACGGCCGTTTGCGTCACCGTTGGGAAGCTTCGCGGTAGAAGGTAGAGGCGAGGTTGGTTGTTTTGCAAGCAAGAACGGCTTCACAGCTGTCTCGTCAACTTCGATGACAGAGTCGGCCGATGACCCGACATGGAAAACATGAACGACTGCCTTGCGCTCTGTACGCGCCAATCGAGCTGCCAATAATGCGTGATCATGCGCCTGCTGGGCCGACGAAGAGTGTATGAAGTATGGCACGGAAGCGCGAAGGGCAATGACGTCCGAGAGGTCGCTTTTGGCAGCGATGTGCAGAACGACAGGTTGGGTTGCCAAAGCGGGTAGATGGGCGAGTAATCGAGTAAGCGCCTGAGATGCATCGGCCGTGTACGCGACAAGCGCATTATCGGCCGCGCGCCGTAAGAGCGCTGCACCGCCGTCCGCGCCAGCTGGAAGACGGTCGATAGTCGCGGTGCCGAGGGTACTCCGAGGCTGCGCGTCCCAGAATGGCGTGAAGGTGGAGTCGGAGGCTACGATGGCGTCCGCGGACAGGAAGGCGGCGCGCGCAACGGCGGCCACAGCTGGCGTAGAGGCCGTCATCTGGGGTAAACGCACCATATTCAGTCTCTGTCGCACGAACAGTTGTACGTTACAGCTCACCTCGGGCGTGCCAGAGAGGATGGTGGTAAGGAGGCAAGGCACTTCGGACTGGACATCGGGATTAACTGCTTCGGCGCACTCAAAATCTCATACTCAAAGTGTTGCACAGTTGGTGCATTGAGCACGACATCCTGTCCCGCTCAGCGAATGATCGGCCAGCGTGCCATAAGCGAAGGCCCGTGGGAGCATGTTGCCCCTCCGAGAATACGGTCCGCTTCCGGCGGTCGGAGGTTGGTCGGCAGCTCATAAAAACTGATACAATACATGTTCGCTGCGCCCGGTTATTGTCAATGTAAGTCATGATAGTGAGTTGAATGACATGCGTAAAAGCATGAGGACTAGTATCCATATCTATCAAAAAGTGTCCTATTTTATATTTACGAAGACCCAACCGTGATTTGAACACGGGACCCTGCGATCTGCAATCGCATGCTCTAACCACTGAGCTATTGAGTCATGTCCCGAATATATATAGCATCAACCATGTTAACAAACACCCAAGCTGTTCAGGAAGGATTGTGGGTTGGAATATGAAGAGTCTCAAAAGAAGTGCTAAATCTAACCAAAATGAAGAACTTCAACAGTCTTGATATGATATGTCGACCGATCTGTCTGAAGTAAAAATCAGCGCCGTGAAGAAAGCACACTGTGTACGAGAGAAGGACCAACCGTTAGCGCAAGTATGTTCTCCTCATCAACCACCACCCCATCAGCCGTACACGGCTCCTCAAGCGTACTCTGCACATGCGCTAGCCCAAACTCAATCGGACTCCTGAACCACGTCCGCAAATCCAGCTTCCGCGTCCCATTAACGACCTGTACCGTATTACCGCCATCGCGAACGCGTTCCGTTCCGTGCTGTGCTTGTAGCCGTCGGACGTTATGTTGATTGAAGTCGTATACTCGTATCGCAGCGTACGAGGATTCCTGCACGAGGCTCACGAACTTGCTCCCCGAACTCTGGGCGATCCATCCTGCGGCAGGCGCATCGAACCACGACGTGTTCCTTATGCCCCAAAAGTCGTACGCGACAGCTTCCCTAGCGTCATATCCGTTCTCCAGAGCGTAGTTTGCAGCATTCAGCAGTGCTGCACGGTGGACGACCATACTCATAGATGTCATGGAGTGTGGCGCATACATGAAGGTCATTGACAGGAGCACGATGGCTGCTTCGGGCGAGTCGCGGAATGGCCGCGTAGGTGGGGGAAGGCCGGTGTCATCTGACGATCCTCGAGTGTGCACGTTACGCTTTGAGCGGCATTGGAAGGAGACGAGGCGGACGCCTGGGTATCTTTGAGGTAGGCCGAGCACGCATATATGTCGGAGTCCCATCTCGCCCGTTTCGGGCTGCGGCTCTATTCTGTAGATGTCCAAAGCAAACGTTTGTAGCTGGAGAGGGCAATGAATTCATCTGCGCATCATATGGAGAGAGGTACGCTCACGTTGGGTAGCATTAGGGTATGTGAGTCAAGGAACGCGAAGCACTTGTATTGATGGGGAACGAATGGCGTATGCTGAGCAGATGAGATCAGCGATGATTCCAATACAGCGATTGTGGAGACCTACCCGATACATCTCGCCAGTCTTCCAGTTGACGACAAATATTGTGTCCATTCTTTGATTGAGCATGAAGGGGAAGAATAGAAGAACGACAACCAGATCTCCAGCGATCTGTCCATAATTCCAGTAAGCTGAACGCGTTTCTGGACTGCGTAGGACTAACCTCGACCACCGTATGGGTTCTGTGGATAATCAGACCTTCCTCGCGAAGCGTTATCACGGGCTGAGCCGCTTCCGGGTGGGGTTCTCCACTAGAAAACTGCCGCAAGTGCAGCTCAAACTTCGCGCGCGTGATCATGATGTCCTGTCCTACAGGCGGGGGTCCTTGGAACCGCTGCCTAACGATCGTCAGCGACAAGCACACACCCTCAGCTATAAAAGACGCACTGAGTAACAACAGCATTCAAATCATGTTCCTGCACACTAACTGCGAAATCGAGTACATCCAACTTGAGCTCGAGATCCCTCCACTGTGGCTGCCAATTCGCATCGCCAGTAGAAGGCAGCTGAAAGACCGAGTACCCAGATGTATGCATAAATTCAGGAACACTATTCCTCCCCAGAATGAACACGCCGCCAGTGATATCGTACAGACCGCTCGGCCTGAAGCACAGCGGAACATCTTGACGCCGGCACGGCGTCATCGTCCTCCACGCACTCTCTCGCTCGCGAAGGAGGGCCAGTCGTTCAGCGTAGGGCTTTCCGGCGCGGAGCTCGTCTTCTACGCCAGCACAGAAGCATTCGATGAGGTATTGCGCGAAGGAGGAGCTGTCGATGATGTCCTGCATCGAGCGACAGAGAAGCCTCAGACGGAGAAGGTCTCTTGCATCTTGGTACACCAGGATCTCGTCCCATATCTCAGGTGGTAGGTTGCCAGCAACAGTCATGTCGGATACAGTCGGTTGGAAAGAGTTCAGGTAGTAATGTGCGGCAGGCGATTGCGTACTTCCAGGCCGGCGGAGGATGTGGGATGTGGTGGTTCGAGAGAAGCGCTGGGGCGAAGGCTTAGCGCGATCACCTTATAGTCTAACTAGCGCTAGATCACCACAAGCGCACCGCCATTTGTGGCGGACGTAGATATGGAGATCGTGATAGGTCTACTGCATAGCTGTTGTGGTAGCATTCTCGCAGCGTCGAAACGACGATCATCAGTAGCACGCCTGACGTCTTTCGCTGCGGACCAACTGCGGACTGTGATATCATCGGACACAGGTTTACACACGCGCAATCAAGGCCCAACTTGGATTCATCGCGTTGCGAAGTGATGATGATACAGGTAGAAATACATCATATTGTACAAGAGGATACTGGTCAGTGGCTATTTCAGTTGGAGACGGCCTGATTTTGAGGTCGAGAGGGTCCGATGCTCAATACGCGACCTTAGAAGCCAGCCCGTCAAGCTCGCGCTCGTAGTGCTTGTGCTTGCTCAGCTCATACGCGAAGTTCGAGACAAAGCCCTTATCACCGCCCGTGGCGATGTTGAACGCGTCTTTGACTGCGGAACCACCATTGTACTTCCCGGTCGAGATGACACCGTAGGAGACCTTGACATGGCCGTCATCTAGGCTCGAGAGGCCGATCTCTGGAACCTCGGTCTTGACTGCACGCGCAACGACCTCAATACCTAGACGCAGTTGTGAGAATCACTTCCTGACAACAAGAGCAGGGGACAGGAACGCACCATCGCCGATTGCGCCGATGGTCTTGAGATGGCCGAACGCCTCGCGTACCCAGTGAATGCAGCGCCCGTTCGACATGAGCGTCTTCGCAGACTCAGTGCCAGATGGGATGTACAGCGCGTCAAACATCGTGCTGCGCTGACCTTCGAAATGATGGTCGGCCATGACGCCCGAATCGCCCTTCTGCTGACCGGCCGGGAAGATCTTGCCACGGCGCGGGGCGATGAGGAATGGAACAGCGCCGCCGGCCTTTAACATCGTGCGAACGGACTCCATCTCCGCGTAGTTGAAGCCATCACCGACGAGAATGGCGATGCGACGCGACTTGATGGTCGGCGACTTAGGCTTGAAGTGCACCTGGGAGAGCGACGGCGAGGACTTGCCGTGCGGCTTGCGCAGAGAGCCGGTGTCTTCGGGGAGATGGCCGCTGACGTTCTCTGCGATGGTCTTCGCGAAGTCGTAGTTGACCTGAGCAAGGATCTTGGTATACGATTCGTAGACAACGGGGTCATCGCAATGATCGAGTTCAAACTGCAAGCGCGTGAGGAAGACGCCCGTCTGTGATAGAGGCGTATAACTCACCGAGATCGCCTCAATGACGTGCTGCTTCTCGTATGCGGTGAGTGAATTTAGGAAAAGCTCCGCCTGGTTGTAGTGTTCTTTGAACTTCTCGCCTCGCACGCGCTGCTTGATCCCAGCGACCTTCTGCGCGAACTCAACGTAACCACCATGCTCGGCAGGCACAGGTGCGCCCACACCCAAACGATTGGGCCAGTAGTTAACCGTTCCCTTGTGAATCTCGTGGTTGGATTTGCCGTTACGATTATGGTTCATGACAGGGCAGACGGGACGGTTAATGGGCAGTTGCTCCCAGTTGATACCGAGACGCGAGATCTGGGTGTCGAAGTAGCTGGTTCATGTCAGCTAGCGGTAGCAGTGATAGATCGGGTGGCAAACATACCTCATGTTGCGACCCTGCAGCAGAGGATCGTCGCTAAAGCCGATGCCTGGTACGACGTGGCTGGTACAGAACGCGACTTGCTCAGTTTCGGAGAAGTACTCGTCGACGGGGCGATCGAGAACGAGCTCGCCGATCTCGACCAGCGGCACGAGCTCCTCCGGCCATACCTTCGTCGAATCGAGGATGTCGAACTCGAACTTGTGCTCGTCGGCCTCAGGAATGACCTGAATAGCGAATGTCCACTTGGCCGGGGCGCCGTTCAGGATAGCCTCGTTTAGATCCTTGCGGTGGAAGTCTACCCGTGAGTAAGTACACGCGACTAGTAGACGATAATCGTGGAAGACTGACCGGGATCCTGACCTGCGATCTTAAGCGCCTCATCCCACACGAACGAATGTACGCCGAGCTCAGGGATGAAGTGGAACTTCACGAAGTGGCGCTCGCCCGCAGCGTTCTGAAGGGTGTAGGTGTTGACGCCGAAGCCCTGCATCATACGATACGACCGCGGGATCCCGCGATCGCTCATCACCCATGTCACCATGTGCGTAGCTACGGAGACATGAGATGATGGTCGAGAAAGACGCAAACTAGAGCTTACCCTCAGGCTGGAGGCCAACGTAGTCCCAGAAGTTATTGTGAGCGCTCTGACCAGTAGGAACTTCGTTATGAGGCTCCGGCTTGACGGCGTGTACTGGTAGAGGATGTGAGAACGGTGGAAGGTAGGCCATCAAAAGAACCAACCGAAATCAGGGAACTTGATAGAGTCCTGGATGAAGAATACAGGGATGTTGTTTCCAACGATGTCCCAGTTCTGAAGACAAGGTGAGTTGATGCTAAAGCGTATATTTCACGACAAAGGACGTACTCCCTCTTCCGTGTAGAACTTGACTGCGAATCCGCGGACGTCGCGAACGGTATCGGCGCTGCCGCGAGAGCCCTGTACCGTACTGAAGCGAACGAAGACAGGTGTGGTGCGACTTGCATCAGTCATGACGTTCGCATAGGTGTATTTGGCGGCCCGATCGTCGAAGACCTTGAAGTAACCGTGAGCGCCTGCGCCGCGAGCATGTACGATGCGCTCGGGGATGCGCTCATGGTCGAAGCGATGAATCTTTTCGCGGCCGATCTGGTCCTCGAGGAGCATGGGGCCGGTGCTCGAACCGTCAGTGACCTTGAGCCTGGGAAGAAAAGTTAGTCTTCACGCTCCATCATCAGTTGCTGTAGAAGAATATCCTACCAGTCATCCGTGTTGGAGATCTTCACTCCATGGTCAGTCGTAAGGTTTGCTCCGGGCGTGACCTCGACCGTGTTGCGTGCGAGGTCGTTGACCTTCTTCGTGTTCGTGAATCCCGACAAGAGGGAGGCCATGATTGCAATGCGTACAGGAAGAGCCGGGTCGAGGAGCCGACATACACTCTTATAGTAGTCCGCCGGCGCTCAATAGTTGCCTCTCATTCGATGCTACGCGTGCAAGCTGTCATGGGTGACACCAGTGGCAGCCAATGACCCTACTGCCGCGCTACGATGTCTTGTTGACCGTTCATCTGTGTTGAGCGCAAAGCTCCGACTCGGCGACGTGATGTGGAAGGGATTATAGGAATCATCTGTAGGAACGGCGAAAAGAACGATGGCACGGTTGTGGCTTGCGCTGAGCGAAATATGAACGTGGGTCGAGGGAACGGATCGCGTCTGACGCAACCGACGGGAGGAATGCAATGTGACCGTGTCGCGGTGCCGGCGGCAACATCGGCGTTATGGTCGACAGCTAACGTGCTTATAGTCCATATTTTCGGTATGTCTTCGAAGATTGTGCGTGCTGCACTTCTGAGAGCGAGAATCCCCGAGAGGGCGCCGGGGTTCATGGTGGTCAGAGGTGGGTGTGGACTCTCGACGCGGCCATCTGGCGCAATTCACCTCGCCAACCGCGCGGTCGCGTGTTGGCAGTTGACTGCCATCTTGAGTTGTCGCTGGGTCATCCCAGTACCATCATCGACAGCGAGTATGAGAGCCAGAAGTACCTCTTCACACAACATAGAGAACCAAATCGCTTCGATACGACAGAGGCCCTGATATATGTATTTGTCGGTGCTTGCGGACTTCGATTCTCCTTGCGCTAGCAGCTTATCCGCGACCGCAAAGGCCCCCTCGATCTTGAAGCTTGAAGCTCGATCTCTGTGCGCACCCGTCTCCGGAGGCTGTCAATGGGGTCTAATCTGCAGAGCTATCGGTGAACCTTGCTCCGGCGAGGGGAATGGGCGTCTTCAAACGAACCAGAGTAAGCTTTTTAGCCTCATTGAACAAGGTGCTTTCGCAAGCAGGGTAGTTAAGCCCGTCGATCCACCATATCCTTCGAGAAAGTCTATTCTCGTCTGCGTCGTTTCATATCTTTGCTCTGCGATACGCCGGGTCAGCAGGGGACACACGCCTTCAAGCAGGCGTAGACTACGCCTTCTTTTCGAATGGAATGGAACGCCAAGCACAATGACGAGGTGTATGTATTCAATCACCGTACTACTTCCTCAACATGCTCTCACCCTGCCGATTCCATGCAGAGCCTCTGGCCTCACGGCTGCCTCAAGTTTCGGCGACAGGCCATACTACGCCGAGATGGCCCAGTACCTACACTCTATAAAGCCTCGAGAGCTGGATCCTCATGAGTAACCGGGTCTCCCCTCCTTGGTTGTACCCTCATACAGTCCACCCGCACTGTCAGCCATGTCGAACCCGGATACCGATAGTTATGCTGCTGCGTACTGTGTGTATCCATCTCCGCTTGAATACAAGATGAGACAGTGCTGATACCTGTCACAGCGAAGGCGCTGAACCAGTGTGCTAACGCCGACACGACCATTATGACCTGCTTCCCGACTAATGAGACCCGAGTATACCAAGGCCAATTCGTCGATCTCGTCTGTATGTAACTCCACTACCTCTTGGTTGTCGTTGTCATCTGATCTAACCCGATCATACTTCAGGGAACCCTCGCTACCCACAATTCGCTCAATCCGGCCAAGTCGATATTCACCTCTTCCGCGATATAGGCGATATCCAGCCCAGCGTCTATGAAGCAATCAACATCACGAACCCTGAGGCTGGCAATGCGGGCGTCCGGCACATTCAAGTCGATGACTCTTGGTTTGACGCCGAGTGGGACGGAATAGATCTCAACGATCCGTTCTATTTCGCAATCGCTCCGAGCGGGACTGTCCCACAGGCGCAGGCAACCTTCAGGGCCGTACGTGAGTGCATACCATGCTCGCATACGCTGCTTCTTGTACTGATAGTCCTGTAGAGACGGGGTAAGCTAGGATCTGCCATAACCGGCATCCAACCAGATACTGATGTAACCACGGCAGACCGGTCCCTCTCTCATCGTCGACTCCAGCTGTCCCTGTAGTGTCTTCTACCTCGTCCCCTGGTACCGTCAACGTCGACTCGAGCGTCCCCGCTGGTGCAATTGCGGGGCCCGTTGTTGGTGGTTTGGCGCTAATCAGCGGCCTGGGCGCGTGGTACCTGCTTCGCCGCCGCCGTCGGGCAGCTGCGAGGAAGGCGATCGTGGTCAACCTTGGCTCGGACACTAACTCGGACACTCACTCTATCATGTCTGAGGCGGATGAGAAGATACTGGTGCGCGAGATGAGTCGCGTGTAGGCTAGGTTGCGAGTCAAGTGAAGCGGATGTACGACCAACTGTGAGTTCCTTATGAACATGGACTCTGCTATGAATTAGGCTCGAACGATGTATACGTGTACACCTTTTCGATGACGCTTTGAATGGTATTGTGTAGTAGCAGCCAAGAGGAAGTGGTGGTGCGCCAGAACTCAAGATACGTCCACTACAAGCCTGACGTCATCGCCATTGTGTCGATTGTCGAGATGTTCAGATTCTGAGCACAAATACCTGGGCCACGCCGTTCGGAGTAGGGTGTGATCCTTTTCGCCGAAGTAAGCGTAGCATGAAAGTACATGATAGTGCATTTAAGATGAAGCGGATAGAAGTACATATGGTACAGTGTGTATAGTATGTATGGCCACTTCAGAACGCCACCTTCGAAGCAAGCCCATCCAACTCACGAGCGTAGCACTTGTGGTTGCTCAACTCGTATGCGAAGTTCGACACAAAGCCCTTCTCAGCACCGGTCACGATGTCGAGCGCGTCCCTGACAGCAGAGCCAGCGTTGTACTTGCCAGTCGTCACCACGCCATACGAGACGCTGACGCTGCTATCCTGAAGACTTGCGAGACTGATCTCCGGTACCTCTAGTTTCACTGCGCGCGCGACAACCTCGATACCTACAAGACATTGTCAGACACAATCGAGAGATACAGCACGGCTCAGAACGTACCTTCGCCGATAGCGCCGATAGTCTTAAGATGGCCGAACGCCTCGCGTACCCAGTGAATGCAGCGACCGCTCGACAAGAGTGCTTTCGCAGACTCCGCACCCGACGGTATAATCAAAGCATCGAACATCGTGCTGCGCTGTCCCTCGAAGTGATGGTCCGCCATCACGCCCGCATCACCCTTCTGCTGACCTGCGGGGTAGATCTTGCCGCGTCGCGGGGCGATGAGGAAGGGCACTGCGCCGCCGGCACCCAGAGCCGCCTTCAGAGCGTCGGTCTCGAGCTGGTTGAAGCCGTCTGCGATGAGTATGGCGATGCGGCGGGACTTAATGGTCGGCGTCTTGGGCTTGTAGTAAAGCTGCGAGAGTGGTGCTGACTTCTTGCCGTGCGTCGGTCGCAGGGATGAGGTGTCCTCGGGCAGATGTCCACCGACTTGCTCCGCGACGGTCTTCGCCAGGTCGAGGTTGACCTGACTGAGCACCTTCGTGTATGACTCGTAGACAAGAGGGTCGTCGCAATGATCGAGCTCGAACTACGGAAGCGCCGTCAGATCGATATAGGGATGATGGGAGATTAGAGAGCATACCGCGAATGCACTGATCATATGCGCCTTCTCGTAGTCCGTGAGAGAGTTGACGAAGAGCTCGGCTTGGTTATAGTGCTCCTTGAACTTCTCGCCCCGCACGCGCTGCTTCAGGCCCGCGACCTTCTGCGCGAACTCAAGGTATCCACCGTGATCAGGAGGCACGGGTGGCCCGGCACCAAAGCGATTCGGCCAGTAGTTGACTTGGCCCTTGTTAATGTTGTGGTTCATTTGACCGTCACGGTTGAAGTTCATGACGGGGCAGACTGGGCGATTGATAGGCAGTTGCTCCCAGTTCACGCCGAGACGCGTGATCTGCGTGTCGAAGTAGCTACATATGGCGCATCAGGTAGAGTACAGTCAGTGCAGGAAGAGGGGACACACCTGAAGTTGCGACCTTGGAGTAACGGATCGTCACTGAAGCCGATGCCAGGCACGACATGAGCAGTACAGAATGCGACCTGTTCAGTCTCGGCGAAGAACTCGTCAACCATCCGGTTCAGAACCATCTCGCCAATCTCGATCAAAGGAACCTCTTCTTCCGGCCAGACCTTCGTCGCGTCGAGGATATCAAAGTCGAACTTGTGCTCGTCCGCCTCGGGAATGACCTGGATGGCGAACGTCCACTTGGGCGGCGCGCCGTTCTCGATGGCTTCGGCGAGGTCCTTGCGATGGAAGTCTGGCACGGAATGAGCATTCCGGACGTTTGAGTAAGTGCCAGCGTCTCTACTCACCGGGATCTTGACCCGCGACCTTAAGCGCCTCATCCCAAACGAAGGAATGCACACCGAGCTCAGGAATCCAGTGGAACTTGACGAAGTGGCGCTCTCCAGCAGCATTTGTCAAGGTGAAGGTGTTGACACCGAAGCCCTGCATCATGCGGTACGAGCGAGGAATGCCGCGGTCACTCATAGCCCAAGTTACCATATGCGTGGCTATGCGTTGTTGAGTATGCTGTGTCTCGTTCCAAAGAGGCGGTATACGCACCTTCAGGTTGGAGGCCGACGAAGTCCCAGAAGTTGTTGTGCGCAGTCTGGCCTTGCGGTACCTCATTATGCGGCTCGGGCTTCACAGCGTGCACTAGTGAACTGAGATCACTACTGGTGAACTCATGCAGAAAGGTAGAACGTACCGAAGTCAGGGAACTTGATGGCATCCTGTATGAAAAAGACAGGGATGTTGTTGCCCACAAGGTCCCAGTTCTGAGCGAGAGCTTGTCAATATAAGCACCAGCGACAGCAAGAGTGTGACTTACGCCTTCATCAGTATAGAACTTGGTCGCGAACCCTCGCACGTCTCGGACAGTGTCGGCACTCCCGCGTGAGCCCTGCACCGTACTGAAACGAACAAAGACGGGAGTGGTGCGACTGGCGTCCGTCAGGACTTTGGCATGGGTGTACTTCGCAGCGCGGTCGTCGAACACCCTGAAGTATCCGTGTGCGCCAGTCCCGCGAGCGTGCACGACGCGCTCAGGAATGCGCTCGTGGTCGAAGCGGTGGATCCTCTCGCGAGCTATCTGGTCTTCGAGGAGAGATGGGCCGGCGTTTTGACCGTTCGATACCTTCAACCTGACGATGGTGTATCAGTGTCGGAGAAGCGATATCAAAGCGCGGCGAGTGGTAACGTACCAATCGTCTACGTTCGACACCGGAACACCATGATCGGTGGTCATGCCCGTCTTGGGAGTAGCCTCGACGGTGTTCTTCGAAAGGTCATTGACCTTCTTCGTGTTCGTGAGGTTGGATATAATCGAGGCCATAGCTGAGGGAAGGTGAGTTGACATGTAAAAATCGGCCAAGTGCGCTCAAATAGGCTGCGCATTGACCAACCAGAGCCCGTGCATTCTATGCGCGTACGCTATGACATCGAGCACCCGTCATATCATGCGCATCTTTTAACCTATGTCGATGGTGATGCGCTAGGCGAAAGGCTAGGCTTCCGGCCTTCGGGTCTTCGTCATCGCGCTGTTCAATTGCACCCCGCACCCGCTCCAACGCGTCGGCAAAGAGCGTTCCGGCCGGTCGAAAGAAGGTCGGGGCGGAAAGTGAAGAGGTGGTGAGCAGGACGCATGCGCAATCACTGGGAAGGCCATCGATGGTTAGTTGGATTTGATGGGGATGGGCGTATTATGCATGACGCAACGTGTACAACCGACGCGTCTGCAGGCCGGAAATGTAACGTGACCGTGTTGGGTACTGTCTTCAGGTTGAACTCGCAAACCATGCCCGACCCTCGCAATCTTGAAGTTACGAAGGGAACTTGGTGCGAGGATGTTGAAAAACGCGACTTCGGATATCATCCGGCACACAGAGCAGCTGGGGCTGGGATGGCGCTTTGGGGTGTAATGAAACTCTTATTGCTTGTGTAGCTCTAAGAGCTGGGAAACAGCCTGGAGTGCGACTCTATGGGTTGCACGCGTCGTGAAGACCCAATAGCGATCATATAAAAGGCAGTACAATGAAAAATGCCCTCCAGGGGACATGGTGGTCGAAGGAGAACGCATCGCAGTTACGCCCGTTGCGTCGCGTCGGGCAGACGCGTCGTCATCCGGCGCGTTCACGGAAATTGACCCCTGCTCTGCTTCTGCTTTCACGTACCCTCACCGGAGATCTGTATCTCTCCTTTTATCTCAGCGGTGACCTAAAACCTCCGTGGCCATACTCTGCTAGAATTGACATTCTTGTATCTCGCAAATATCTTCCTCAGCGTTGGATCTGCGCTACCGTTTTACATTGAACATACACCATGTCCGGCAGTAATCGAAACGGAGCTGGACCCTCTAAAGCTATCGGCAACCTAGCCAAAAAGCCAGATGCATCTCGTGGAGGAGCACCTAAACTGAAGTTTGTGCCCACGCTACCCGGACGGCGAAAGAAGGAGTGCGTCTTGATAGTATTGCTTACTGTATAGACCCTGATCTACATCCACAGAGAGGTCAAACAGGCGAGCATCACAGCCCTACGAAGCCTGTCGTATGTACTGATACTCTGTGATCTTGACAGGAGCCTACACCCGCTGCTACAACAGAAGCTTCGACGTCAGAACGTGGAAGAGGAAGAGGTCGCGGTCGTGGCGAAGGACGAGGCCGAGGGGATGGCACCCGCGGGCGCGGTAGAGGCGGACGTCCCGTAGGCCCACCACCCGTAGAAATGGTTGCAAGCGGTCCATTCGCCATGGGCCCTAGCGCCGCCGGCCTAACCAGCACACGCGGCGCACCCCGCCCAACATTCGCCCCCGCACCCCCGCGCGCGGCCGTAGGCGCACATGGGCATAGCTTGACGCCGACAATGGTCAAGGCGGAGAAGCGCGGTGGTGTAGAGGCGAGACAGCCGGACGAGGATGAAGAGACGTATTCGGATCAGGAGGATGGGGTTGAGATTATCGATATTCAGAGGGTTAGGGAGATGGATTGGAGTGCGCCGGAACCGTTGAGGAAGGAGAAGAAGAGGGACAAGAAGAAGGATAAGAAGGTCAAGGCTGAGGATGCGCAAGTGAAGACGGAGAAGGGAAAAGGTGAGTTGGTTTGGCCTTCGCAGACTTGATTATGAGCTCATGAGCGTAGAAAAAATGGAGGTCGACGATGATGAGGGTACACCTGTAGGGGACGAAGCGGATGTCGATGCCGCGAACGCTCTGAATCTGAGCGAAAGCGAAGAGGAAGAAGAGATGGAAGATCTTATCGAAGACTTCCGCGCCAGGACAGACCAAGATGTAAGAAACTCTTCTCCACACGTTCTGCGTCTCTCATACTTCACTTCCAGACATTCGATGCGAACGAAGAGCGCAAACTCCTACTCTTCCAATTCCCCGAACCATTCCCAATCTTCACCGGTCGACCACCAACACCACATCCTCAAGCCGCAGCCACACCCATCGCCGATCCCAAAGGTAAAGGCAAAGCAGCCGAAAAGAAAGGTGTCTCCTTCGCACAGGGTACCAAACCCGGCCAACCTGCAAAAGCGCCCGTCGAGGAAGCCGCACCGGAAGAGCAAGAGTACTTCGACGGTGTAATCGGACAGCTAGAAGTACATCGCAGCGGTGCAGTGAAGATGCGTCTAGCAAATGGCATCGTAATGGATGTATGTGCTCCCTATCTCCCCTTGCTTTATCACATCTTGAGCTATGTTTACAGGTCACCGCCGCAACACAACCTTCGTTCCTCCAACAAGCCACCCATGTAGACCACAAATCCAAACGTCTCCACGTCCTAGGCGAAGTCCACCGCCGTTTCGTCGTAACACCTGACCTCGACGTCTTACTCACCGAGATGGCCAAACTTGACGCTGGGGTCGATCTCGATGATCCGGCTCTACAGATGATCTCCATGGACGACGCATAGCAGTTTGTACTTGTACATACATACTATCACACGAGCGCAAGTATCATGTCCGGTTGTTGAGTCTGGGCAGTGGGGATTCAGATTGTAGCACTACATAATCACTTCAAGCACAGTAGTAAATTGTACACTAAGAGTAACACGGATGATTTCCACGGGGAGTCTGAACGGTGAGCAACGAAAGCTGAGCGTGGTGAAAGCAAGGGTCGACGAGAATGGTGCGGGGAGGACATGCGGATAGCGTGAGGAGGACGGGGAGAATAAATGTGAAATAAGTGAGGAGAATAGGAAGAATGAGTCCGGGGACAAGCGCCTGATGGCTGCGCTCATTCCGTGCGTAAACCGAGGCCTTGCACAAAGTCGCGCCAGATACCATCGTGGTCGTATCCGGCAGTCGCACCAGGAATGCCCTGCATAGGCATCCCCTGCTGAGGCTGGCCGCCTTGACCGTACATATGCTGTTGCTGCTGCTGCTGCTGCTGCTGCTGCTGGGACGGCTGCATCCCCTGATAACCCTGCGCCTGGCCCTGTGCACCCAAAGACCCCGACGGCGGAACAGCATATCCAAGCTGCAAACTATAATCCGCATATCCGCCCGCAACAGCACCGTACATTCCTCCCGCAGATGGATCAAGACCAGACATCGCCATCGGATCTTCAAGCGGCATAACGCTCTGTCCGTACGGCGGCCCAGGTAGCATACTCGCGTGCGAGACCTGATTGTTGACGGGTGATACGTCTGGCCCGGCCATCCAGTTCATGTTGTACTGCGGAGGCTGAAGCGATATCTCGCCTTGAGCGCCGGGGTAATACGGCCCCGCACCTCCGGAAGAGGAAGATGTAGTCGACATAGCCGGGGGCGAAGGCGAGGAATGGTACCCGCTATCCTGAACAGGTGGATGGAGGGTGCCGCTGTTGTATTGCGTCTCGATAGTCGGTCGTGTCCTGGAGGTCGGACGCATGCTCGTGTTGCCCTGGTTGATAATACTCTTCCGACCACCGAGGATCTCGAGCTCGTCGGGGCTATCTTGCGCGCTTCGCTCTTTCGGTGGCGTGGTGACGATCTGGCCCGCTTGGATCTGGAGACGCGCTTCGGTGAGCGCCTCTCGGGCGCGTTTCTGGAACGTGCGGAGCATTGGCTGCGAGCGCATGTCAGTGAGCCGTGAGAGAGTAAGAGATCGGGGGCGTACCAATGTGGCAGGACCTCTGCAGTTTACGGAGCCGAGTTCGAAGAAGGCGATCGCGTTGTCAAGATCTGACATTGCGGGCTCGGCAAGTTTGCAAGCCGGGCTTTCGATGACAACGGCTCCGAGGATCACCTGATGGAGACGTCAGGATATGCGGTCCTGGGTACAGCTTGAAGCGACATACACAGGAAGAGAAGATCGCGCTCCAAAAGCTGGGCGGGATATGGTCAGAACGTAATCGCACGGCTTGATGCGCGTACACTCACAACCAACACCTGCTGACAAGAGCAGGATGTACGGCGTATACGCCCTTCAGGCTCGATACCAGATTACGGACCGCCTGATACGCAGCATACACAGACTGCGCGTATTTGTGTTTGAAAGGGTCGTTGGAGCCGCGGATGGCTTGCGCGAAGTAGCTGCGGTGGATGTACAGAAGATCTGGTTGGGCGGTCAGCATCAAGCGACTCAGTGGCACAAGAGGAGAGGACGGACTGCTTTCGCGGAGTAACGTCGAGCAATGCTGCGACATAGCCTTGAACGGATCCGAGCTCCATCCCTGCCCATTCTCTTGACCCGGTCGCAGATGCTCAGGTAGCGGGAACGTCCGTATCCGCTTGTCGAGCTCGAGTAACGTCGAGTACGGTAACTGGCGGATGAGGAAAGTGCGCTGCAGTGATGGTGCAAGACACGTCGCCGCATAGAGGAACTTCCACTTGTGCCCTATTACCAGCATCGTCAATCTACCTTCTGAATGCACGGTGTTGAGACCGCTTACATCCTGGCTCGAGCTGGCCTTGGGAGTTCATGACGGGTTCTGTGTCTTCTGGGAAGCGGCAGTCTGCTTGGGTGAGGTTGAGCACTGGTGGACGGCCAGTGATAACGCTCTGTGTAGATTACACCGTCAATCTGACATCCAGGGTGCTGATGTGTGTAGATCACGTACCGACCACGCATCCCAGTTGTAGAACTCCCAAAAGCTCATCCGTCGACGCTGTACCTCCTCCTTCTCCAAGTTCCACCCCGCGCTATCCCGTTCTGTCCAGATGATCAGTAGATGCACAGAAATACACATGGTGAACACGATGACGCACGCAAGCCGATCTATATGAAAGAAGGTCAGATCCTTGTGGCGACAATGATGCATAACCGATCATCTCACCATCTGCGCAATACGCACACATAGACCATTCAACAAGAACCGCAATTCGTGGCCAGTCCTGTCGGTCCAGTACGAGTAGTGGATGAGTAGGATCATCGCTTGGACGGTGGCTGTTGAGGCGCCGCGAGTGATCGAGTCCATTGAGAACGCTGCGCAGCCGAGGGCGTGGTACTGCTCTTGGAGTATGGGAGCGGATTGGCCGGGACTAAAGATGAGGCCGGTGGCTAGGACCATGAAGAAGATGGAGAGGTGGTGGGCGGAGATCGAGTCGAAGGGAGTGTAGCCTTCGAGGGCGTTGTACAGAGGATCAACAACCAATCTGTGGAACTCCTCGCGGGGAACGGGGTCGTACCTATGCGCTTTCAGCATGTTAGATGGAATTGAAAATAAAACGGGCGTACAGCCATGATGCGTTCGAGTAGAATTGCTCCGATACTAACTGCGTGCGTGATCGAGGTGGTATGAAGGCCTTGAAGCTCGCAACGGTGGCCCGGTGCTCTCTTAGACCGAATGGGAAGGCATTGACCAGATCAATGACCTCATGTGGCAGGCCGAGGAACTTGGGATTGCTGAGATGCCTGACTGGATGTTCGGACTCGTCCATGAGGCTTTGAAGATACTAGACGGTGTATCAGGGAGTATTCCACCCCTGATGCGACTGAAGATACTCACCTCAGATGAAGTGGTTTCGCCATGATACCTCGTCTTCCCGTCCTGCGAGATGGACAGAGAGCCGATGGTATCCGACACCTCGTCCATCTCCGCCGCAAATGTACTCTCCAGCTCTCCAAGTACGGCCAAGTCGTCACGAGAACCTGCGTCCCGCAGAAGAGGATGCATCTGCGAGCCGTTCTGAGTATTCGCCAGAGCAGCCTCGAGTTCCTTTATTCGACTTGACATGCTCTTGACTTGCTGCGTCAAGCGCTCCGCATGTGCCATCAACACCCTATTGCGAGGAGCCATTGTAAGCGACGGAAGCGGATATCAAGTAGAGCGTCAAACGGACTTGTTACCCTTGGTCGCGGTGAGGGTGCCTATATAGAAACTTCAGTATGATAGGCGCCTTCGGGTAGCACAACCGGGGACTTACCGTCTGGACATATTGCCGCGCAGCCTCTCCTCACGCATGACTGACACGGAAAGGATCTAGATTCGTTTGTCAGTAAGCGGAGTACTCGGCAGGCATCTGGGCGGCGTAAGAGAAGATACGCACCGGTCACACTTGAGCTTTGAACTATATGTCCGAGGCGGGGCACGAGGCAAATGCGTTGATGTCCGAGTCGGTGTGATGTATAGAGTAGGGCGAGATTGCACGGGGTTGAAGGGGAGCGAAGCAGATGTGAGGCGTCCGAGTCGGCGATAGTTCACACAAGGAAGGCGGATATATAGGCGCACCGTCTGCATTCTGCGCACGACAATCCGGACTTGACGCGCCGCAGATCCCCGCTACTAGAGCCACTCGCGGCGTTTGCCGAAGTACTGGTACTCGTTGGCGCTGCAGGAGGGGCAGCAGCCGTGCTCCCGCTCGCAGGGGCTGCTGCCGCGGCGGGGGCCTGCGCGGGCTGAGAAGCACTCATTAATCCTACTATGAGTCTGTTCGACTGCGGGCGTGCTTTCGTTGACGAGCAAACTCAGAAGTTTCGGCGTCTAGTTGGAGAAGCCAAGGACAGGAAGTTAGATCTAGGATGAGGGGATGATGCAGAGGAGCACGTTCAAGTCGCGGCCGCTCAACGTCCGGCACATACGTCTCGCGCCCACGGCATAAACGGCTTCGAATACTCTAATTTAGGCATCTCCATGACATCGATCTGTCAGCGAATGTCAAAACTTTATTCCGTTTTCACTTGTGTGGGGTAAATTATCGAGATCTGTCACTTGGGGAATCCAATTCGGCTCTCGGATATGAAATTCATACGGTGGGAAAGGCTACGGAAAGCAAGATCTAATCTACATGATCGTACAGGGGCGTCCACTATCAGCTGCCACAACCTCCTTTGTCCGGGTAGCAAGCACGTCGTTTCGCATTCTCAGATCCTCGACCTCCTTTACGAGCTGCTGCCTTATACCGCCCTCCTCCTTACGCAACTCGACGAGCAGCTGCAACGACATCGCGACTTCTTTCCATGAATGGCAGTACGCCGCGACAGAATTCAGGAGCTCATCGTCGTGGATCCATAGTTCGTCATCCCAGGTGAACCCTGATTGTATCACAGGCGTCTTCGGACAGCTTGCGAATAGGTAAGATAGGTAGAGTTGCACCGAGCGAATGTCTTCTGATATCGGCGATGTCCCGAAGTTGACGACCTCGAGTGCTTGAAAGCGCGGTCTGCTACTCGGCGCGGGAGTACGCAAGTTTTGCACGAGGACTTCCGCGTCGACGCATAGGCCAAGCACCCGTAGCTTGGGAAAGTGTTCCGCTATTGTCGGCAAGAGGTCGAGTGTCGTGGTTGGCAGGTCGATACACAGGGGTTCGCAGTTCAGAACTAGGCAGAATAAGTTCGGCAGAGCAGTGCCGAGTTCGACCAGATCAGATGCGGTGTATATGAGGGGTAGGTTGTGTCGTATCTCGAGTTGCTCCAGGTGAGAGAGGGATAAGAGTGGTCGTAGGTTTTCGAAGGTTAGCGGCTCGATCGTCTCTGACTGAGCAGTCATGACATCGACCACGATGTCAAGCGCCAATGCGTCTAACGATGGAAAGCGCTCCGCGATGTTTGTAAGGAGTGATTGCACCACCTCGGGATCTTCAACGAAGATGCTATGCACGTAGAGTTGTGTAAGATGTGCAAAAGCGGTCTTGGGCGAGTCGCACAGAAGAGTCTGCGCCATAGAAACGGCACAACATAGACTGAGATCGCGTAGGGAAGGAAATGCCTCGGCCGGCATTGGCGGTTCGAAGACAGAGTCTGGATCTCGATTTGCAGCCCACGAGTACGGGGCGTCGCCATCCGGTAAAAACTGGACGCATTCTAGCGCCGGTAGCGTGCTCAGGTTGAGCAGCGTTGTATAGGACAGGAGCCACCGGGAGAGCGTGATTGTCGTCAGAGATTTGAGCGAGAGTATCATCTCCGACAACGGATCATAACTCCCTACTTCCATGCACGGTTGCAAGCATAGATGCGTCAACTCCGGTGTACGCTCCTTGACGTTCGTCGCGAACAACGCCAAGTCCTCAAAACTGGGCTCCGGGTACATCTCCACGCGCAAGTCACGCACTCCCTCGTGCATAAAGCACACTTCTTGTCCCAGCTTCATCAACGGCCCGCGGGGATTCCAATGCAAAGCGCGCAATTTGGGGAAAATCCGATGCGCGGTGCGCGTCACGGCGAGATCGGTGAACGCGCTGTCCGCGACGCGTTCGTGATGTTTTGCGGCGTATGATAGAGTGCGCACAAATGTGGCGTATTTGTAGAAGTGCGTCCACTGGGTGGCAGTGGGTGGATGCACGAACTCCTGTCTGACATTCAGTACGTTAAATTCGCGCTAGGCCGTTTGTGATATCGTACCCATTCGGGGTAAGGCCTCAGCGCATCGGACTTCTTCATAGGACATAGTATACGGAGAATGTGCAATAGCCCGTCGACTTCTCGGTATAGCAAGCTCAACGCCACCGTCGACCACTGTCTGTTGACGCGCGCACATCTCGCGTGCAACCCTCGATTTCCGTGTGATAGGATGATGTCAAGGAGTTCAGGTATCGCTAGAACTCGTTGTGCTGCCGTGCTCCTCTCCATCGTGAAAGAGTGCGTAGAGTGTGGGTAGAGTGTGAGGAGGACAGGAAGTGTTGCCTTAGGACAATGAGCCGTGGTAGACAAGAACAAGTCGCGTTCTGGGCCACTACGCAATGGGAAAGCCTGAAACGCGGTCACATGTGATACCAATATTTATGAGGATTCTCCCAAGACGCGTCGAGCTCACGGGCTACATCCACGGATGAGAGCTAGAGTCATCGGGGAAGTGATGAAAGATATGGCATTATAGCGAGAGATGTAAGGACGAGATCATATCCACAGATGCGACAGTATTTACTCTCTACCATTCATAATCGTACAGGTCAGCTCCAGGCGCAAGGCGCGACTCGGATGGGATAGGTTGTGTAAGTAATCAAGAGAGTAATTCCGGTACATAGAGCGATATCCACAGCAGCAGTCCATATACATCCGCCGACGAGGGTCCGTCTACGCGGAGCGTTCATCAACGAACTCTGAGACAACAGCCTGCAAGGGCACGTTCTCCTGAGAAGCGTTCTCGCCCTTGTGCGAACCTCGAAGGACCATACGACGCAGGACGGGACCGCGCTCACGAAGTGCGTCCGCGAAAACCTGCTTATCGGACCCCTTCATGTCTTCGATGACGACAGTCTCAAGCTTTGGCAACACGCCCTCGCGAACCGCCGCAAGAAGCGTAGCGGTCGGTGCCCCGCGCACGCTAACCGTATCGACATTCTTCAGAACAGGGAGCGCCCCGGCCGCATCGTCCACGGTATAGCACGAGCTCTCTATCCGAAGCCTCAGCGTTCGGGCGTGCTCAGCTACCGCGCTAGCGAGGGTCGATAAGATAGGCGCCGGCACGTTCGAGCATGGAAAGATGATGGTGCATCCTTCACCGATAAGGCAGGCGAGAAGGTTGCCGAACATGCTTGATCGGTGTTCGAGTCCGAGCGTGGTGGCTTTCGAGACGTAGGACTGCGCCGCGCCGAGGAGGGCTTCGCACGGTTGAACGCAGGGGTTGTCGAGTAGTTCGAACTCGACGTTCGTGCTGCAAGGCGTATCGAGACTTCCCCATAGGCGCGCAAGGATACGGCTGTAGCCTTGCAGGTGCGCTTCCCGGAGGTTTACCAGGGGTACGGGTACGAGCAAGTCGTCAGAGCTCGACGCGACGACGCCCCGAACGGTGAGGCGTTCGAGGAGCGGAGCCGTCGCGAGCAGCGCGAGGATGTCCGTAAGGCTCACGAGGATACCCCAAGGAAACGCGCGGTTGAGCTCCAGGGTTAGACTGCGTAGATTTGGGGTGCTGGCCCTGAGGTATAGATTGCGCATCGTCAGGCGGCGCAGGGCGGGCATGTGCATCAATCCGTCGGGCACTGTGGCCCGCTTCTGGCTGAGCGTGCCAGAGTGGAAGCCTAGGTCGGCTTCCATGGCGGCGCAGAGCGTCTTGCCGGGGAGGAGGGTCGACCAGTCGGGTGCTTGCTTTGCGTCGACGTCGGATAGGGTGCGTGCGCGGGGGAGGAGAGACTCAAACTCGTTCACATCCTTCTGGGTACGGCAGCGGCGATAGTCGAGCGCGATGGGTGCCTCTTTCGAGCGCGCTAAGAGCTCCTTGAATGCGCGAGGAAATAAACAGACGATACGGGCCCAGAGGCAGGGCAGCTCGAGTAGGATCTGCCTCCATCTCTTGTTGACGTGTGCGAGTTTCACCCAACCCAAAGAGTTGGGAGGCTCAGGGCTGTCGATGACAGAACATACAAAGAAGATCTCGGCAAGCACGTCCGCTGCGATGTTTGCGACATCGAGGGACTTCTGCGGGGTCGCGCTATCATATGGCTGCGGTCAGGACATTATTGCTGCGATAACGGCAGAGAACGTACACAGCGATGTTGAATTCTGCAGACATGTTGTCGAATGCTCAGGAGTACACTTTAGCAGACGAGGAGAGTGAGGATAAAACTGCGGGCTGGTGACGGGTTAAGAGAGGGGAGGATGTCTCTCTCTGACGTCTCGATCGAGCACGGTGTCGGCCGCCCCGCTTGGGCACATAGCCGGTCCTGATAACAGGCATGATAGCTTGGTGCAGGGACGCATAGAGTAGTCGCCGCTACCGAAGAACGGGTGACGTCTTGGCTGAGCGCAAGAAGCTAAAGAGAGATGCAACCGCAGTGCTACCGCGCATCAGACGCAGGCGCATCAAAAGCCCCTGACACGCGTTTTGAGTATAGATCCCCGACACGTGCTTAATTTTTCTGAGCTCTTTTTGAAAGCAACCTCCATCTCGCTGTACCCGAATAATGAGCTTGCAGGAGACAATACTCCTTGCGACGCAACCACCATCTGGCTCTGGTGCCGGCTCCCTGGTCTTGCATGATATCCAAACGGGAGCTGCCCTAACAAATTGGAAACAAACCAACGCCGGCGCGCGCTGCAATGCTCTCGTGCCCGGCTCCAGCAGCGGACATCTTGGCGGAGCGCTGCTCGCCGCGCAGCCTGACAAGGCTATCCTGAACGTATACACGTTTCAAAAGGTACGCGAGACCTTGATATCTCGCAAATATAATTTCCGTATGATCTGCGATACTGAGGCGGCGCCACAGGACCAAATCGCGCTCAAGACGGTGCTCCCTGAACGCCTGACTTGCCTCGCGGCCGACACGCGCGGGTTGCTATGCGCGGGAGGTACCGCACAGGGCCGTATCTATCTCTGGGAGCTCGCGTCAGGCATCATGTGTCATAGTTGGGAGGCCCACTACCGTTCTGTATCTGTTCTACGCTTCACTCCGGATGGAAACGCACTTGTATCCGGCAGCGAAGATGCAGGTGTGAGCGTATGGTCAATTCCGAGGTTCGTATTGTCTTTTGTCAGTCACATTGCCTATACTTAAACTCAGCTAAGCTCAGGCTTCTCGACGAGGATGCGCAGGAGGCCGCGCCGACGCCAGTTGCGAATCTCGGCGACCACACATTACCTATAACGGATATTGCCTGCGGGATGGGCGTATTCCCGAACTGCCGGATCCTAACCGCCAGCGTCGATCACTCCGTCAAGCTTTGGGATCTTTCAACACAGACACTGCTTACGAGCTGGCTGCTTCCTTCACCCATAACACATCTTGCATGGGACCCGACAGAACGGTTGTTCTTTGCCGCTGCGGACAACGCGAAGGGAGATGTCTATCAGGTCAACCTATTCAGACGGAGAGACGATGGGCGCGGCGAAGCCGTAGGTGGCGCCGGAGTTGCCGACATCGTACGGATCAGCGACGACGAAGCGATTGAATCTTCGCAGCGCATCATCAATGTTGGGTTAGCACGTCTTCATCCTCATTGAGCTGCATCGTGCTGATTGATGTTCTACGTCTAGCGAGCCTGTCTCTGCACTTGCGCTATCATTGACGGCGTCATTGCTCCTCGTCGGCACGGCACCTGGTCTCGTGCATGTTTATGATGTACGCTCGCATCAGTTACTGCGCACCATCTCGGTACACAAGGGCGCGCGCATCGCGCATCTTGAGGCGCTGGTCAAACCACCGGACCTCGTCGGTCATGTCAGCCTTGTACGAGCTGCGAATAACGAGGCGCCGCAGCCGCGACCTATCGTTGCGTTACAGCGGACGCGAGATCCGGCGTCCAGGACAAGAAGAGATGTTTCGGTCGTTCTCGCTGCACGACCAAAGGTACTTATTTACTCTCGTTCATTCTCGGCTATACGCTTATTGCGCTGCCACCTAGGACACAATGGAGTCTATCACCGCCCTCAACTTTCACGAACTTCTATCGGACCACGCCTTCTTCGTACAGCCTACCCCGCTTACGCCCGCAGAGAACGCGCCAGTTCCGGCGGCCACTTCGGCGCGTGTCAACGAGTTGGAGGAAGAAGTCACGAAGCTCCGAGCACAGCTGGCGAAGGCGAAGAGCGTGAACGACGCTATGTGGGAGAACGTTGTGACGCGCGCGGTGCGTGAGCGGCCGGCGGTTGCGCCTGTGGTCGAGGAGGGAGAGAGGGCTCGTAAGAGGGGACGGACATAGCGCAGGTTGTGAGGTGTGGCCTTCTCCGGTTGTGCAATACATGCGCACCCTGGTTGATCTTGCTTTGTCGCTTTTTGCCAAGGCATATCGAGACGCCCCCCCATCGTGCTTCATGCGCACCTGCATCGTAGGCGCAGGAGATGCGAAGGTTCTAACGAAAATCTTCCAGGCTCGCGTGTACGCGTTTCAGCTTGTATCTACACTAGTCGCTGTTTGAGAACAAGGGCAGGGAAAGCTGTGGTCAAACCCTAACCTTGGTTAGCATAGGCGTGCTTATTATAGTTTATCTGGAAGTGAGAATGTGAGATGCAAATAGTTAAACGCGTGCGAACTTTCAGCATTTTGAAAGGTTATAGCGCGGTGCTGCGTGACAACCGACTACAGTCCCTGCTGGTAATACGACCGTATCATCTGACCAACCGAGCATCAGTACATGTCCTTGCAGGGCACGACTATTGGCCAGAGTCGAGATTGCGTCTAATATGACGTAGAGAAGCCCGTTGTTAGCCGGCGGCATGCCTAGGCGCACACGGCGATAACACCCGGGATTGATCTCGAACCACCATCCGATGATTTTATTCCGCCTGGTAATCGGTACACACCAGCGGATGCATACGTTCTTTAAGCTTCCTTATGTCCGTTTCCCAAAAGGCGACTGGCCAAGTATCCCAACTTGACTTAAAATGTGGGATGGCCGGCTCAAGGCGCTGAGCGACTGCCACGTCGAGCGTTTGTATTGAGTGGGTGAACCACACAGGGTGAGCGCAGCGCCGGACGCACTCTTATCGCACCCCTCACACGAGCTACTGCACCAAAATTGTCATGGCTTCTGCGGGCACACGACGCCGACCTTCTCTCTCCCAGCCTATATGTTGCGAGAGGTTCAGATCCGAGCTGCTTTCTGAGAGCTCACCCTCGCCCCTCTCTGCGGCGCTTGTACCGTCTAGTGGTGTCCGCAATGCCTCGTTGGCCATCAGGCGACCGCTCATCCTCTACCCAAGCGCTCGAGACCGAGGCTTTAGCGCCTCCTCAGCCGCAGACTCCCGATGTCTCCTCGCTTCAGGCCACCAAGGATGAGCCTGAGTCTGAGCCAATGATGGCTTCGGGTACTACGAGGGCACCTCGACGACGTCGGATGCTCTGGATTGGGCTCGGTTCATTGCTCGCTATCATTATCATAGTGGTGGCAGTTGTCGTACCGGTCGAGCTCTTGGTCGTACACAAGAACGGCAGTAGTGGTGGTAGTTCCGGCTCCTCGAGCGGAAGTACAGGCGGGTCTGGTGCTCATGGAGCTACGGTGCGTGCCATCCGTGCCACTACATGCGACTTCACACTCATGCCATGCGTAGACAGGGGGAAATGGTACCACCGTCACCCTGTCGAACGGCACGACCTTCACGTACATCAACGAGTTCGGTGGTTTCTGGATCGACGACCCCAAGGATCCCTTCAACAACAACGCGCAACCCAACAGCTGGACGCCACCGCTCAACACCAGCTGGGACTTCGCAAACGACCGCATCTACGGCGTGAACCTCGGAGGTCTATTTGTGTTGGAGCCATTCATTACTCCGGGCCTGTTCCAACGGTACCCCAACTCGACGGACGAATTTAGCCTCAGCCAGGACATGCGCCTTGACACCGCAAACGGTGGGATCTCTCAGCTGGAAGATCATTATAAGACCTTCATCGTGCGTAAAGTTATCTCTTTCAGGGAGTGGTGCGGGTGCTGACTTCGGCCTGTGACCACAGACGGAGTCGGACCTTGCCGAAATCGCAGGCGCAGGACTCAACTGGATACGTGTACCGATTGGCTTTTGGGCCATTGAGACGTACGAGGGCGAGTCCTTCCTCGAGGGTACTTCTTGGCAGTACTTCTTGCAGATACTCAAATGGGCTCGCAAGTACGGTCTACGAGTCTTGCTTGACTTCCACGCTCTACCCGGCTCCCAAAACGGTGTGTAGAGTTCCTAAACCTAGTTTTTAACGCGCTAAAGATACGCTCACAGGTCTCAACCACTCCGGAAGGCAAGTTCTGCGACCGATGTACCAGTGAATCTCATCTCATCACCGTCTAGGTTGTCGCCAGTCAACTTCATGAATGGGAACATGGGTCTTGCCAACGCTCAACGCGCCTTGTACTACATTCGCGTCTTCACCGAGTTCATCTCTCAACCTGAGTACCGTGACCTCATCCCCATCTTCGGCATTGTCAATGAGGCCCTCGTCGGTACCATCGGCTTTGAGCAAATCACCTCTTTCTACCTCGAGGCTCACGATATGATCCGCAACATCACAGGCTTCGGCGAAGGGAATGGACCGGTGAGCCATTCTTCTTTTCTGCGTCTTTAACTCCGCATACTGAGTACTGGTACCCCTCAGTACATCGCGATTCACGATGGCTTTCAAGGGCTCCAGATTTGGGAGGGCTTCTTGGCAGGTTCCGACCGCATCATACTTGACCAGCACCCATACCTCGGGTTCGGTGCAGTCCAAACGGATCCGATCAATGTTCCCGCTCCGAACGGGCTTGCAGGCGGCATCTGGCCGAAGGACGCGTGCGATAGCTGGGGCCCGCAAACGAACACCAGTCGCATGAACTTCGGTGTAACTATCACGGGCGAATTCTCCGGTACGCTCACTCCGAGTCGTCTGCCGAGGGCATCTGATGTACCTCCTTCACAGACACGTTCAACGACTGCGGGACGTATGTACGAGGTGTTGGTGCCAATTCGACGAACCCTCAGGTACGTGACCAGACTCAACGCCTGCTCAGCTGGCTTATGCCACTCTTTTGCAGTGCTCCGAGTATAATGACTACAAGAACTACAATGACACGATGAAGCAAGGACTCACGAACTTCCTCACTGCCGAGTACTCGTCTTTCACCGACTGGTTCTTCTGGACGTGGAAGGTTAGAGCCCACCTGAGGTTTACGTACCTGCATATCCTGACAATGTCACAGATCGGCGAGGCATCGAGCGGAGAGATAGAGGCTCCGTTGTGGAGCTACCAAGTATGCTGTTCCACCTAGCTCAATGCACACTCAATCTCACCACTTCTCAGCTCGGTCTTCGCGAGGGTTGGATCCCAAAAGACCCTCGTGGTTTTGAGGGGGTTTGCGCTTCGCTCGGTACTGCTTCCAACCCTTGGAACGGAACATATCAGCCATGGCAAACAGGTGCCACAACGTCAACCATCGCGGCATCATCCAGCAGCTCCTTCGCATTCCCACCCAGTCTGAGCAACATCGGTGTACCTATGACATTACTCCCCACCTATACAGCCACAGCTACCATCGCGACGCTTCCTGTAGCGACTTTCACAGGTGCTCCTGCTTCCATCACCAGTGCTGTCGATGGCTGGTTCGACACCAAGGACACTGCGGGTGGCATAACGCCTGTCGCGGGATGCACTTACCCCGGTATGTCCTTAATCTGAAGCCTATTCTGCTAGTTCTGACGTATACGCGCATTATAGATGAGTACAATGGGATCTTCAGTGTCACTCCGACAGCGCCTTGCACAGGCCCCATCAATGGTGCTACTGTTACTCCCGCACCTGCAACAAGTTGAACAACCACGACGGCATACTTAGATATGCCCCCTCTTGGACATTCTTCCACACAGACACTGGCTACCGAAAGACATTCTTACTACCATACACGATACCTCGCTCGCTTGTTGTCATAGAACTCTTGTACATTGTCTGCTGCTTTGAGTAACCTGCTTTGTTGTATCGCAATCATGATTGTTCTCACGACCCATATTGAATTCATTATACCCCAACTTCCGCCCATTCCCATCTAATGTCTTCGAACTTGAAATGAAGCCAGAGTGAGCGCCGCTGCCGGACATGACGTCGCATAACCTACGACGACTAGCCGGCCGGGTCGAGACTGACGACGCACTGGCTATGATCGGGGCCATGGAAAGTGGCTCTTTGAGTGAAGGAGTGATAGAGTTATCCCCTTGGTTGTGTCCGAGAGTCACTGTCAGGTTGTACAGAAGGTTGTCCAAGTATAGTCTATGTCTATATCTCAGAGGCTCTCACTGAGAGTGAGCTGCGACTCGTCGGCAGCAACAGAGAGCGGGATTGCACCGCGGCGCGTGCGGCTTTTGATCGGAAAACGCCGGGACATTCACACACGTTGGTGTCGGCGGTTCGATGCTGCTTTCTACGCCGACGAGCCCAAGCTCAATTGCAAGCTGCAGTCAGAGGACGCATACCGCAAGCTTCGCCTGGTCTGGCCCTACCTGCTTACGGTGAAAAAGGCTAGGTCGGGCTGCTCTGATTTTCCAGTTATCATGAAACTCATAAGTATATCGTCACTGAGAGGTCGTCGGCGTAAAGCTGGTCTCCCGTAGTCAGACTCTCGATGCACGGCTCCGTTGAACTAATGAAATCCCATCTCAGTACTTAGAGAACACGCAGCCATCAGTCATTCCTAAGTATACGCTTGGCCCTGAGTCTACACGCGAGCGATTCCCCGCAAGGCTACAGTCTTCTCATCCGCTTCAGACGTGATAAGACGAGTATCCAAGCTGGAGCCTAAGCCAGGGATGACCTTCATCGCCTATCTTGCGGCAGCGGCGCGACGACGGCGACGGCGAAGCAGCCACCACACGCCGAGTCCGGTGAGGAGTGCTAAACTTTCGACGACGGGCCCGGCGGGGGTGCTCAATTCGACGTACGCCGGGCAGGGTGGGACTGGGCAGGGTGGGACTGGAACTGGCCTAATCGAGCCTGTGCGTTAGCCAACGAGTGCATGCCGATGGAGGGGTTGTCAACTTACGCCGTCTCTATGTGATATATCAGTACCGTTAGCATTGACATTAGCGAAGAGACAGAACCACTCACGTATGGCCCTGAACGCCGGCTGCAGCTCTGAAGTACCACCGCCAGGAGCGACGGTAAAATAAAACGAGCTCGTGGAGTTGAAACCCTCTTCGTTACCGGCGAACCAGGAGTCCGCAACTTGGACGGCCATCGAGTTCGCTGAGTGCTGGCCTTTCGTGGGGCTCGGGACCCCGTCTCGTGTAAATACGAGAGTAGGTTGGGCGTTGCTGTCGTTGCGGAAGACCTTGACGTCAATTTGACCGGCTCGGGCGTATCTGGGGTGATGGCCATTCCCTATGACAGGTATGAGTATGTGGGCGTATAGAGAGGCATGGGTAGTGGGGTTAATGGCGATGTATGGAGGAAGCACGCACAGACGAGGTGGACCCATTGGCCTTGGTATGCCACCGTCTGTGCAGTCGGGGAGCAGGTCGTGACAGTCAAATCGCCGTTGGAGCACTGCTTGTATGCTTGCTCTAATGTAATAATGAATACTGTGAAGATAAATATAGAGTCGTGGATAGAGACATACCCCAGGCGGCGTCGTTGCGTACACCCAAATTATTCGACATGATGAGCGGCGCAAGTTGGAGTAGGCCAGGTGGGAGGAAGCAGGGCTTTATAACATCGACCCACATGCCAGCGGCACATTTCTGCGCTTACGAATGAACTTTGAAGCACTTGCGAGGCTATGCATAGATATGATCACCGCGTGAGTACACGTCTATGCGATGGCAAAACCGACGGATATGCACGGATGCGCAGGCGATACGCAGTTCACACCTATTGAATTATTATCTTGGTAGGACTAGGTGAGACACCGGTGAGGTTGCACAAATCATCTCAAGGCAGTGGCGTCAAAGCGGGCTTGTGTTCCCTTCATGCGAATATGACCTTCTCCGCGCCTTCTCTAGCCTGCGCATGAAGGCAGGCGAGTTCTGATAATGTGGCTCTTCGGCGTGTCTCGCCTACGAAGCATGATGGGCGATTGTGTGACCCCGAAGCCGATATACTGGCATTAGTTCAAGCCGCCAAGTCAGGGTGCTGTTCAGGAGCTACTATGCCTCTGCGAGCACTGCAGATCGCAAAGGCTCAAGGCAGGTGATGATATCGAGGTCCCCGGGTACTAGCATCGGGAATTCTTTCGCAACTAGAAGCGCCACATTTTGCAGCGGGAACCTAGTCTAGGTTCAGCTCTTGAAGACGTAGCCCCCCTTATCGTGCGGCGCGAGTGCATTTCGACGCTGCAAGCCTTAAAAGACTGAACGCAATGTCATGGTTCTGCTGAATGACAGGGCCGGCCATCCCAGCCAGTTCCAGCGACACCATCGCCGTAACCTGCCCTCGCTCCTGATCACCGAGGTCTCACAGAGCGATTGAAGACCTGCTTGACGATCTTGCCAAAGCGAGGTCGCACAGCAGGGCGTTGGAGTTTAATCGTCGACGGCGGACGCTGTAACGCGACTGATGGCATCGGCGGGAGTTCGGCAATCACCGGCCACCGGCCTGTGGGATTTCGAGAGCGAGCCTAGGTAGTAAAGGAGCCGCACCGAAGGCGCCAACTACCGGTTCAGAGTATTTGAGTATCGGGTGCATACCCATAGGAGGTTGCGAGGCCAATGGCCCTGACTTGCTCATGGATGATGGCCGTCCAGGTTGAGCTCGAGTGCGCCGGCAACTGACGCGACATGAACAAGACGGGCGACCGGGCCGACAACCTTAACCCTAGGCGTAAGCCGGCCAAGTGCTGTCCGACGCTTGTTGACCATCCTACCATCACTACCCGTTTCCTTTTCCTTGACAGCACACGCGTCCTAGACACAGGGGTTACCTGATGTCCACCATGTACTTGATGCACATACCCAGGCGTGTCATGCATTATCCGAAGAGAACGAGAAGCTAGGAATCGTCCCACGATCGCACGGCAGCCTTCTCGTCAGCATCATCAATGCGTGCCCTGCACCTCCTCATCTCCCCAAGTACCAATCAGCTCCGATAGAGAGCGGGATGGCATGCCGCGACTTCGCATGCCATGGTTGTGTGCACTCTATTCACACAGACAAAGGTCATTTTCATCATTGTTAACGCATAGAACATCGTGAAGAGGTCGTAGCCATGCCAGGAGTCCATGCTCACAACAGGATCTCGTCTCAAGAAGAACGTGATCCCCATCCGCCTTCGCCAGTACACGACCAGCCTCCCTGCTCTACACGCGAGCACTCTTCCGCACTTCAGCCTTCTCATCCACTTTGGACACAATGGACCGCGTGTCGGAGCTCGTGTCCGCGCCAAGGGTGACCTTGATCGCCTCTTCCGCGGCTGCTGCACGGCGCCGGCGAAGCAGCCACCAAGTGCCGAGTCCGGTGAGGAGAGCCAGGCCTCCGACTATGGGCCCGGCTATAGCGCCAACGGGGACGCTCGACTCGGCATAGGCCGTGCAGGGGGACGTAGTGCAAGATATAAGCGAGACCGGTCTGATCGTGCCGGTGTATCAGTTGCGTAGCGTCTGATACTGGTGATATAGCACGACTTACGCCGTTTCTGTCAGATGTATCAGTACCATGAACATCAACAGCAACGAGGACACGACTTCACTCACGCACTGCACTGAACGCCGGCTGCGTCTCCGGACTCCCGCCACCTGGAGCGATAGTGACGTAGAAAGAGTTGGTGATATTGGAGCCTTTCCACTCGTTATCGGCGAACCAGGAGTCCTCGACTTTGACGCCCATGGAGCCCGCGGGCTGCTGGTTCTTCGTGGGGTTCTGGACCGCGTTCTTTGTGTATACGAGAGTAGGTTGGGCGTCATCTGTGGTGCCGTTGCGGAAGACTCGAACGTCAATTTGACCGGCTTGGACGAATTCGGGATGATTGCTGTTCCCTATAGCATGCATGAGTGTGTGGGTATGCGCAGAGGAACGGATGAAGCACGCACAGACAAGTTGGACCCACTGGCCTTGGTATGCCACAGTCTGGTCAGTCGGGGAGCAGATCGTGACGGTCGTATCGGCGTTAGAGCACTGCTTGTATGCCTGCTCTATCATGAGTGTGAGCATTATGAAAGCCACGTGTACGGACGTGGATGGAGACGTACCGAAAGCGGCGTCGTCCGCGGACAAGCGCGCAGCCAAGTCGTATGACATGATGAGCGGCGCAGGATCAAGTAAGCCAGGGAGTTAGTCTTTATACTGTCGACCCACACTGTACGAAGTGGCGCATCTCTTCGCTTACGGGTGACTTCGAGACATTCGTGAGGCTATGCGTGTATATGATCGCCGCGTGAGGGAAAGTCGAGAAGATGGCAAGGCGAATGGATGGGCACACGCGCGAAGCCGGTACGGAGTTCACACCTATTGAAATATCGTCGCAGTAGAACGAAGTGGGCTGACTCGGCGGGGTCACGCTACTCTAAGGCTGTGGAGGAAAGACGGGCTTGCGTTCCCTTCCTGCGAATATGAATTGAGAGGCCTTCTCTGGCCTGTCGCACGAAAGCGGGCGCGTTCTCCAAGTGGGGCCTCCGCTATCTCTCACAAATGGAGGATGACGAGCGATTGTATACGGGTGAGTGACTCCGAGGATGGTCTGAGTTGCCGTATCGAGTTATCAGGTCAGAGCGGCGTTCAGGAGCCGCGGTATTATATAGTGCGGAAACCAGGATTTGAGAGTGATGCAGGTCGTGAAAGGTAGAGGTAAGTGATAGCATGGGACATGGGAGCCCTTGAGCAGCATGGCGGCTCATGATTTGTGGCAGGTCGTGACACCAGTTGCCATGGCTTGCTCAAAGATGATGGCCGTTCGCGTAGAGCTCGAGCGCGCCGGCGAACGGCTCGACGTGAGCAAAACGGATCACCGGGCCGATTACCCTAACCCTAGGCTGCAAACGCCGTCTGACTTTGTTTGTTGACCAGCCTTGGACTAAGGCGCGGTGATTATTGCTCCATTTTTAACTAAGCATATTTAACCGTTATTTAACCACGTTAATATACAGTGTTCAAAACGGCCGGGGTCGGGGCCATATGTACTTAACTAACCCTAACCTAGGGTGAAGACACCTATAGCGCACTATACCCTGCAAGACTGCTGCAGCTGTCGACGGCGGTGAGCGCGCGAGACGTCCCGACGCGACTCGGGCCAGGCGCCGGAGGTCACAAGTGCTCGGCTGTGCTCGGCCACCACGCTGTCCAAGCGCGCGCGCTGATGGAACTTCGCAACCGCCGCACTTTCATGTTGGCCCGTAGTATAAGCAGGTCGGAGTTGATGATCTCCAGAAACCCACTTCTAAGCGAGAGTACAGGTATCTGCATCCGCCTCTTACGCGCGACCTCAGCGTGCAATCGGCACGCTGTGCCTCACATCCTGCGCGCGCCGTGGCGGTCATCACGGTGGCCCGCCTCACTAGTTCAATGCACAGAGTCCATCCATTCGAACATCCAGCTCGCGATGCGTTGGGTGTGTGCTTCCGCGCGCCGCTCATCTGTAGCAGGGGTTATCATTTTTAACAGGTTTATTAACATTGTTAATTAACCTAACCCTAACCCTACCGTTAATTAACGGTGTTAAAAGTAGCCGGGGCATTAATCACCGAGCCTTAGTGCCGGCCGGCGCGCGCTTGTTTCGAACCGCGATGAAGCGCATGCGCCAGCTGTCAAACCTCAGACCATTGCGAGAGGACAGCTTGACGTCGCTGTACTATTCAGCTGTGACGACAGACATTCATTCTACAAGGCATCTGCAGCTCACCATAGAGATACGCCGCGCGCCGGCGCCGGCAATGGTTTCGCAGTCACAGCGGAGAGCCACACTGCCCTGCTGTGACCGACGGCATTCGCGACTAGCGCTCGGCATCGTGTTGTCTCAGCACCCAGCGCGTCCTAGCCTGTTCTATCGGAGATAATCGAACAAGTATGAGGCTCGGGCAGTCGCGCCTACTGTATCGTGTCCATGCCTTACTGGTACCTGCCACGTCTGTGCAGTTCCGTCGTGGGCAGGCGGCACCTCCCGCGGCCAAAGATTGACAGCCGATGTACTCGCCTGGGTTGCCGCAGCACCTACTGAAGTCTTCGTACGGTCTAGCCGCCACTCCATTTGCCGGGTATCTTGTCGGCACGTACTGAACAGGGCCTGGTTACGCGTATGTACGGCTACCAATCGTCGAGATTCGGGAGGTATGTATATTACGATGTCGTGTTTGCAGAGGGAATGTCTCTATTGACATTCAACCGCCCCACATTCACAATACTTATCAGTGCTGCACATGGTGAACTGGAGGGAAGCCGCAACTGAGCGGGCTGAGCTCGGTCAGCGTTCTCGCTGACGATTGCATCCGGATAAATCCACCTTATACTGGCTACAGCAGGCATGGAGGCGATGTCTCTGGTGCTAATAGGGATATATCTGTGAGCCCGTCTATTCCTACCGCCCAGTTCTTTAGTACTCATACCCGACGGCAGACACGAGATGGCTTGTTCCTTGAAGTTCGACCTCAGACTGATGGCAACCGCGAGAGATGGGTCGAGCGACTCTGTTCTCGCGAAATGCGTCAAAGCGGTTCGTGTAGTGAACGACTATTGCTATACGTTCAGCTACTTAGGCTCACTCCTGCTTAGACGTACCTGGGCTGCCGTCATTCGGTTCTCATAGCGGCTATCCTGGAACTCTACATGGTCTTCCGCTCCGGCAGAGGGGCGATCCCCTGTTATGTATGTAACTGCTCATTGCTGTCATACCATGAGGTGCTGCTGGACATAGTGGCTAGGGTATCATGAAGGTGTCCGCGGTGAGCTGAGCTTCGAGGCTGCTCTGAGAGATGTCATGTACTTACTCACGTTATATTTCCAGGGAACGGCCGCTCTCTCTTCCACATGTTGCTCAGCGCTGATCGCTGCCCGAACGTATGTGCGTGCTATGCTCGCTGTATCTAGGATCCACTGACTAGGCAATCGTGACAGGATGGTCGTATGGAACTGGGATGCGCGCATTACAACGCTTGTAAGCGCAGTCTGTTTAGCGGCTCTTGTAACGGACATACGAGGCAAGCCTGTTCACTCCGTCATATTCCATGATCTCAAAATGCTGACAACTCTCAGTCGTTGTTATGGTGCGTGCGTTTTGCGGCATGAGGCTCCCTCGCTGATCGTGAGTGCACAGTTATTCTCTTCGTACGATACCGTCAGCTGTTTCTGTACTCTAACAGACGAGAGCGCGAACCTGCCGAACATTCTCGCGCTTCTTGTCTGTGACTTCGTTCTGCTTGTATGCTTACTGGCAGGTCTCTACCGATGGCATCACCCAACGAAAGGGTCGCGTGGGTTCAGTCTTTGGTCTGTGCTTTGGATGCAAGGCGTATTATATCTTATCATCGCATCTGTGACGGAGGTTCCTGCGCTGGTGAGTGCGTTCAGTAGCATGCCTGAACTGCCCTGCATGATGTTTCGATATGCACAGGTCTTCCTGTTCTTGAACTTGAACAGTGAGTCACAGCATTGATACCGACTACTATTCGATGACTAATATACACCAAGCGGCCATGGACATTGTGATTCACTCTCTTGCAATGTCCATCATGTATCAAAAGCTGACTACTATACATCGAGATCTTCACAAGACCCCTGAGTAAGCCTTCGAGCAGTTACTGCAGGGTAACCGCTGAAGCTGACGGTGTAAAACAGTCGTGCTGCTGTGAGTGCTTGGCGGATCCTATATGGTCATGAAGTTATACTCGGCCTCACATCCATCTCACCCTGGTCGCAGGGTTCTTGCGGCGACGCGATTCCACCGGTCACTGCACGCCTTTACTCCTAACAAGCCTCGCCATGAGTTCACAGACACTATGTGTGTACCATTCACACTGTCCGAAGATGGTCATAGCCTAACATCTCATCGCATAGCCACTTTGCGACGGTAGATGTCGGGGCAAGTCGCAGCCAAACTTGCTGAGGCGATGTTGTCTTTGACCTTGAAAAGCAGAGCTCCACTGAACATGTGTCTGTAATAGAGATTTAGACTAGTGTGCACTCATCTCTGCTTCTCGAGCATGTCACGGATACCATATGGTTCCTGAGCATTTCATTGGGCTCGCGCGCGATCACACCTATAAACATATCATGAGTCCCTCACACTCGAGAACACGGAGCCTTCTCCCGATAGTCCACGCCCAGCAGCCCCACGAGCGCGTCGGCAAGCATGACGACCCTCTCAACCCTCGCTTCTTCCAGCACACTACTCACCGCACTCCACCTCTCCCTCGCGCGGGTGCTCTGATTGTCATCCTCGAGCGCCGCGCTCTTATACCCTCGTACAGTGTCCGACGAAAGTGGGGATATATGGCGCAGGTCTACGCGTGAGACTTCGCACGATATGCGTTATCCTTGCAAGTACGCCCCACTCGTAGAGGGGACGAAAGGCTCAGCTGCCCCGCGCGGGCTACCATTTGATGAGGCGTCATAGACGCGCTCGCGTCGGTTCGGATGCGCGGGAGACCGAGGTTGAGGATGCCGCCTATTAGGAGTACGAGGAGTAGAGAAGCGCGAGAGCAGGGAGTATTTGAAGCGGTTTGTCTGAAGAGGATGCCATGTTGAGGTCATGGTGCGGCGGCGGCGGTGGTGGTGGGTGTAGAGGTCAGGGTACTGTAGCTTGAGACGCGAGCGCGGGCAAGTCGGCGTGGTAACCTGTGAATACACCGCGTTGCTTGCCTTTGACCATCATCGTGGTCGCCTGGCTTCTTCCACTTAATAAGTGGCCGGCAAATTCTCTGAGAATGCAATGTAGAGTTGCAAGTCGGCTGCACCCCAACGAGGTTCATTTTGTGGCAATCTCTGCTCATGGTCCTTGTTTGAGCTTATCAGGTTGGACGGGACCAACACAGGCCAGCACTCCGAACCAGGTTTTCTCAAGGTGCTCCGGGCACACACGCACCTTCGAAGTACCCCAATGACGAATGGCCTACGCGGCTTGGATGCGTCTGCTGAGCCCGCAGTTCAAAGGCCGAACGCGTGCATCTGAATCAGGCGTTGCGCGACAAAGCGCGACGTACCGCCCGTACACCTGTAGTACTGGACTACGTTGAGGCGATATCTGCCTCTTCTCCCGCTCCCTCATCAATGCATCCATCTCTGAAACGTAAAATCGTTGATCTCGGCCGACTACGCGTGTTCGGTACGGTGTATAAAGAAGGACTTACGACATGTAGGAATCGTTCCGGCGGTCTTCGTCACTTCGTGTTCGATTGCGCTCCTCACGAACCACATGAATAATCTCCGTGCAGGCGAAGGGAGGGAGAATGGTGAGAGTCGACTGCTCTCGTGTGCACTAGGATCGGATAGCTGACTTGTCTACAGTAGGCTGCGTGATCATATCGCTCATGTTCAACCCGATATACCTGTGAGTCTCCCGTTGTTGATCGGCTATCCATCGCTGAAATCGGTTTCTCAGCCATGACTTCATGTGCTCCGTCAACTTCGATTGGAGTCTGCTGGTGTATGGCAAGGACAACGGTGAGCGAAGCTCGCTTTTGGCTAAGAGCTGACTCGCGTGTCTTCCCGTCCAGGACAAGGTTGGCTCCAAGCATCGGTCCAACCTTGCTTGTGCGCTGCTTTACATCGAGTGATCGCGGCTGTCATTCGGTGGCCGACTCAGAACGCCGCGACCGTCAGACTACGTCTTCAGCACGCGCGGATGCTGTGCATCATCTTCTTTGCCTTTGCCCCATTCCGGCATAAGTACGAGGTGGCGCTTAATGTCTCGACTCGCTGGGGCCGTCTCAATACAGAACTCTCGGCTCGCTGCACGTCCCAAGGTTCGATTATCGGAACACGTCGCGAACGTCTCTCGCTGGCGTAACGCGGGTATCAGGTGTAATGGTCTACTTGACCTTTAAAGAGAGTCGCATTCTGTACTTTTTAAGCCAACTCGTCTTGCCCCCTGCAATATGGTGGACTGGCAGAGCATTGTGACTCGAACGACTGAATTCGGTGAGCGGACCTTTGAAATGCGCTTGTATGGATGGCTGACGTGTATACCAGCGGAACTGAGGTCGCTATCCATCATATTCAACGGGATATACCTGTAAGACCTAGGATCCTCGATGTTCATTGCCCACTGCTAACGGTGGATAGTAGCCATGAATTCGTGTGCTTCGTCGCTTACGATTGGAAGCTCTTAACTCGCAAGGGCGCCTCAGAGCATACATCTCTCCTGATCAAGAGTGTCAAAGTGGTCCGTGTTGCCGTCTCCTCAACTTTGTCTCAGCCTGTGCAGGACTGATCATAGGCACGTTCATAGACGTATCTATGCTGCCGCTATCTCGCCCTTATATCAGCCGTCACAGAGCTCTACATGTACTTTCGTCTTTACCAAGGGTACCTGCCATGCGAGGTATGTCACAGTCTTCGCTCCACTCTTCCACTTCGATTCACATTCTCTAGGTTTTGATGACGATGTCAACGGTACGAAGCGCCATCTCATCCTAGTTTTTCCTCGTGATCGTCTGACATATACTTGTTTCAGGGGATCGGGGCTCTAGCAACAACTTGTTCGTCGGCACTGATTGCTATCCGCGCGTGAGCCCAACTCCATTGAGTCTTGGAGCTGCGAGGATTTGAAGAGCGCCGTACCTACAGTCTAACGCTATGGCGCTGGAATGCTCGCATTACTGCTCTGATCGGCATCGCGTTTCTTGCTCTTCTGGGTACAGATATACAATGTGAGCGTCTGTCTTCTTCTTAGAGTACCAGAACGGGAGGGCTTATTATTCTCGCCAGCTACTGTACTGGTAAGCGTCTCTCAACTCGCAAACGTCATGATCTCGTTCGGGGTACTAATGAAGATGAGTCAGGTGCGATCAACATACGAACCCGCCTTCAGCCTCTGCTCTACGGAACACGCGAACCATAGCCTCCCGAACCTGCTTTCGCTCCTTATCTGCGACGTCGTGGTGCTGACGTGCCTTCTGACTGGTCTTCGCCGCTGGCACGATCCGCGGAAGAAATGGGGCGCCTTTCGCTTGTGGACAATACTCTGGAATCAAGGTGTTATCTACCTCGTTCTTGCATCAGCTACTGAAGTTCCTGCCGTGGTATGTACAGCCTAGGTCAAGGCGCCATGAGCTCGTGTATGACTGTTCTCTACCCGCAGGTTTTCTTACTTCTGCGCTTGAACTGTGAGCTTTGCTCCGTTTTGTATAGGGCTGTTGAGAGATTGAGAAGTTGAAACGCCATCCAGCGGTCATGAATTCAGTAAGATAAGCTTGCTGCGCGCACAGGCTGCGGAACTAATGACCGTACTACCTTGCGCAGATGTTCACGACCCCACTCGGTGAGTTCTCTGAGCGTTCTGGATGTTTGATGACAAGTGCGAGGTACCTTATGCTTCTTCCGCAAAGTTGTGATACTGTGAGCTTTTCTATCCGTATTTTGCGACTCATACCGCCCACGCTGACTCGGACTCAGTGTCGTCGCCACGACGCGCTTCTACCGCTCCTTGCACTCGTTCACGCCGAATCAAACACGGGACGACTTTACGAATACTGTGTACGTGATGTGATTTGCATTTCTCCCAAGAAGAGCGGTATCATCTCACGAAGCTTCGCATACTAATAGACGCTTTGCGACCGTTGACATTGGGACGAGAGGCGAACATGACGAGGACGGGTTCGAAATGGCCCGCCGCCGATAACCGTCACACAAACCTTGATATCATGCCGGACTCTGAATCGACTGATGGACAGTATGTATGAGGACCTCTGGACAGACTCTTCTCAGATAATGCAAGGACATCATCGTGTGGTTGTAGACAGCACCTATATGTAACGCTTATGTATGTGCGACGACATAGAGACACGCTTCGGGTACAGCACCGACATATTATCTAGCAGAGATACCTTGCGGGTGAGCTGGCCTACTGCCATGTATCATGGTCAACTGAGACGAACAGGCTCGAGACCGGTGCAAGTCCGCGCAAGCGTGTGAGTCCATCGGGGTTAGGGTTAACGCGTGGCATGCGCAAATCGGCCGAGTCGGCGCACGCCGGGCGCTAGCGGCTCGCCTGAGCTTGTTCCGGACTACCATGAGCCCTATGGACGGTCGCCCAAACCTCTAACCATATTCTACCATGTCTGTGCTCATATCGAACGTTCGTGACATGTGTTCTCGGAGGACCGAGCCATATCAAGTTGTGGAGGGCTGTGCACCGTGGCGTTTAACGCAGGCAATCGGCATCCGACCGCGCGGGCGCGCGTTTGTACTCGCCGAGGCGCTATGTCCTCGAGAACTGAAAAATACTGCCCTCAAGTAGACGGCTATCGAACTTGGTCATCGTGGTTTTGAGGGATAGGAACTAGCAGCCACTTCTGTCTTCGGCGCTCACACACATCAGAGACGTATACAGATATTGTGGCCATTGCACCGCTACTGCTATGCATGGTCTTCTCAGGCAGCTCGGAACGGTATATATGGGCTATGGGAATGCCAAAGCCAGTGATCCCGCCACCCTCACCTTCTCTTTCCCCATCGAACGACACTCTGTAGCGCTCAGCATGGTGGACTGGAAAGCCGATAGTACCGAGACGGCCGATGTATGTGAGTAACTCATGCCAATCTGAGTGCCTGCCTTCGAGTGTAGCTAACAGGATCCTGTACAGTTCGAATGGAGGCGATGTCCCTCGTCGTCATTGGCATATACATGCACGTCCCTCTCTCGATCGCATCGGCTTCCATGCACTAACGCAGGAGTGCAGCCACGAGCTGATATATTCCATGAGCTTCGACATGGGGCTGTTTTCTCGCAGAGAAGAGGAGGAACGTTCTCTGATGGCGAAGTGTGTGAAAGCAGTGCGTACAGCGAACAACCCTTTCGTCAACGCGTTGAATCGCTCAGTACACGCAGGGATATCTGTCCTGCCGATATTGCGCTCTCATCTCCGCCATTGCGGAGCTCTATGTTGTTTTCCGTGCCGGCCGTGGATCACTTGCTTGCGGGGTATATCTCGTTGACATGCCTGTACCAATGATAGACTGCTGACTGTTGCCGATAGGCTCTGATGAAGCTCTCGGCGGTTCAGTGCTTTCATCTTCATGCCGAAGTACCGACGTCTCATACTATACTATACCAGGGTGCGGCAGCCATCTCTTCTACATGCTGCTCGGCCTTGATCGCCGTTCGCGCGTGGGTACATCTGTGCAACGACGCCGTATCCGGATGATGACTTCGATATAGTGCGGCGGTATGGGCTTGGGATACTCGAATTGTGACGCTCGTCGCTATTTCATGCTTAGCCGCGTTTGGAACAGATCTACATAGTGCGTCCTCGGCATGTACTCGATTATGGTCCTTCTACTGATCGATGCTCAACAGTATCCTTCTCTGTGCGTCCAACGAGTGCTGTTGCGATGACGCATCTGTGACCAGGCCATTAGCTTTCGTCTTCATATGACACTGAGCACGGTTTCTGTACCCTGATCGGTGAACACTCGAACCTGCCCAACATGTTCACGCTCCTTCTCTGCGACACCGTTCTACTTGCATGCTTGTTGACGGGTCTCTACCGATGGCACCAGCCGACAAAGGGAGCACACGGGTTCCGCTTATGGTCTGTACTATGGAATCAAGGCGTGCTATACCTCGCCCTTGCATCAGTCACGGAAGTTCCTGCTTTGGTGCGCGCATCATCGCTGCGTTCGAATTCGATCGTCCTACTTACGACAACGCAGGTCTTCTTATTCCTCAACTTGAACCGTGAGCGACCGTGTCATGACCTGGTTTTGGAGAGCTGACACGTAACGATGCATCCAGCGGCCATGAACGTGGTCAGAAGCTCTTATTCAGTATCCATGGCAGACGCGCTGACGAGTGTTCTGCCTAAAGATATTCACAAGACCACTGAGTAAGAATACCCACAGACACCCGAAAGCACAATCCTCGCTGATGAGCTTCGGGTGTTCTAGCCGTAATACTGTGAGTCTTCATAACCAGCTCGCAGATCATCTCATCTTACAATCCGGATGAAGAGTTCTAGCTGCGACGCGCTTTCATCGGTCATTGCACGCCTTCACCCCCAATAAGACTCGTCATGAATACGCGGAGACGATGTACGTGTTGCTTTGGCGATGCCTCCCGATGCGCCTAGTTGACGGGCTTCTCAATAGCCGCTTTGCAGCTGTCGACATAGGGTCGAGATGAAGCGAGGTCGGGGTGGCTTGAGCTTGCTTCCAGTGCCCATTCGAATATGCAGCTTGGGATGGCGGCCGTTATCGATGTACGATTCAATCTTGACTATGAGGGTGGCGTTGCAGATGTCCATATGAGATAGCTTCTCCATGGCAGGACCAGGATAGACGAACCCTGTGACCACACTCGTGTTCTAGAGAGCATGAACTAAGCCTAGAGCTCGAACGTGCTGCCGACAGAGTAGGCATCTTGGCTCAGCATTGGTAACAGGGTTGAGATGATCTTCTCCAATGTTGTCGAAGGATCAAGGTATCTTGGCCAGGGAGACGAGCGTATCGAGGATATGCACGCTGTTCTTCGTTCTGGCCGACGCAGTCTCTTGAGACCGGCGCGGCATGGCACAGCTTCGGGTTACATGGAATACGGCCAGATCTGCTCCGTGTGGCACTGGAGATAGTGTCGTCGTCTTGGCCGAGTTGCTTCTCCTTCGACGTCAACAGTCTCAACCGCCGCAGTCTCTTGATCGTGGTACGACGAGACTGGGCAACTTGTAGTACAACCAGAGTGAGTCTTGGGGATATGATCGGGTACAGCCAAAACAGATGCAATCTCACGTAGCTTGGTCATTTATACTCGACGTTGTCTACACATCGAACTGTTGTGGCCAAGACGACAAGCGCACGAAAGATCGCTGTATGAAGACGATATCAGTGTAGCAGCGGCTTGGCCCGCTTCCTTTTCCGAGTTGACTACTCCTTCTGGTTCTACCGCCGCAGTATCAATGACACTCGCGAGGCAATGATTGGTTCATCGAGGACCCTGTAGAGCACTGACGGAGGAGGCACTCTATTGGCCAGAACATATCAACTGCGTGAGATCGAGTGCACACCATTGCGCACAGATATCGGACTGACCAGCTCCGCCGCGGGCAGGTCTCGACGGCCCTGGCGCGCTCTGCAACGCCACCGGAGACTCCAGCTCGGAACATCGACTGGGTCCAGCATGAGCTCCGTTTCCGTCTCCGGAGATCGCGTCGCGAGCGGGATCGCGACGGCTCACGACGTGCCGTCACGGCCTAGTAGAGTACAAACGAGAGTAAACAGCGCGTATAGGGACGCGCAGTCAGACTCGCGCGCAAGCCGAGCGACACCGTTCACACACGCATGCGCCCGAACCAGAAGCAACCGCGGCAAGGATTCGAGAACGACGGAGGCCGAAAGGTTCCGCGCCGAACAGTCTGGCGCGGCGCGCGGACAAGTCGAGGCGAACGTTGTTTGTTGAACTCTTTTTGAACGGAACGGGCTCATCGATGCGAACGGTGTCCGAGGAAAGCACATCTTTGAGATCAAGATCCGACATAGCATCTTTTTCAGTTTGGGGTTGGGCCTGTCGAGGCGCACTGGGCGCGCATGCTGCCGCGGCCTCCCGCTTGTCGCGGCTTGGTCGGCCGGCCGAATATTCGGTGCTCGAGCGCCCCAGCCGTTGGGCACCATGCACTCCGATGAGCACCTTCATCCGGAGGCGCAATAGTCAGCATCTAGCCTGATCTCTCATCGCAAGGGCATAGCCTTGTGGCCGCCGGCGACGCCGTTGGCGCGTCTACTTGGAGAACAGACGCCATTTGCGCCATTCGAGTCACAGCTCGGAAAAATGGCAGAGCACTCTGAAGCGCATCGGCGAGGGCTCGGAGCGCGCAATGTGCTATGGTCAGCTTAGACAAGAGTATTGTAATGTGCCGGTAGATCAGACTGGCGCAGTGTACGTCCCACGTTGGTCGCGGTGGACGAGCGCGGAAAGGACCAAAGTGCGGCGAACGGCGGCGGGCGGAGACGTGATGGAAATTCTGATGACGTGAGAGTTCTTCGGGAGCATATAAATCTATAGCTCGGCGCCAGCGACGGGTTCCGCATCTCTTCTCAGATCCCCCATCCTCATCCACCACATCACTCAATCATGGTGCGTCGCTGTGAATCGCATCGTGCTGCTCAACATACTCATCCCGTTGCAGGTCGTCAAAGTCGGCATCAACGGGTAAGATAGATTGTCGCCGAAAAAGAAATCGGATTGCTGATCTCTTCGATCTATGTTCAACTTTACAGTTTCGGTGAGTATTCCATGTCCAACATGTCAACAGACAGCGATCTAACGCGCCACAGGTCGTATCGGCCGTATCGTCCTCCGTAATGCGCTCCTCGATGAGCGTGTTCAGGTTATCGCCGTGAACGACCCCTTCATCGCTCTTGACTACATGGTCTGCATCATAGATCTCCTATTCACATATGATTCCGATCTTGACATGTCCATGCACTACAGGTCTACATGTTCAAGTACGACACTGTCCACGGCCGCTTTAAGGGCACCGTCGAGACCAAGGACGGCGCTCTTATCGTCAACGGCCACCCCATCAAGGTCTTCAACGAGAAGAACCCGGCCGACATCAAATGGGGCGAGGCCGGCGCCGAGTACGTCGTCGAGTCGTCCGGTGTCTTCACCACCATCGACAAGGCTTCGGCCCACTTGAACGGCGGTGCCAAGAAGGTCATCATCTCGGCTCCCTCTGCGGACGCACCCATGTTCGTCGTCGGCGTTAACCTCGACCAGTACAAGTCGGAGTACAAGGTCGTGAGTATCATCTTCCTTTTCCGCGCGCCTTCGATCATAGATAAGATGATCTGACATTTGATTGGCTAGATCTCCAACGCCTCCTGCACGACCAACTGCCTCGCTCCCCTCGCCAAGGCCGTCCACGACAAGTTCGGCATCGTTGAGGGCTTGATGTCCACCATCCACGCCACTACCGCCACCCAAAAGACCGTCGACGGCCCGTCCAACAAGGACTGGCGTGGCGGCCGTGCCGTCAACGGCAACATCATCCCCTCGTCGACCGGTGCCGCCAAGGCCGTCGGCAAGGTTATCCCCTCGCTCAACGGCAAGCTCACCGGTCTCGCCTTCCGTGTCCCCACGAACGACGTCTCCGTTGTTGACCTCGTCGTCCGCCTCGAGAAGGAGGCCTCCTACGACGAGATCGTCGAGGCCATCCGCGAGGTCTCGAACACCTCGATGAAGGGCGTTCTCGAGGTCACTGACGAGCTCACCGTCTCGACCGACTTCATCGGCCACACCGCATCGTCGATCTTCGACGCCAAGGCCGGCATCTCGCTCAACAAGAACTTCGTCAAGCTCGTTTCGTGGTACGACAACGAGTGGGGTTACTCGAAGCGCGTCGTCGACCTCCTCGTCTACGCCGCGACCAAGGACGGCAACGCGTAATCGCTTAATCGCCTCTCTCCTTGACTCTTGGCCCTAGGGGTGCATGTGCTAGCTATAGAGGAAGAAGTTGTACAACAGATCGTCACCTACTGTATTCATTGAAGCAAACCAAAATGTACTTTTGATTTGGCTGTATCATCCTGTGTGTGCCAGGCTTCAATCGTGAAGCGTGAAGCATCTCATGTGCACAACAATCGCTTTGGCAAGCGGGTTCGCTTCAGGCGTCTTACCTTTATCAATGCAACCTATGCCGAACCTATGCCCAGTCGTAATGGAATTCGAGTTATTCGATGGTCTCAGACGAATATGAACGCTTGGAGCAGCGATATGCCTCACGGAATTGATGGTACTACAGTGACACATGCTAATTCGATTTGAACGTGGGGATGCCCATGCCCTTCTGACGCGACCATTGTTGGCGTCACTTGAGTCCATGGTTCGACATACGTTCCTCACGTGTCGATGGGCAAGTCTGCGGCAGGTTGGGCGAGGTCCGGTGCGGGCGCGACAAGCCCATACGATGGGTGGTAGCGATACACGTATTCCTTCAACTGACGATGCAGACATACATGAGCATTGTTGGCCCACATTAAAACATTGCAAACGTACCTTTTGTCTCTGGGCGGGTGTGAGCTTGCCTGTTCTGACCGCCATATCATAATATGACGCGTTCTGCTTCACCACCCGTGCAAGACGCCCGGCAGGCAGCGGTGAGGCATCCGGACTACGAACCCTTCGTTGAAGATCCCAGATGGCTGACTCCGCCTCCTCACGCGCGGCAGCGGCGTCTGGAGGTGATGGCGGTGCAGCGGATGTAGACGGGACAGAGTCTTCAGAAGTTGAAGACGGTGTTATGGAGGATTGCAGCTTGGAGCGAGCACTGAAGTCGCCATCGGGTTTCAATGTTTCGCTGTCAAGCGATGCCGCAAGGCGATCATCGGCACTGTCGTTTCCATACCACACAGCTTCTCTCAAGGCTTGTATAATGCACGATATCATCGCGCTGTGCGCATTGAGTCCCGTGACGTCTGGTATCTGAGCGAGCCCGGGGTCTTCGGTCGGGTTCAAGTTCGAGCCAAAGTGGACTTGACTAAAAGCCCGACGCAGGCGACACAGCAGTAACCCCAGCGGCCGTGGGATCTGCAGACCAGTCCTGTAATTGACCATCTTCTGGAGCTCCAGGTCCGACGGATGAGGGTACCTAGGGTGTAAGAAGGCGAGCTTTGGCGTGTCACGGATGTCCACAGCAGCGCTTCTCTCCACTCTATCTTTGAACAGGTCCTTACAATACGGCCTAAAGAATGGAGCCTCGGAAGGAACTGTCCACTGAACCGGCGCGTATCGATAGCGGAATAAGCAAAACAGCAGCACCCAGAAGAAAGATTCCAAGTCGTCAGTGGCACAAGGTATGCGCTCACGGGAATCGTGCGCCATGGGGCCCGGAATAAAGGAGTGACCGCTCTGCCGGCGCGGATGAGCCTCGATGAAGATAGCATAAGAGATAGCACGCACAAGTATGCGCCACCGGCCAGCGCCGCGGACGCTGTGCCAATCTTCAGCGGACAATGCCCCGAACTCGTTTGCCATCGGCACTATTGTTGCGAGTTCCCAGTTCCCTAAGAGAGCCTTGCCCTTCCGATTGATCCGTATGTTCCAGGGAGACACATCGTTGTGCAAGATGCGCGTGCTCCTGTACGCCTGACCATGAGCTTGAAGGACTGATCAGCAAACGGAGTTATCTTGAGTCGCACTCGATATCCTTACCGACAAGAGCTTGTCCTATAGCCCTAACGAGCTCGTACGTGTTTTTGAAGCTGACGAGTGGCCGGCCAATATCCCTGAAGACGATGCGATAGTGAACGCGCTGATAGCGTGTAAATTTGGGGCTGAGCTGTGAACAGAACTCCGGCGACCGCGTTCTTTGCGCTGTGCCATCTTGCCAGCGCACGACTCCCGCGCATTCAAACTCAGCGATATGTTGAACGCCCGCGGCCTGCAAAGTCTGGTACGTTTGTCCCTCGAACACGTAGTGTTGATCAGACTCCTCATCTTCTCGATCCTCGATGGCCCATGTGTCTTTGATATGATATGAGCGCCGCGTCTCCACGTCGTATCCGATGTAATGCTTGATGAACGGGTTAGATATCTTCAAGTATCTCTCCTTGGCGGGAGCTGCAATGAAAACACGCCGTCGCCCAAGGCCGGCAGGACCGACTACGCCATCGTCCCAGCAAGCGATAGCATGGGGCCGAGCACCGTCTGGTATCACGTAGACGTCTCGGACAAACTCGTTGATTGATGCGTCTGCAGCGACCAGATCTTCCGCACTGAAGTGTGCTAAAGGGTCTCCTATGGAGTCGTCGAGGCCCCCTAGGCACGAGTTCGAGTCGGCCTGTCTTAGCCGAAGGAGAAAGTCTGCCAGGATGTGACCATGATTGGTACGCCAGTCGAATAGCTCGGAGACGACCAATCCAACAGGGTCATAGCGAACCAGACGCGCGCGTGGGCCATAGATCTTCACTGCATAGACGTGAGTGCGACGTTGGGCTGTGAACGTGTCCAGTACGAGCTTGAGCGTCTGGCCGCTTTCGTAGGCTATGCCGGGATACTGCAACAGGACGCGGTCTCAGTCTCGGGTGTGGTATTACAGAACTAGATTGCAAATACCCTCGCAGATTTACCGCGGCGCGCTTCCTCATCAATGTCGCCCGACTGCTCCTCTAGCTCGATGGTGACTTTGACGTTCGACATAATCTGTTCTGGATCGACCGTGATGTTGCCGGTTGGTATGTCAACGCCTTGAATGAGTTCTGGGGGGATAGCGGCGAGTACAGGGCCGGGGAGGTAATTGAAGAAGAAGTGAGGATATATGCCACTGCCGTTGATGACGTTGCGCTACAGGTGCGTTCAGTATCATTCCACTAGCGCGATTCGGAAGGCTCACGCACTATAGCTGACGCGGTTTCTTCCTTGCTATAATACAAGGCAGTCGCATTTGGGTCAGCATCACAGGGTAAGGGAGACTCGAAGTCAAGAGATGGTAGAGGTGGCTCATCGCGCATAGGAAGGAATTCGCGCAAGAAGTCCTCGACAGGCAAGGAACTGTCCTTGACGTGATTGTCTTCTGACGCGGTGGCCGCAGAGGCTTCATGGTCATCGTGGGCTACAGTAGAAGGCGCTGTAGTAGGCGCGGACGCAATGGCAGCCTCGGCTTTCGACTGGGAACGAGTTTTCATGAGAGGGCGAGAAGGGTAGCATGATGACCACCCAGTCTTATAAGTAGCTCATAGATATTGTGGTTGAGGCCTTGCGGCCTGGAGGTTGCCGCAACGAATGTATATGATTGGATGGTGATGGTGGTTGGGAAAGCGCAGGTGGCGCACGCGTCCTGCAAGTGCAAACCACAATGATCGCACCTCGGCCGGATTTGGCCGAGGGGCGCTGTATAACATATCAGATCTTATCGTACTGCTGGACTCTGCCACAGTATGTGTACACCCAATTCCTCGGACAATCGTTCTCCTTCACACTTATAGGTCATGTTCTGCATACACAATGCTGCTGAGAGCACCTGAAGACCCATCCATTAGGTACCGTACTGATACAAAAGTAGTGCTACAATGGAGACCATGTCCGAGAAGTAGGAGTATGTGGGATACAGATGTGCAAATGCGCGTAGGAGTCCTGCCCCAGGTAATGCCGTCGTCTGTCGTAGCCATGAAGAGATGATACAAGGTGTATGAATTAGCGCAAGCTGGACGCTGCGCTCGATGCGTAGCGGGGGAGCGATTCAAGGGGGCGCGAGATGAAGAGGCCCTTGCCCGCGGCCGCCTTCTCCGCCTGGCGCCCGAAGCCCATGCCCTGGAAACGCTCAGGAAGCGACTTCATCGAGTCGGCACCTTTCTCGGTGCTGCCCATGGAGCCTGTCTCCGCGTCGCGCTTATTGTGCAGGTTCGTGAAGACGTTCGTGCCGATGGAGACTGCAGCGCCGACGGGTGGCGGAAGCATGTCCTTCGCATCCTGCGCGCGTTCCTTCCAGTTGAAGAGAGCACGGCGAGGGCGAGCCTTCGCGCGGAAGATGAGGCCGAGAAGCATGTTGACGCAACCGATAGATGCGAGGAAGAAGGCGGAGACGAGCGAGAAGGTGTCCACAAAGTGAGAGAGAATCTGGCAACCAAGCCTGGAAGTCCTATCAGTACCTTTCTGCGCCGTTCTCGAAACGGTAAACTTACAATAGCTGCATAATCCCCAGAGCGCCGAGTCCAAAGTCTGAGCCGAGGATAGGGAAGAATCGGTCGAAGAACACCTGCGGCCACCCGACCTCGGAGAGGGCAATCATGATGACTTGTGCGATGATGAGAAGGCGGTTGATAACCGCGAAGGCGGCGCCGGCAGGTTGATTCGGTACGGTGCTGTCACTGCAAGATTCCCCGGTCTATTATCAGCGCCCGTCGTCCCATGCGGTCGTAGAATGGAAACACGTACGCAATGTACTCGTAGTTGGTCGTAGAAGTCGTGTTCTCAGAGGCGGCTGAGCCTGCCTTGACGAATGCATTCACAGCCTTGACATCGTGTACGAGAGTAACGATAGAGCTGGCGAAGACGAGAATAAGGCCGATGAGTGAGAGGGCGCGGACGGCGTTAAGGCCGAGGAAGACGTAGGAGCGCGAGCCGAACATGTCTGGTCAGTGAGAAGCGTGAAGAAGATCCTGAAGGCTCGTGCGAGGAAAGATAGACTGGAGGTGCGCCGGGCGACCTTTGAGAGAAGAGCAAGGAGAAAGAGTGAGCGGACAAGCCAACCGGAAGCCGGAGTGGTGGATGAAAGGCCCCATTCAAGCGTCCAAGCTCTTTATGTACCCTACGCCTCGAGCCAAGAGCGCATTGCTTATTGTTGAAAGGCCCGTATACGGACACGCTATTGTAAACTCCTCACGCAGCCCAGTCGTGGCAGAACAAGACCAAAGCCCAAGCGCCTTTTGTCGAGGCACAATGGATCGGCGACGCCACGCGACACCGGATCAGTCGGATCAACCCGGCAATTGAGGCGAAAATGGACAAAACTTGTCGCTGCGCGCCTCGGTGCCTGACAACCTCTCTCTCATTCCCTCTGCGCGGTCTGATGTCGATGACCTGCCGCTCTACCCGTGAATCGCATCGTTGTGTTGAGAGATGACAGCCAGCGGCCACAGACAGGAGCTGGGAAGTGATCAGCGCTTCGACAACGCACCTCGTATCCATGACCACTGTCAGGATGAGCGATTGACTTGCAGAACGTAGCTGGGATTGCATCAGTTGCCAGCGCGCGTTGCCTGAAAGCCTGACGGCGGCGACGTGCCGGAGAATATCATAGCAACCGTCCTAGATGCGGCAAAGGAACGTCGCCGCCATGTGTGAGTATAGATATAGCTCGCCACTGCTGTATGCCCGTCCAGGTCCCATCTTGTCCCCTACCTTCACCCCCGCCTTCGCGCGGTCCTTTCCCTTCGGACTCGCTTTGGCCGTCTGTCTGTCTGCTGTCTCGGGCTCTCCCTCACTCGTTTGATACCACTCTCGTTTCCTCAATCATCATGATGTCTGCTGTCTCCGTCTCCGTTCTCGCTCTTGCTCTCGCGGGCCAGGCTGCTGCCCATGCCGGTTCGTACGGTTTCAGATGACGCTGTCGACGTAGACTGACCAAGACTTATAATTGACAGCTATCTGGCATCGTGCGTTATACACCGCCGGGAAACGTTACGAATGGCGACTGATACTCTCGTAGCGTCCATGTACGGTTTCAACCAGACTGTCGGCGACAACCGTGCTTTGGACCCACTGAGTCCGTGTCTGCGCTCGCCGAGGTTGCATTGAATACTAATAGCTTCTTGCGTAGTGGACCGTCACTTCAACACGAGCGACGAGTCGGACACTTGGTGGTTCCACGGCCATCTCAAGTATGACACTGCCTCTTTGCGTATCACCCATATCAATTCAACCATCTGTTTTCAGGTACCCTCCTCACGCGGACGACATCATGCAGCTGCCAGTCGGTGGCGAGCAGATGCTCGAGATCGCTTGCGACAAGGGCGTCACGTCGTACTGGGAATCTGCGCCGGGGTACGGCGTTTCATGCCCGTTTCGTCTATTGCCCTTGTCTGATGTTACCCCACAGCGGCAACACGTTCAATGCCGCCCAGCCGGACTACCCGTGCCCTGGCCAACCCCTCTCGCAATTCCACACTACCAACAAACAGGACACTGGCGGTTGCGCTCTTGCTGTCGCTTACAAGTCCAACGCCTGGGAGGTTCAGCCAGAAGATTTTGTCGTGTTCTCGGTCAACCAGACCTGTGTCTGGTCTATGCACACCTACTTCCAGGTTCCGGATAACATGCCTCCCTGCCCCGACGGCAAGTGCACCTGCGCCTTCTTCTGGTGAATATACTTCGTCTATGATTGCGCTTGCAACGATACTCATTTGGCGCTCAGGGGTCATCAGGCTGACTCGGGTTCGGCTCAGATTTACATGAACGGCTTCCAGTGCAACATGGCAGGCGCGACGAACACCCAGCCTCTTCCCCAGGGCAACCCTGCTCGTCGGTGAGCACACTTTTCTTCGCATTCGGCAAGACAACGATCTCTTACGTCGTCTATTAGCTGTGGTAACGATATCTATCTCAACCGCGCCGCTGACCCGGCCAACTGCACGATCGGTGCTAAGCAACCCAACTACTGGGACCAGCTCGAGGGCAACAACGTATGTACTCCGTCCTGGTTCTCTCTGAGGCTTGTTCTAATTGCGTTGCAGCAATATGAGGACATCATGGATCCCCCAAGCTACCAGTCGCTCTATGGTTTCATGGACGGCGCTCAGACCGACCTGTATGCCGGTGTTGGTAAGTGGTCTACCTTACCATCCGCCCGTGCTTGGCGAAACTGACTATATATAGGCGCGACCGAGCCCTCTGGTTCGGGCACCGTTACGGGCACTGCCGTGGCTTCTACTGCCCAGGCGACCACGACCAAAGCCGCCGCGAGTACTTCGGCTGCTGCGTCTTCCGTTTCAACCAAAGCTTCTGCTAGCCAGCCGGCCGTGACCAGCAAGGCGCCCTCTAGCCAGTCTGCCTCGACCAGCAAGGCCTCTGCCAGTCAGCCCGCTACCACCAAGGCTGCAGGAACTACCACGAAGGTCGCGGCACCGGCGCCTACTACCTCGGCCGCCGCTTCGTCATCCGAGAAGCCGACGACTACGAGCGTGGTCGTTGTCTCTTCCAGTGCTCCCGTAGCGACGACAAGCGTCGCGGCGCCTGCTACGACCAGCTCGTCAGGCCAGGTCTGCAAGCGTCGCTTGCACTCTGCGTAAGTCTATGCACAGCCGTTTATTGAGTGCACCCATCTTACCGATTCTCATAGTCCCGCCCACCGTGCCGCTGGCCGCCGTCGCGCCCCGAAGCCCTCCTTTGTCCCCGCCGCACGCTCCGCCTTCGCCGCGCACCGCAAGCGCCGTGCTCCAGCGTCCTCGAACTTCTAAGCCTCACGACTCATACCCTCACACCGGCCGCGCCGTCTCGTTCTGCTGTTCTCTGATCTCTCCGTCCGTCCGACTCCCAATATCGCCGCCGCGCGGCACTCGTATTGTTATTGGTCCTCTCCCCATCATGTCGCCGCGCGGTGCGCGGCGGCTCTCGTCTCTGCTTTGCTATCCATCGCTCTCTCTCTCTCTCTCTCTCATCCGTCTGCGGTGTTTAGCATACCAGGCACTGGTGCTCGTGGCGCAAGTTTCGCCCGTTGACAATGCATTTCATCTGATACTTATATTTGACGGTGTGAATCCCGGAAAGGCGTGATGAGTACGTGGGCAAGGCCATATAGCTATATGGTTATTGCAAGGATGCTATCGCTGTGGCAGGCGGACCCGTCAAAGTCATCGTTTGCCTGTCACTCGTCCCTTCCCGCCTTCCGCGGGATCAGCCATCGCACTTGACCGAGGCGCGTCGGACGGATAGCGACTGGCCACCGTCCTGCGCGCTGTCGGTGGAGTACGGCCCCATTTTGTCTGATATCTGTTTGAACTAACGCTTATACGAGAAGGACCTCCCAGTGCATAAGGAAATGCGCGCTCTTGTCCACGAGTGCGATCTGACGCTCAGTCAGTTCGATGACGACGGGCGGCCCGTTCCATTATATCAACGCAACACTGCCCGGTCGATCATGTCTTCGTACCACGATCGCCTCATGAGCTTATTTTGATGCTCACTACCTGACTGGACCGCTATCTATGACCAGATCAATGCATATACTCGGAACGGCGACAGTGCCGAATAATCCTCATCGGGGACGCGGAGAGCGAAGAAGCCCCGTCAGGAGCTCATACTGAGACCCCATTGTAGCCTGTACCACGCGCAACACTCCTTTCAGCACACTCTATAGGACTTCCTCCATGCCATCGTAGCTTCTCAAACCTCGAGGACTGGTATCACAAGGCTGGTCGCGCTCCCATCATCCCCCGGATATATCCTCCGGAGGTCCCGTCGCTGATCATCTCGACAAATCGACGGCTTCTCTTGGCGTCATGGACCCACCATACACGCCCTCCTGATCCATAACCGCGACGACGTATATAAAGAGCGGGTGCAACACAAGATGGTGGCCCAGTGTTCGTCATGCTTTCCCTCACGATCGTCTCGCTCAGCGCGTCTCTTCTTCCCTTGGCCGCGGCGTGGAAGTTGCCGAACGCTTCTCACACCGACAAGCCTCAGCCGGTCGCCGCGGCTTGGTACGCGGGCTGGCATGCAGATGTAGGGTTCCCTGTGTCCTCTATTAGCTGGGACAAGTATACGCACATCACATACTCTTTCGCGTGAGTTCTTCCATCTCCGGGATACCCGAAGTCGGTGCTGATGACGCACTGGTATAGCGAGACCACGGAGGATGGCGGTTTGACACTCAACGGCTCCGAGCCCGACGTGCTCCCTAGCTTCGTCGCAGCTGCGAAGAAGAACGGAGTGAAGGCTTTGGTGAGCCTGGGAGGATGGACTGGAGGGAGTAAGTCTGCTTGTCTTGGCGTTCACATCCGTATGCTGATGATCTGCCGACAGGGTTCTTCTCGACGGCTGTGGGCTCCGCAGAGAACCGTACTGCATTCGTCGAAACTGTCGGCTCGTTTGCGGAGGAGTATGACCTGGATGGTATTGACTTCGAGTGCGTAAAGGTATTCTTCTATGACGGACATTGAACTGATACCATATAGCTGGGAGTACCCGGGCAACCAAGGCATTGGCGTACGTCGACCCTTCACGGTGCTGTCTGTGACTGCATGCTTATCATCACACACAGTGCAATGCCATCTCCCCCAACGACACCGCCAACTTCCTCACTTTCCTCCAAGAGTTCCGCGCTTCTGAGCAGGGATCAAAGCTCTTCTTGACTGCCGCCTCGTCGCTTCTGCCTTGGGTTGACGAGAACGGCGACCCGAGCACCAACCTCACTGCCTTCGGTGACGTGCTCGACTACATCGCCGTGATGAACTACGACATCTACGGGTCCTGGGCCGAGACCGCTGGACCCAACGCGCCGCTGTACTCGTCATGCTCTACTCAGAACGACCAAGGTTCCGCCGAGATCGGCATCCAGGCATGGATCGACGCTGGCATCCCTCCCCAAAAGCTCGTCCTCGGTGTACCGTCGTACGGCCACTCGTTCTCAGTCGCGAAGAAGGACGCCCTGGACAAGAAGGGCAAGCTCAACGCGTACCCCGCATTCAACACCACCTTCCAGCCGCTCGGTGATAGCTGGGACGACGCGAACCCCGGTCCGGATGTCTGTGGCAACCCGCAGACCGCTGAGGGCGTATTCGACTTCTGGGGTCTCGTCGAGGGTGGCTTCCTGAATGTGCTCGGCGAGCCTGCGCCTGGCATCAAGTACGAGTTCGATAACTGCAGCCAGACGGTACGTTTCTTACCCTGCGGATGAGACCACCGTGCTGAAGTCAGATCTATAGCCCGCAGTCTACAACACCACATCCGAGGTATGGATCTCCTACGACAATGCTCGCTCGTTCTTGGCCAAGGGCGAGTTCATCAAGAAGCTCGGCCTGCGCGGTTTCGCTATGTGGGAAGCTGGAGGCGACTACAACGACATCCTTCTCAACTCCATCCGCATCCCCACGATGTTCCGCTCGCTTTGAACATGTTGCTCTGAGGCTCTCACACGACTTTCTACTACTCCTTGCTAATTATCGGATCTCACACTCGCTCATTATTTAAATGCCATTCTTTTATTGCTGTCTGAACGTGTGCCGATCACGCTCGTACAATTCGCCTCGTACGGCCGGGTTACATCACAAGTCTCTGCATTCGGAATTGGTGCTGGATTGGGGGTTTGACAATGCGATAAAGGGGCTGTGTAGTACCGCCTTGCAACCAGATACTCGACGGAGGTCGCCACTGCGCGGGCGCGGCGATAAACGGCCGACCAATATGTCCCACGTGGCGCAGCGTGCGTCTATCTTGCCACGCCCACCTGACATATGGTTGCTGTAGCTCTGCTTTCGACCGCGACCAGGCTCATCGCTCTGCGAACGAGTACAAGCGCGTTTCCGAGACCTCACCGATGTCACCACCATACCAGTCGTGGCGCGGGCTGGTCCCCGCACTTGCCGCTCTACCGCCCGCTCTCTTTGCGCTGTACTACTACACCCAGTTCCCCCGCGCTCCCAAGGCTCTGGAGATACATCCTTCTCTCGCCAGTTTGACAGGACCCGCGGGCCAGAGAGCCAAGGAGATATACCCAGAGGCCATTTTCGAGGGTGGCGCGTACTTTAACGCTCCTCTTGGCAGGGTGCGCATCATCGATTCAGTACACCTTCCGCGGAATCCCGATAGATTTCGCATGCACAGACGCGTTACTGGCTCGTTGGCCCTCAAGATGGGAAGCGGGTACGTGCTAGGAGCTTCATCGTCGCTTTGCGCGCTCTAACCATCTTGCGCAAGGTTGTCTTGATTCATGGCCTCACGGTGCCAGGGATCATCTGGAAAGACGTAGTGCCTAGATTAGTGGCCAACGGATGCCGCGTTCTCGTATACGGTACATTTTTGACTCCCGTCATCGCTTTACGAACGCATACTCACGAGAGATTTTGAACAGACCTTTACGGCCGGGGATATTCAGATGCACCGGCCACGACCTACAGCGCCGCGTTGTATGCGACGCAACTCGCGTTATTGATGCAGCACATCGGATGGGAGAAAGCATACATAACCGGCGTCTCTATGGTGCGACATCTCACGCGAATTGCCGTGCTGCGGTGCTCATCTTCTTCGCTAGGGTGGCGCCATTGCAACAGCATTCAACGCATGGTACCCCCATCTCGTCGACGGTAAGATCGTTCTAATCGCGACTGTCGGGCTCTTCAAGGTTCGTACAACTTCGCAAGTACCCGATTTGTATACTGAATGCCTTTTCACTAGCCCAGCGACATGTCGTACTCGTTCAAGTACATGTCTTCACCACTCTACCTGGTTACCTGGGATAGCTTACCTGGTCGTGTATGCTTCCATTCCTCTACATACAACTCGAGATCAGCTCATGACTTATCATCTAAGATGCACTTGCGACACTTAGCCAACTCGAAGTCGCTCTCCGACCCAATCTCGGAGGTATACCTGACTTCGTGGCACATATACGTTCACCGTTCTGATACGTTACACTCAGTTCGTGCGCATCCAGTCCGCCTACTTGAAGGGCTTCAACCACGCGGTGGCATCCTCCATACGGGATGGACCTGTCCGCGGTCTAGAGTGGGCTTTCGAGTCTCTTGCCTCTTCCAAGACCGACGTCCTGATCATTCATGTATGTGCCACACCATGCGCCTCGTTTGGCTCTTTGTTGATAGCTAACTTGGCCTACAAGGGAACTAACGATGGAGATGCGCCGTACAAGTTTGCAGGATTCGTCAAGAATCTTGTTCCTCGCTCGAGACTTGTCACTGTCGAAGGCGGGGGACATGACTTGACGCTTGAACAACCCGAATTAGTCAGCCGTGAACTCGTTGACTTCTTCAACGCAAACTAGCTTCATGCATTACAATACAAGCTTCGTGCTCTCACACATCGCGCAAGCGCCGCAACACCCTATATACGCCTTATCCCACGTTTGAATCATAGAATGGATCGTTTGTGCCCCACAGAGACTGGCTTCGGCCCGGTGTAGGCGTTAGGAGGAGCTGCCCAGCAATGCCAGCTATTGACTCGCAAGTCCTGGAAAGCCGGCACGAACCTCGCGATCTGCCGATAGCCTTTCTGAGTGACAGCATTCACTGCGTCTTCGTACGATACCGGGATAGTGTGTTCGTACACTGGCTCCTCAGAGCGTTCCATATTTGATCTATCGGAGTATGATTCGGCGAGTGTCAACTTCAAGAGATGACCCTGGAACGCCTTTCCCGGAGAGAAGTATGCCTCGAGAAATCTGTACATGAGGTTCCAAGCGTCCGCATTGAGATTTTCATCGTATCTCTTCTGACTGGGACAAGCAACACAAGGGAAGTTAACAAACGTCAGTTCAAATGGTGCACCCGCCGGCAAGTAGTAAAGGGCCCTCGAGTGAATGTAGGGCCCCGCGAAATACGCTAGACGACTGAATGACTCCCAATTCAAGATCACGACTCGACGCGGAAGTTGGGTACCAGCTTTGAAGCCGAGGAGGCGAGTAACAGGAACATCTCGCTCGTATATTGCTAACCAGGTCATGTAGTTATCATACACGAAGGGCAAGTCTGCTATATCGATATGCTTCAGCCACGAAGGGCTGAGATACCGTAGAAGGTCAGCAGCGCGTGCATGAAACCTCGTGGCTACGTTGTGCTGGAATATGCCGTATGGACCTCTGTATGATATGTGGTCCTCATAGCCTCGAGTACCTTCGACTATCACGTTGTCCGTGAACGTCTTAAGAAACTCGTTTGTCGCAAAGGAGAGTTTCAATGTGAACGCAGGTCCTCCCATAGGTTCCGTCAGCTGGAGAGACGTGGACAAGTCCAACCCAGGCGCACTGCATGTTTCCGAAGACCAAAGCTGCATCATCATATCGTAGGACGTTGTCATCCCAAGCCCTATGCTGTCATACACGGGCGATATCAAGATGTCTGCTACGACCTCAAGCACTTCTTCTTTCAAAGCCTTCTCTTCGTCCAGATAATCGGTATCAATGAAGATCTGAGCATCAGGAGGTATGATGAGTCTTTGCCATAGATCGGCGAGTGCCCGCGACTTCCCGGCGAGGTGCAGTCCACGCAGACGCGGAAGTCTCACATGTAATTGGGTGAGATCAGGGAGCTCTTCTTGCAGTAACGCGGGCATGTCTGTTATGATCAAGCGTTCTAATTGTGGGGAACGTTGCAAGAGGGCAAGGAGTTCGCGAGTAGGGAATGCCGTAGGAGTTATGTCATCGTCCCCTAGTACACCGTCATCATATGATCCAAAGACATCCCGGCTTTGACGCCAATCCACATTGTCTAGATCCACGCGCAGATAGCGAAGGGAGGGGGCATTGAACGGGATCAGCCCGTTATTCAGATACAAGCATTCGAGCTTTGGTGCGTTGATGCACTCATACCACATCTCGGGGCCCGAATCGTCCCAGATCCTCGCCGCCTCTAACTGGGGAAAGGTCCTCAGGCGGTAGAACAGCTCAGACCAGTCCATGTATTCGTCGTGCACGAGAGAACGAAGACGTGTAGCGTGCGCTTCAATGAGCGACAGCTGATAGTCCGTGAGCACATAGCCCGGACCCCGATGATCTTCGAAATGTCCGTTGAGGCTGAGAGGGAAGGTGCGGCCAGCGCGTTGACGTATCAAGACGTCGGTCATACGCGGCGATGGAAAAGCACCAGCGTTCCGCGCCCACAGTTCAATAGATCCGAGAGCAATTTTCCTCCACCGAGAGCACACAGCGCAAACGCGCATGTACCATCCCAAGGGATTCTCCAGAGTGGGTGTATCCAAGTACGATAGAGTGATGAAGATGTTCAAGAGAACTTCGGGCGGGAGGTTGAGGACGAGATCGAGCGCGCGCCGGATGCTGCGCTCTCGTGCGACACGGACGACATTTCCCATCGTAGTAGCGATGCGGCTCATCGCAGGAGGTTAAGGCGTTGAGACGGTGGGTGAGAGAGACAAATCGTGTTATCACAGACGTAGCACGTCGACGGGCAGAAGCAAGTCGTGCAATTTGGACATCGAGTCCCCGTCGCTGATTTTGCTCGGGCCGGTACCGCCGCGGGCTTCTCACACTGTCAAGGTAGCGTACACGGGAGCATTGGCATTGGCATTACTGTGCTCTGCATACTATGTTCAAGGTACACTTCTGCGACCTCGCCTATGGTAACTCCTACCTCGAGCAACATCCGGACCCGTTCGCGTACGTTCATTCAGAAATATCGTCGAAGCTGAAGTAGACGCGCACATGTGACTTCCACGATCGCGTACAACGCGACGACATCGATCAAATATACGAGGCGCGGCAAATGCGAGTGTGGGAACTTCGTACGACGGAACTTGGCATGCGAGTATACATCAAGAGCACAAGCCTAGTAATCCCCAGTCTCAGTCGCGAGACACGGACTAACTGTCCAGATATCCCCGGACCATATACAAGTAATGGCTATTATACGCCGTAGTCTGCGGCCCGCCCTCCACCGCCTCGTACACATTCGGCACATGCACCGGCCCATGAAACCCATTCTTCCGCATCTTGACAAGAAACCGCGCGCGCTCCGCGCGGAACATGCCGACCTCCATGAACGCGTCGGCGCGCGTGGCCGCGGTGAAGAGCGCCGGGACGCCCGAGTCGAGTATAGTCGGCACCGTGTCCGACCACGAGTCGATCGCGGATTCCGACTCGAGCATCGCGGAGTTGAAGCAGACGATGAAGTCCGGCGCATGCTCGTTGCGTGCATTGTGGGGCGCCCACGGGCACTTGTCGTACTTCATGGGCGCGTACAGCACTTGCCGCGAGCGCCCCTTCGCAGCGCACGCCTGGCACGCCACGTTTGCAGGCCAGAGATGCGGATCGGCTTTGGGGCCGACGAAGCAGAACTTGAGCGTGCGGAGGCGCGGGTAGCAGTGCAGGATGTTCTCGAGCGTCGCTTGCGAGAGCAGCTCGCGGTCGCCGGCGCCGACGACGTGTATTGTGAGCGAGGTGCGGGTCGGCATGTCCGGCAGAGCCGTCTCGAGCGTCGTGGCGATTGTTAGAGGGAAGACGAGAGCCTCCTTCGTAAGCGCCGTCACGGCTGCCTTCGAGTCCGGGTTGCCGGCGGCGAACTCGGCGGCGCCGTTCATGGTCCAGGCGTAGTAGTCCGGGAAGTGATGCCTGAAGTAGTCGTCCCAGCCGGTCAGGGAGGACATCGGCTTGTACGTCGTGCGCGCCTGAGGTGTGACGAAGTTGATAGTCCTGATCTGGCGACGGTTGAGCGTATAGTCGAGGTTGAAGCGCTCCGTACAGTGCAACTCGAAGAGCGCGTCGCATTGCTGAGGCGTATGCGCGCGGACGAATGTGGCTTTGCATTCGGCTGAGCACCACCATGCGAGTTTGCAGCGCTTGCACTTGTGGAAGGTCGAGAATTCCTGCTTCTGGAACGGCGTGAGCAGGCATACTTCGCATTTGACGGCGTTCCTGCGGGAGTCTCAGTATCGAGTTCGCTGCAGCATCTAGGAGAACTCACTGGACGTAGACAGGGTCTAAAGTCGACTTGGACTTGGCGAGGATGGCAAGTCGAGCTTTCTAAGAGGAAAGAAGAAGAAGTCAGCGCGTACTCCTGACTACGGTACACGTGGGAGCCAGCCGACCAAACTCACCACCCGCTCTCCGTATTCGTCAGGGGTTAACTTGCCTCGAGGTAGCGACTCAGCAGCCTCTGCCTCGTTGATCTCACGCAAGCGAGAGCAAAGCTCCTTATGCGCTTCCCAGTCTTGAGCCTGACAAGCTGCACCGCCTGTAACGGGGGAATGGATTGAACAGGCGTACATCACCGCGGGTTGTAAGAGGACTCACAGTACTTGACTCTCCGACACTTCGAGCAGCGCGAGAATCTCTCCGGCGAGGGGGCTTGTAGGCAGTACTCGCATGCCTGACCAGATATCTGCAGGAATGTGCCAAAGAGCAAGCCTTTCGGAGGGACGCTGGCCGGCAGCGGGGGAGGATCTACTGGCAAGGGCATGCTGTGGCGTGTGGGGTGAGGGTGGCGATGGCGGTGCGATGCCAGGACACGAGCCGCCTCATTGTCTGCCAGTGACCATCTTGACCAATGCGCGATCGCCAACTGCTCTTTTGGACGATAAGTAAATAGAACGCGCACATGTGACTTTGATTACGCGTACTCATGTTGAAGGCGCCAACACAGACTCCTGGGCCAACTATTCATCTCTATCTCTGCCGCGACAGCCATGGGTATGTGTAAAGGAGGCGAAGGACACGAGCTCGTGGAGGAAGAGGCGGCCGCAACCTGAGGCCGACTCTGCGTGCGATGCGACGTCGGTGACGAATGTTGCTCTCAGCTTCACAGTCTCGCAATCTCTTGCCATACTCATGAGTTGATCCTCAATGCCTACTCGTGACCCGCCGAAGTATATCGAGAGAGATGGGCTATGCCGCGGTGAAGGCACGGTGGTATGAGAAAACGTCAAACCTAGACTCAGAGCGCGCGCTCGCGCTCGGCGAGGGAGGAAAATGATAATAACTATTACATTTTGAGAATCATGT